TTGTGGAAGAGTCATCCATTTGGCTGCGTTGGATGTATAAATATACAGGCATTCTCGTCTGTAATGTGGCCATAAAATCATCTACCGACGTATTTCTTCATTAGTTTCGTCCTGAACATGCTGAGTTATTGCACGCAAGCAACGCTTAGGTGGTACATAACACTACACAGAGATAACTCTGTAAAAATCAGCTGAATGTTTTAATCACGTTCTATTGTAAAGGAAATATAAAGCTTCTCAATGATCAAAATTAGTGTTTGTCAAACTGCTATATATGTTCAATGAAATTTTTTCGATAAAGTGTGTGGTTCAAGTTTTTGAAATTTTTATATTTTTGTCATAGGTTCAATTAGAATTAGACTATTTACCGGATTTTTAATAACATAAGCAATACGACGGGTGCCACATGTGGAACAGGATCTGCTTACCCTTCCGGAGCACCTGAGATCACCCCCAGTTTTTGGTGGGGTTCGTGTTGCTTAGTCTTTAGTTTTCTATGTTGTTTCATCTGTACTATTATTTGTCTATTTGTCTTTTTATTTTTGGCCATGGTGTTGTCAGTTTGTTTTTGATCTATGAGTTTGACTGTCCCTCTGGCATCTTTCGTCCCTCTTTTTCAAAGTAAATATTTTGTTAAAATGTTATGAAAATTAAACGAGCCAAATTAATTTTAGTCAAGGTTTTTGGTTTCACCTTAATTAATCAAAAAGTAGAGGATCACTGTACAAGTCCAACATTTTTCATTGCACATATGGAGATGTATATGAGCTTACATAGTTCACTATGGCTAAGTCTTTGCTCGCCATGCTAGTGATTTCAGCTGATTTCCAATTTAAGTTCGCTCCTTAGTAGGAAAAGAACATTTGAATAATAGAGATAATCCTCTTATGAGTACTTTCATTGACCCCGAACACAAGTAAGAAATATAACACTTTGTTGTCACATCTGTAATTTTGAAACAATTTACTTAATATCGTTTAGGTTATATTGCGTTAACGCCATCATCTGCTGCGTTTATATATTCATAAACACGTATTTTGTAGAGAAATGGATGTATTGTTTTCCTATCAATCCTAACCTCTTTCTTGTTTCTGATTACAAATTCACTGAATTAGTAAACAGTAAATAAGCCATCAAATTAATTTAATCAGTTCAATGACAGAATTTGAAGGGAGATTACACCATCCTAGGAAACAGGCATAGACTAATCTGATTTTACTTATTTTTGGGATAAAGGTAAATGTCATCGGTCAACACAAAAAAAGGGTCAGTTATTCAGTACTTTTGTTTAATCCTACAATAGTTTGTTTTTACCATATAGTAATATCTGTATTTAAAAAGATTCTAAAACTTCACAGTTAGGATCGTAAGTTCTTAAACCTGGTCTTGAAATTAAGGCAACTATAGATTACTGTACGATTTAAGTGGGATAACTAATTTGTCCCAGGGGTAAATGCGGTCATACTTCTTAGTCGTTTTATAGGACTGGGAATGATTCTTATTTGAACAATGAAAAAGTATATGCATGATTTCATAGGCTTTGCTACAACCTTACAGAAACGGATAAGTATTTCAGAAAATGTTTTAAAAAAGAATAGTTTTGTATATTTCTATAAGGACTACTATTGCAATCCTTGATTTTTGTGAAAACAAGCTATAAAACAAACCATTTGTTCATGCTCATCACTTGTTATCATAGATAATACACACAATTTAATCATCATTCCTGTTTCCACAACACTAAAACATAGCATTTGGATCTTATAATAATCAAAATGATTCACAGTAATGTCTTTATGTCAATATAAATTCTTGGTGACAGTCAATAGTGATCCTTGAATTTAATATTATTAAAGCTATTTTTATTCCATTTGAACTCGGGTTAAAATATATACAATCAATTGGAATGTGGTCCAATTGGGAAATTCAGATTTCCATCATCAGAAAATTAAATGTGGTTTCTAATTCATTGAATATGGCTAACATGTGAAAAGTTCAGTTATAGACACAATTTCTTTATGACCCCTAAGAAATCTAAAAAAAAGATGATTATTTTAGACTGGGTCGATACCGCTGCTGGTGGATTTCAGTCCCCGAGTGTATCATCAGCTCAGTAGTCAGTACTTCGGTATTGACATGATTTTTAACAAACCTTTATAAAATTGTCCGTTTATAAATTTATTAATTATTAAGAAGCTAAGGTTTAAGCTCCCTCATGTAAAGTTGACTTAGATGGATTCTGGTATTAATTTTAGGTCCTTATTTTTTGTCATATAGCTCTTGAACTGTATCGTTTCTTATGCACCATTGGCTTTTAAATATTCGGCAATGAGCGGCTTTCAAATATTCGGCAATGAGCGTGCCTGATGAAGGAAAATCCATAGCAGCGCTGCGGACGTATAAAATTATTAAGTGTTGTTTATTTTTTTTAGAGAGATAAATAATGGAAATTGTCTGTTTATCTGTAAGTCATTTCTGGTTACATATTGATTAATAATAGTTATCCGAGTTTTTATATTGGTTTTCAATTCAAGGTCAGAAGGATGTAAAATGTAGTTTGTAGTTTTCCTTTGTGTGATCTTCATTGAAATTATCAAGCTACGATTTGCTTTATCTATATTTATATTTCAATGTCACCAGATGTGACCTTGTAACTGTAATTATTGTTTACGATTGTTTGAGTGAGATGTCGAACGACAATCACACAAGATGATGCTTGGGAATGCAAGAGGACCTATAAGGAGTCACCTGATCTTTTTTTGAAAAAAATGGGAAGGATGGTTAGGTGATAAACGTCCAGTGGCAAATTAAATGCATATTCAGGACGAGAACCTGATAATGTGATATAAATATAGACCCTGTTGTGTACAAGACCGACACGCCGACTCGGATATTTTAATGTCCTAGTTCACAAGGTGACAGTTCGCAGGAAGGCATGTCATTCTATCTAGACACATTAGTCCGACTCCGAGCAGACCAGTCTTTGCTTTTACTGATATATAGTGCTGAGCGTAGAATGCAACACATACTATTTTTCAAGTCTTTGGTTTGGGTCGACCGGGAATCGAATCCACGACCTCCGGTAGTCGAGGCGAGCACACTACCATGAGACCAACGAGGCGGTTGTAAAGGGAAAATAGAAAGATCTTGATACTTTTAACACTTTTACTTTGAAAGATTTTCTTTATCTATTATGGTTTTAAAGATGCTAGATTTTTTTTTTGCATTTAGCCTGTATGTTCTGGTTTAACCATTGTTACGATCTTTCAACGGTTGATTGACAGTAACAAAAAAAATACATAAAATGAATACTGCATGGATAACCTAAGGATCATTCAGCCAAAATTTGGTTGAAATTGGTCCTGTGGTTTTACCAGAGATTTTATGAAAAGTTTACAATGACAATGGACGCAAAGTGATGGCAATAGCGTACATGGTCAGTAGGGTCGTGTGAGCTAAACACTTACCGTTATCAATGATCCATAATAATGAGATAAAGGTCATATGAACTCTATCAGAAGAACATGTAAATTTTACAATGATTCTATACATCAAATATAGTTGACATATTTCTTATAGTAAGTGAGAGCACATGAAGTAATCTTACAACTTAAACATTGATTAATGAACCCTTTAAATTAGGTCAAGGACAAACGACTCATGTCAAACTGATATGAACCTCTTACAATCTCTTTATATGACAAATACAGTTGACCTAATTCTTATATTAGAGAAACTGACCCAATCATGAAAATGAAAAATAACTGGTTGTACCTAATCACCAACAACTAACCTTACCATCAATAAATCAAGATATGTACTTGGAGGAATGTGGATTGTACTAAATTCTAGTAGGATCCATAATACAATTGAAAAGAAAAGTTAGTATGATTCAGGTTTGTACTTGATTTATTTTTTAAATGTATTTTATCCCAGAATAAACTTGAGAAGGAAAATAAAATGAAATTCTTTTCTTATTATCTATAAAATACAAAATCTGATAAAATACATATTGTTAAATCTTACATAAGCTTTCTTCAATTTCTGTTTAAATAATTATCAATAAAAGGAGATTCAAGATATGTGCCAATGAGATAGCAACCAATTTATACAAAAATAACCAAAAGATATCTAGACTGTAAACATTTATGTGAATAAATTTAAAAGTCCATCAAAGATCTGTTATCAAAACCTAATCCCCTCCAAATAAAAATATCAAAAAATACAAGAAACTTCTTTTAAAAAGGTAACTTTTGGGTATGTTTTCATTTAAGTATTTTGGTGAACTCTTTTTTATAAGCCTGTCTGTCAGCCCATCAGTCATCTTGGTCTATGGATGATAAATCTACTTGTTATAATGATAAATGTATGAAGTTTTGACAATCCATCCAAAATGTATATCGCTTGTGGAGTAGACTTAGGTTACAGTATTTCTGCAGTCACTACCTTTTACTAAGATGCTTTGTGGAACTCAGTATACCCAGTATCCCATTGTGTCTGACAAGTGAATCGCCTTTTCTGAGTTATAATATTATTATGTTTCTTGTGTATTGTATTAAGCCTTACATTATTAAGAGATTCAAGGGCTTTCAGATAGGTTAGGTGCCATACTTTATTAAAAGTGTTAAACATATGTCACAGACAGCTTTTCAGTCAGGGTAATATTGAAACTATGTAAGTATTACTCCCACACATATTTCATTGCTGTCTCCACTTCATTTACTTGGCTACAATACAATGTGGGTTGTGCATGCGTACAAGACGTACTATGTGCTCTCAATTCTCTTTTGATGTATCTTGTATTACACACAGATTATATAACAGCATTTAATGCAAAAGTACTTGTTTCAAGGACAGCAATGTTCTTGACTTTAAGCATTTTTTTATGTTACAGTTTTTTTCCCTATTGCATAGGTTTGTTCTTGGTACATGCTTTTGTTGTATGTCTATAATGTCCATATTTTTTTACCATACAAAATTAGACTCTATCATATATTAACTTAAACTTAATTCATATTTATTTATTTGTTTTAAATATCTCATATATATATATATATGCAACTATAAAGCATCAACAATCAATAAGTTGAGTGAAGCTTGACTAAAGACATTAAAAAGTATAAGTAGTTTTCCTCTCTTATTGTTTCAATGAATTACTTTGTTTGCATCAGTATGAAATATTTTTTTCTGTGCCTAGCACATATTTGGCACTTTGTATTGTATCAGTTTTCTAAAACCTTCAATTTTCAACAGGCATATACAAACACTATTCTGTAAATAAATTGCATATCAATTATGCAGGAATGTCTTATTGCACAATGTGTATATCACAGGAATCTTCAGCATATAAATCAGATAGGAGGTTTCTCGACTACTTGTTCTAATAATGAGGTTCCAGTTATTATGGAAGTTGTAGCTACCAGAAATCTGTATCCTGAAAAAAAAACATATAACTTGCAAAAACTCTCATTTAATCTTCTATTTCATTCTCATCTGTAACTAATTTCCTTTAAATCATTTTACAAGAGTTATCTTTCTTAGGGGGGGGTGCAATGTGCAAACATAAGCATGCATGCTTTGATCAATTATATTCATTCAGTAATAGGTTTAATAAAGAAAGTTGCATTTCACTTTCATAAATCTTGACTTTTATCATCAAGAATATCTTGGACTTTATGCTATAAAACAAGAAAATTGTTTGTGGATAACAATGTTATAAACCTAGTTTTCAAATTGGATATGCATTTATCTGTTTCATTTTTTCTTCTTCCAAATGATGTTTTTACCAGATTAGTATGCAATTTTAACCTTCCGTTTTTCATTTATACCTTATATTAAATTCTTCTAAATTGATCTGTCAGCGATACAAAGTACATGCAGTATATATCTGTCTATCATTAATAACTCAGACTGAATCAATTATATCACTGGTCTACCTGTACTTAAGATTATACAATAGCTGTCGTATAATATAAAATTGTCTGGTTCAGATGAATTTATGCCTCAATAAATGTGACTGGTCAACTCATTAATGACCATTTATTGACAATTGATACTGACCACTTGTTCTAATAAATTAGCCTATGCATTGCAATAAGAGAAAATTATCAATAAGGCCAAACAAAATAAATGTAGTTTTACCAAACAGTAAACCACTGACTTTCCATGAGATACTAACAAACTAATCAGTAAATGAGCTGGGTCGGACAGAAATTGACCTTGTGAGATTTTAAGCGCAAGAGGAACTTATGCTCCTCTAGCTGTTATTGTCATAAGTGTTTTTAATCTACTCCTTTATTGTTTGAATGAGTATGTATGTGCTTAAATACCCTTTTAACTCATTTGAATGCCTGTTTTAAGGTGTTCAGTTTATAAAATAAAGAATTTCAAAATTCAGGTCAACACCTCTCATGGTGGATATACCCATAAATTGGGATAGTTGGCAGGTCTGCCTTATGCAAGTGCACGTATACATGTACATGTATAAGACTTTGAGAGATTTTGAAATACGAAATAAAAGATGAATTTTGGTCTGTTTTGTAGGGTTCTTATATCAACTCAATTTTCAAATAGTTCCAGACTTTGAACAGAAAATTTTTCAACCCAAAATAGGTCAACAGATGTATTGATATTCATTTGCATAAGGTCGATTTCTATCAGACGCAGCTCATATTTTAGATTTCATTCACAATTCTTTGCCCATTACAGTTTGTAATTTGTTTTTAAAACCCTCCATCTGCATTATCCACATCTAGCAAGTAGGTCTGCAAAACAGGTGCTAGGGGTGTCTTGAACTTCCAATGAGGCTTGAGCTTTTCCTTTGAGATCAAAGCCTTGCTATGATTTTGAGATGAAAAACAGCAATTAAACCTCTATTCCTTTGCTTAGTTTTTTGTCAAGTGTGTGTACAGGAATTTTGTGTTATGAATAAATACAATAATTATGTTATTTTTTTCCAGTAAATAAACAAGTTTATATTAAGAGCAGACAGAGGGCTCCCTTTTCCAATTTCTACTATGACTTAGATCTTCTTATTATTATAACATAACATGACTTATTCCAAATCTTCTTTTTTGTTTTGTTTCAGGCAGGTTTTTGATAGATGTGGGAATATTTGATTTTTGGCCTACTTTCATTATTCATTTCCATAAATTTCAGTTTACATTTTCCATTATAACTTATTGATTCATGCATCTATCTGCACCATATTGAATCATAATAGAATATGAGAAAACATTTGGTCCATCATAATATGAGGAAGAAGTCCTCAATAACAGAAGAAAAATCAATGAAAAGAAAAATCAATATATACTTATACTTCAACATTTGTACAGAAATACAGAGTTCCCCTCAAAACTTTGCGTAAAACATCATAAAATGTATTGGGGCAACTCGAATAATTCAAGTCCTTACTGTCTCCGATTATATCAGCCTTTAGAGGATAATTTTTAATGTAGTGGTCATAGTGAGCAGAATATATAGACTGGATTATTCAGGTTATAAAGAGGAATACAAATTCCCGCAATTTTGTATCTAATTACATCATAATGGAGCATACAATTTACCGCAATTTTGCATCTGTCATTACCAACATGTTATATAAAGCAGGTGTTTCCTATGAACAGGGTCAAATATTATGTAAACAAACACAAGTCTTTACTGCAGAAATGCTGATTCAATTTACCATTTTATAAGGAAACAAATGCAAAATGAGTTACAAGGAAAACTCACCTGATAATATTAATGGAGATTTTTGTAAATAAATATTAGAAACATGCTGACTTCAGTGACTTGTCTACCTTCTCTGATTTCATGTAGAAATAATTATAATTTTAATTGAATAATACTTTAATAAGATAAACATGTTACTTGAAACAAGCATTTTGCACTGTTTTTCTTTGTTTACATAGATAATGACTTCATAAATAAAATGCATAATAACATTACCAACATCAGGAGTGGTTCCCCATTTCAGCTTACTTTTCAAAAGAAACTATGCCAGAAATTCTGTAAACCTGTTTATGTTTTTTAAGGCCTCAATTATGTAGACAATGACATATGGTATTTCTACTTTATTTTTCTGATTATTATTACAGTATATATTTTTGAAATGTCATATTGCACAAAGTAAAATAATTAATGATTTACTAAGTAAGACTGTCTTACATTATATCTCCTTCAATCATGGATTTCAAAATATATATCATTGTAGTTTATTGTTTATGGGCCAGCCGAAGCCCACCTCTGGGTGTGGGAATTTTTCGCTGTGTTGAAGACCCTTTGGTGGCCTTGAGCTTTTTTTTGCTCTTTGGTAGGGTTGTTGTCTCTTTGACACATTCCCTGTTTCAATTCTCAATTTTATTCTTTACTTTGCAACTTTTATTTCATGATTCATATTTTGGTAATATTTCTTGAAAATTGGTCAGTTTGAACTGATAATACTAAATGCATTCTTGTAAGATTTGTTTAATCTGTGGTAGAGAGGATGAGTCATGAAATATTTTCAGACTAGGCCCAGTAAGACACAAATTACACATTATATCATGCAAAAATTGTACTCCATTGTTGTTTTAATTTCTCACCAGATACATCATGGAGATATCAAAGCGATCAATTCAGCCTCAAATCTATCAGCAGTACAGTCAAAACTTTATTTAAAGGCCACCCTCGACCATACAAAACTGGCATCATAAGAGAAGTGACCTTTGAATTGAGGTTTAAAATGCATATGACAAGGAACATTTGAAACTGGAACAATTTTGAAAAAGAAAAAGAAATGTATGATTAAGAAGGGCTAGCCATGCACGCATAGCAAAGGGGTTAGTGAGTTCATACTGAAATATCAGTGAAAGTAACCTGTGACTCTTTTCATATAAAAACTTACGATGAAAATTGATCATAAGTTATACTGAAAAGTGTATGACTTACGAGTATTTTTACTCTTAAGATTTTTTGTGAAAAAAGCCGCTGAACCTTAGCCATACACTCATGGCTATAAACCTTATTTAGTTTTCATCATACTTTTCTTATCAATTTTCCAGAATTCAAAATTATTCCAGATTTAAATAAATACTTGTTTCTATATATGACTACAGCAGAATAAGAAGAAATAGACCAGACAAGATAGGTTTTTGTTTAATAGAGATGCCTTTATAGCAGGTTTGAGTGTTTGACTACATGCATTTTCTTAAATTCCTACATTTCTCATGAAAATAAAAAATGCAATTTTCATTTTCTAACTAAATATAAGTGTAATATAACATTGCATTTACCTTTTAATCTTCCAAGAAATCTCAATGCTGATATTTCAGAGTATGTACAGCCTCCCAAAAAGTAGACAAGGACTACTTTAGAGGATGGAGGTAAGGAGGATGGCATCTTTCCTATTATTAAAAAAAAAACTTTTAACTTTTCTTTATTGATAAATAACACTTATAGTTCATTATACAATAAAAGGTTGTCAAAACAATAGTGTCATATTGGCAATGTATTCTTGCAGTATGATTGAATGATTTTCGATTGTCTATAACACTGTGGAGTAATTATTATTCATAGGATACCAATTTTTCAAGTTTTGTGGGTGTAGGTAAACCATGAATCTATATGTTCAATGAAGTACAAATTTATTATTGATTTGTATGCTGATTTTGGCGAAACCATGAAATCAAATATCCAAGAAACTACAATTATTGTTCAATCCACAAAAATTTACATCCATGAAAAATAAATGAATCTACAGTAGTCAACTTTCAAAACTTACCTTGTTTCCAAAAAGAAAATTTAGAAATGGGAGACAACTCTTAGGGAGCTACCATTTGATTTTTAGGGGGGGGGGGGGGCTAGGATGAAATTTGAAAAAAATAGGCAGGACAGGAGTTTTGAGTTAAAAAAAAGGCAGGATGAGATTATTTGCCAAAAAAAAGGCAGGATGACAATTTATGTAAAAAAAAAGTCAGGATAAACTAAAAAAAAAGGCAGGACCGAAAAGAGTGAAAAATAAAAAGGCAGGACCGAATAGAGGGAAAAATAAAAAGGCAGGACAAAATTTTTCATCCTAGCCCCCCCATAAAAATCAAATGGTAGCTCCCTTAGTAAGAACTACTTGGATCATTTTGCATCACTAGGGCCAGACTTGAAAATGTCAGTTGTCAACACTGATCAAGACTAGATTACTGCGTAAATCAACTAGGATATAAAAGAAGCATTCACAAAGGTGTCATTATGCTTCAAAATGGTCAAACATTGTCAAAAGTTTATGTCTCTCATTATAAATTGTCAAATCAAAATGGCACATGATATCAAATAATCTCTCAGAGCATAAAGCTTTTGGACATGTCTATTCATAGCAATAGCTTTAGCAAATTGTCATTATTCTATAATAGGAAATAACAAATAAAATGCTCCGCAGGGCGCAGCTTGATACGACCGCAGAGGTCGAACCCTGAACAGTTGGGGCAAGTATGGACACAACATTCAAGCTTGATACAGCTCTGAATTTGGATTGTGATTAAATATTTGACACAGCATAGGTTTCTGACACAGAATGAACGTGGTCTAAGAACTTAAAAATTTTAAATTGGACATTCACCTATTATGGTCCAATATCCAAAATCTAAATACATGGTTAGATTCGGCATATCAAAGACCCCCAAGAATTCAATTTTTGATGAAATCAAACAAAGTTTAATTTTGGACCCTTTTGACCTCAATGTGGACAAAGTTGATAATGGGGCCCAAAAATCTAAATACATGGTTAGATTCAGCATATCAAAGAACCCCATATATTCAATTTTTGTTGAAATCAAACAAAGTTTAATTTTGGACCCTGATTTGGACCAACTAAAAAACTGGGCCCATAATCAAAAATCTAAATACATGTTTAGATTCAGCATATCAAAGAACCCGAAGAATTCAATTTTTGTTAAAATCAAACAAACTTTAATTTTGGACCCTTTGGACCTTAATGTAGACCAATTTGAAAACGGAACCAAAAATTAAGAATCTAAATACACGGTTAGATTCGGCATATCAAAGAACCCCAATAATTCAATTTTTGATGAAATCAAACAAAGTTTAATTTTGGACCCTTTGGACCTCAATGTGGACCAATTTAAAAACGGGGCCCAAAATCCAAAAACTTAATACACGGTTAGATTCAGCATATTAAACAACCCCAAGAATTCAAGAACAAAACCCCATTGAAATTGGTCAAGAAATAAGCAATTTATACGAAGTATCTTCTTTTGCACAATACTGTGCAATTGAATATTTCTTGCTATTGCCCAATACTGCACAATTGACAATTTCTTCCTATTGCGCAATATTGTGCTATTGGATATTTCTTGCTATTGTGCAATACTGTGCAATTGAAGATTTCTTGCTATTGCGCAATACTGTGCAATTGAAGATTTCTTGCTATTGTGCAATACTGTGCAATTGAAAATTTCTTGCTATTGCACAATACTTATTATATAATAATTTACACATCCTGTTTGGTGTGTATCTCCTACCATATCATTATTATTTGCTTTTAAATATAAATCAGAAATAACCAACTTAAAATGGAAAATTTAAAAAAAAAAAAAAAAAGGAAAAAAAGAAAAAATCCCCCCCCCTCAAATTTTTTGAACCCCCTTATGATTCATATCACCCCCAAACTCAATCCCAGCCTTCCCTTTGTGGTATAGTACCTTGCAGTACAATTTCAGAGAGATCCATACACTTACACACAAGTTATTGTCATGAAACTAGAAAAATGCTTGTTTTTTGCCCCTTTTTTAGCCCCTAATTCCTAAAATTTTGAGGCAATTACCCCCAAACTCAATCCCAGCATTCCCTGTGTGATATGGAACCTTGTGGTACAATTTCAGAGAGATCCATACACTTGAACACAAGTTATTGTCTGGAAACTAGAAAAATGCTTATTTTTGGCCCCTTTTTGGCCCCTTATTCCTAAACTTTTCGGGCAATTACCCCCAAACTCAATTCCAGCTTTCCCTTTGTGATATGGAACCTTGTAGTACAATTTCAGAAAGATCCATACACTTTCACACAAGTTATTGTCATGAAACTAGAAAAATGCTTGTTTTTTGCTCCTTTTTTGGACCCTTATTCCTAATATTTTGAGGCAATTACCCCCAAAATCAATCCCAGCATTCCCTGTGTGATATTGAACCTTGTGGTACAATGTCAGAGAGATCCATACACTAACACACAAGTTATGTCTGGAAGTTACAAAAATGCTTATTTTTGGCCCCTAATTCCTTAACTGTTGGTACCATAACCCCCAAAATCAATCCCAACCTTCCTTTTGTGGTATTGAACCTTATGGTAAAATTTCATAGAGATCCATTCACTTAAACTAAAGTTAGAGTGCGAAAACCAGTGTGTCTTCGGACGACGCAGGACGACAACGACGACGACGCCAACGTCATACCAATATACGACCGCAAAAATTTTTGCAGTCGTATAAAAATGCTTATTTTTGGCCCCTTTTTGGCCCCTAATTCCTTTACTGTTGGTACCATAACCCCCAAAATCAATCCCAACCTTCCTTTTGTGGTATTGAACCTTGTGGTAAAATTTCATAGAGATCCATTCACTTAAACTAAAGTTAGAGTGCGAAAACCAATGTGTCTTCGGACGACGCAGGACGACGCCAACGTCATACCAATATACGACCACAAAATTTTTTTTGCGGTCGTATAAAAAATGGTGTAAGTCCAATAACTTTAGCAAAAATTGTGATATCACAATTCATAGTAGAACAGTATAAAACTTATTGAATCCTATTTCTAATATGTAGTGTAGCAGGGGGGAGAATAACAGATTTGGGGTTTAGATCATTAAGACAGCAACCCAACAACACAAGTAAACCAGACAATTAAAGTTCACAATATGGCCTTCAACAGTTGACAAAAAATTATCTTTTTCTGTTATGACAAGCTGATCAATTAAAACTGTTGATAATCGAGGTTTCAGACATAACTTTGTTAAAAAAAGCTATGGATAATTATCTGTTTCAACTTGAAGCATTTCTCCCTAGCCATTCAAATGTCACAATTGATCATTTTTTTTCTGAAAGCACCTGTTACAAATTGATCAATTGTAAGAAAATATGTTTAGTCAGTCTTTACAGACTTGGAACTCAAATCTATTTTATCAACCCATAAAAAATGGCATTTCAAAGCCAACTATACAGTATAGGTTTTTCTCATTGTTGAAGGCCATACGGTTGCCTATTATTGACACATCCACTTTGAACTTGGGTGGATAGTTGTCTCACTGGCAATCATACCACATCTCCTTATTTTTACACATTAAGTTATATACCTCTGAATAGTTTCCAGTATTTTTGGATACTTCTATAACTTTTTGGTATTTTATTTTATGAAAAAAAAACTCCTGATTAAATAATTCAGTACAGAGGTAAATGGTTATACAATATCTTTATCTGTATGTCATTGAGGAATTGGTCATCTAAATGCTGCAACATTCATTTATATATAATATATAAATATATATTTCTTACAAGGAAGAGAGTGCCTTTATCCATTAAAGAAAGGGTATGTCGCTTGTTATTAATTTTTCAAAATAGTATGATTGAGGAAAGGAAATTGGTTGAAACCTTGACAAGTATAACCAATCTATCTGAATTATATGTATTGTAAATTTAGGAATTTTTAGATTGTCTTTTTATTGCAAATTGTGACAGCATAGGTTTTGTCAAAATAAAAACTCACATTTTAAATTTTAAAAGCATTATGTGTATGAACCATTTCCTAAATTTGCAATAATAAAGTTCATATTTATGTCCATTCTTCATCAATTGCAATCATAGCTGCACACAAAAAAGGAATAAACTATTATAGCATAATATATCAATTGATTTTTTTGTACCTTTAGACTGTTTTGCACTGACTTCAGCAAAGACACCACCTGGTAAATGTTTAGTTATTTCTTCCATACCAATAAATGTTTCTTTCATTAGTGCCTAAGACAAAAAATGGAAATTTATTCAAAGCTCTGAGATTATTAAGATATTACTAAGTCTCCGAATATAAATACCATTAAATCCAGTTAAAAATTGCATAATATTATACTACCGCCACACTCTCAAACTTAAGCTAGGAACAAAAACAACATGAGTAAAATTGAGAATGGAAATGGGGAATGTGTCAAAGAGGCAACAACCCGACCATAGAACAGATAACAGCAGAAGGTCACCAACAGGTCTTCAATGCAGCGAGAAATTCCCACACCCGGAGGCGTCCTTCAGCTGGCCCCTAAACAAATATATATACTAGTTCAGTGATAATGAACGCCATACTAAACTCCAAATTGTACACAAGAAACTAAAATTAAAAATAATACAAGACTGACAAAGGCTAGAGGCTCCTGACTTGGGACAGGCGCAAAAATGCGGCGGGGTTAAACATGTTTATGAGATCTCAACCCTCCCCCTATACCTCTAGCCAATGTAGAAAAGTAAACGCATAACAATACGCACATTAAAATTCAGTTCAAGAGAAGTCCGAGTCTGATGTCAGAAGATGTAACCAAAGAAAATAAACAAAATGACAATAATACATAAATAACAACAGACTACTAGCAGTTAACTGACATGCCAGCTCCAGACTTCAATTAAACTGATTGAAAGATTATGTCTTCATCATATGAATATCAGGCATAATCCTTCCCGTTAGGGGTTTAGTATCATACCATCATAACATATATGAGAAGAACATAACCCGTGTCATGCCAACAACTGGTTTTTAAATAAATGTATTTAGTGCCGATGCAAAGACCCTATAAGTGAATCAATATAAACGCCGAAATATGCAATCTTTAATGACCTGACAACAGTATCGTAACTATATCCCTTCTTAATAAGTCTATTTAAAGGTTTTGTTAGCTTCAGAGGTGAATACTGACATTTTTGTGCTTTATAAAGAATATTTCCATAAAAAATTGGATGTGAAATACCTGAACGTATAAGAAGTCTGCATGTTGAGCTATATTTACGAATGATGTCCTTATACCGATGATAAAATTTAGTAAATGTTTTGACTAGTTTGTGATATCGAAAACCCTGGTGTAATAATTTTTCAGTAATACATAAATTTCTCTCGTTAAAATCTAAAACATTGTTACATACACGAGCGAATCGTACAAGTTGAGATATATAAACACCGTAAGATGGTGACAAGGGAACGTCACCATCTAAAAATGGATAATTAACGATAGGAAATGAAAAATCATCTCTGACTGATTCTGTGTGATCTCTACACAAGTTTAATCTTTTCATTTGAAAATAAGGAAATTAAAAGAGAACCATAGTTGCCAACTCACATGATATTCGCGTGTAATACACGTTTTTTTCGACGGTTTACATGCCAAGATTTTGTCACTTGGCTTGTACACGCTTCTCACCACTTTACACGCCATTACACGCTTTTTCATTGTTTTGATTTTTTGGTCGTTAGTGATATCGTGATTCTCAGGTTTTTTCATAATAAGACGATAAATACCGAAAATTTCCAAGTTTATTTTTCGATATGGACGAACAACAAATTAAAAGCCCTTCAGGTAAGTTTGTGAGTAGTTTTTAAGGTTTTGTGACTTTCTTTCTCTAAAATTCACTTTAGGGAAATGTCCAGCAGAACGAGGTTGCTTTCTCGACCTGTACCGTAGTCTAAAGAACAGAGTGCTAAGCGAAAACGATACGTGTGTACGTACCAAAAAAGTTGGGAGTCCGAGTTTCAATGGACCAACATGACCAAAGAAATCAAATCAAATATGTTTATTTTCCTAATCAAAGGGCCATACAAGGTATAATAATTACAAAGTATTATGCCTCTTAAACATTATCAATCATTGGCAACCAAAACAACATTTGTGAGAGGAGAACTAGCTATTTGATAAAGCATTCAATGGTATTCAAATTATAAAATTGTTTTTCTTTTTCAGTTTCAAATCTAGCCAACAGATTTCCACAGGCCATAGGGGATGGGAATATCACAGAACTGTTGGATCAATTTTCAGAGTACTAGCTGTCTTCTCCTGATGAACTACCCAGCTTTGACCAGGAAATAGCAAAGTTCTGGGGAGCAATGGCATACATAGATGACATTTTTAATGACACAAATCATTATGACATTCTTTCAAAGCTTGCTAAAGCTATTTTAGTTCTGGAAAATAGCAATTCTGACTGTGAGAGAGCAGTATCAATTATAAAGAAGATTTACACTGAATTCCAGTCAGAACTCAACAATGATACATTGTGTGTATTGTTATCATGTAAATTTAACCAAACTGGCAGTTGTTTTGAATTTGTGCCTAGTTGTGTTGTTTTGAAAGCAGCAAAGCAGGCCACTGTTGAATACAATAAAAGTTTACAGTAGAATATTGTTTTTCATATTAACAAGTGTGTATAATGTTCATATTAAAAAGTCGGCATCTACGTCACGCGTTTTCACACGCTTTTTGACATGTCATGTCATGACATGATTTGTCATTGTCAGAGGTTGGCAACTATGAAGAGAACCAATTGTTTAAACACTGTTTGGAATATCCTTTAAACTGCCAAAATTTGATCTTGATAAAATAAGAGCAGCTGACTCATTCTTAAATCAGTTAAATGTAAAAAATTCAAAAATACAAAAAAATCTTAAACATAACATGTCAACCAAAAATCATGGAATTGCGTATACACATTATTATACATGAACACATGTATGTAATGAGTTATCAGAAACTTCATATACATCAAAACAAATTGCAATTCACATCAGCAAAATTTTGTACCTGTTCAACAAGTTTACATGACAAAGGTGAATATGCTCCACTAAACACATATGACATGTCAGTTGGACTCTTCAAGTTAATGTCTTCAGTTTTAGGTATCTGTAAAAGTCAATTTTGAGCATTAGTGTTGATCTCTTAAAAGATAATAAAACAATATACATAGATTTAATAAAATGCTATTTTAGCTCCCATGACCTTGACCTCAAACCTTGTGACATGAAAAAAAAAAGAAACTCTCTCCAAGGGAAATTATCATTAAAATTTGTTTGTATATGACAACGGATAATTGTGAAATTTTTAGTTTATTAAACTAACATGATAGTTTCTATGCTTTTCCAATGAACATCATAGTCTCGTTCTTTTCTTATAAATATCAAGTAATGTGCATTTGAGGCTGTTTTTCAAATATCATGAATTTTGATTGGACATATCTCATAGTGTTGGATAATCGGTTGAAATTACCAACTGATTATCTATCACTATAGGTTGACAGCAACCAACCAACTATCAGTTATACTCGCATTATCATAACTTGCTCTTTTTTATATGATAACATGCATTCATCCACATAGTACATATCTTATGCATATCTTATGCATATATTCCATACCATTGTACAGCTTTATTTGTTCATGTTTGACCTTTTCTTTACTTTTCATATTTAAGTAACCAATTAAAACAGTGAAACAAATATAGACCAGTGATCAGTATCACAAAAAGTCTTACGACTAAAGTTCATCGTAAGTCATGAACAATTCATAGATATAGGATGATGTGGTATTAGTGCCAATGAGACAACTCTCCATCCAAGTTACAATTTATAAAAGTAAACCATTATAGGTCAAGGAACGGCCTTCAACACGGAGCATTGGCTACTTATGAACCACTTTTTGTGAAACTGATCACAGATTCCGACTGATCATATTTTGTCTTATAATTACAAAGTTTTTACAAACGAAAGTGAACCAACGCCTGGTGAGTCTGTAGTGAGTTAGAGTCCCTGAAGTGGATACCTCGGGTATGCAGGGTCGTTATGATGAAACACAATAATGTAGAAAGTCTTATAACAACAACACTGGAGGGACTGCTGCAGAAAATTTAGGCACCGAAACATGTCGATCAATAAATTTTCTGCAGCAGTCCCTCCAGTGTTGTTGTTATAAGACTTTCTAAATTACAAAGTTTATTCACAACAATGAAATTAAAATCTCTAAATTTCAATGGTGTCACTCACATGGATAATTTCAAATACATAGCTGTATCAAAAGTTGAATGTTTATCATTAAACAGATAAATAAATTTAACTTAAAACTTAAATCAGTAAAAAATATTTACATAGAAATATATAGATTTAACTAAGGTGATCTAACCAAATGTCTGTTAATGTGTGAGGAGTGTATACTTTTCACTTTTGGGATTATTATTCTGCTCTCAGATGTGCTATTCTTGAGTCTGTAGTTATTTTCATTAGAATACTTATTTCTGTCATAGTTGGTTCTCACCTGATCCCATTTGTATAAATATTTCAATGGCGGACGAAGAAAAAAATACAAAAGTAAACCGTTTGACAAGGGATTTGGAGAGGAATATATCATTTGAATGCAATAAATGGATGAAACATTAACTAAAGGCAATTTTCATCTTGTTCTTATGAAGTAACTAATTTATCTTGCCAAAAAAATCAGATCGTTTTGATGAACGCTCTTGAGTAACAAGTAACGCTCTTAAGTAACAAGTAACGCTCTTGAGTAACAAGTATTGGAGGTGAAAGCAAATACTTCACAAAAAGTTGTTTCTTTGAAATAACATATGACCAATCTGTAAATTCAATGCTTTCACCACGTTTCTAAAGAAAGATATTGTTTATTTATTTTATTTTTGTTTGTTTGACATGGTTATTGTTATCTGATGAAATTATTTGGACATATTCTAAAATCACGCAAAAAATAACAAAATCCAAATTGATTATTGACCTCGCTGAGTCAAACAAACTGATTTCCGAAGTATTCCGGAACAACACTTTAATGTTTTATGTTTCATCATCATGTACAAAGTTAACCTTTTTTTTAAATTTTTGTTGGGTTACTGTCTCATTATTTTTTACTCAACATTTTCTTTAATTCATACAACTTACAAGGGCTAGTCTTCTACACAGACTTTTAAATGAGCTGTGTTTAGTCATGGCTGCCATACTGGATGTCACTTTACCAAGAGATGATGCTGGTTGAATAGTTGTCAGTTCTTGATCTATCAACATTCCAAGCTTACTTAAGTTGTAAAATGATAACATTTGTTCAAATCCGTGACTCTAAAACAAAAATTCTTTATAAAAAACAATTATAGAATCTAATACTCTCATTTACTATTAAGATCAATAACCTAAAGAATTTAGTGGTTCAAAAAAGTAAAGATCAGAATATTTTTTATTTAATTTAGTGAATATTTACAAACTTCAGAGATAGGTCAAATAACAAGTTCATTATGCATTGTACTTTAACTAAACAGTTCTTATAAAAGTATTTTGAATATAGTGTGTTTCAAGATTGGTGTCAATTTAGACATAAAATAAGATGGTGTCCATAGTACACGGATGCCCCACTCGCACTATCATTTTCTATGTTCAGTGGCCCGTGAAATTGGGGTAAAAACTCTAATTTGGCATTAAAATTAGAAAGAACATATCATAGGGAACATGTGTACTAAGTTTCAAGTTGATTGGACTTCAACTTCATCAAAAACTACCTTGACCAAAAAAAATAACCTGAAACAGGACAGACGGACGGACGGATGGACGGACAGACACACAGACTGAAAAAACATAATGCCTCTCTACTATTGTAGGTGGGGCATAAAAAAACATCACTTACAGCAATTTATTAATTCAAAATGAATATGGTAACATAGACTGGATCCAGTGTTGACAGTTGATGTTGTTGGACTATGCAGTATTTTTGGTGATTGCTGTTATCACTTTTTCAAGTATCAAATAAGCATTCACATTAAATATGTACATTTTAAAAAAGTTTGTTCTATGTTGTTCTGTTCAACAACTTGTTTTAAGAATGTTGCTTTTATCAATTTTTATGCTACCAAAATGTACTTTCAACTGTTCTTACAGTTGGGTGCAGACCAAGCATAACATAAAGCAAACGCACATTAACGCTGCATGCAAATATTTCATTTTGTTAACTCAAATTTTCGTAATTACTAGTAAACACGCATTTACTATAATTACGTTAAGGCTGTCAAAATGGAAATTTCTAATGTCTACTCAAGTAAACGTGCATTTACTCTGTGTCCGTTTAGTCAGAAGTTAACGGGTGTTTACTACAGATTTTACATCTTTACCTATATGTGCACTTAGAAAAGGCGCGTTTACTCTTCCTATTAACTATTTGTGAAAATTATAAATAATTCTTGTAAGAATGAATTCTAATTTCAAAGTTTGAATAGAAAACCAAAAAACATAACTTTTTTGAAACTTTTTTAAGTTCTTTTCCTATTTGAATGAAATATGTTAATCTTGGTTTGAATACCATTAAACAGTTTCATTTCCTTTATTTTCAATGGCTTATTCATATGTTGCGATTGATAGATAAATAAAGTATCACTAAAAAAAAATTTCAGAAATTATTGAAAAATTAAATACTGCAAAATTTTAAAAAAAGATAGTTTTACATGTTGTCAACAATATTGGCTATAGCAGATTTAACTATGCAATGCTTCAAGTCTTGAAATAAATTATATGAAATAAAATGATCTATGAAATTTTGTTTTCAGACAATCCATTCATTTCAAAATATTTGCCGTAGTTCATGGTTTACTGCATTTAAAAATGATTTAGTTGATCGACCTATAAATTCAATGTATAATGTCAATTTTATTAAACCTGTTATTCCCTACAGACCACAGAAATAGCTTTTTTTATTAAAAAAATCTGTCGAAAATAATTCCTTCACTTTTATGTCAAACAATCCATCCTAAAGTATAAAAAGAGAATTTATCAGGCAACTACAAGCTTTTATTATTATTATACAAAAAAAGAAATATTGGCAATTTTAATTGATATCGACATAAGTATTACAATGTAGTAACCATAGACTTAAAGAGATCTCAATTTGTGTAAAACTATTCCTCCTGAGGTACCAAAAGAACAGAATTTCAATGCTGTTACATAATATTTTAACAAAAGGGAAAATATTGGCACCATATATTGATGTTGACAACAAATTTTGCAATTTTTCACTTAAACTCCTTCACTTTTATGTCAGAAAATCAATCCTGAGGTACAAAAAGTACTCAATTATCAGGCCAGCACAATATATTAACTAAAAAAAGATATATTGTCACTTTTTATTGCTATCAACATAATTATAAGTAACCGTAGACTTATAGAGCTCTTGATTTGTGTAAAACTATTCATCCTGAGGTACTAAAAGAACAGAATTGTAATGCTATTGTATAACATTCTTTACGGCAAATGTATCTTGGTCAGGCGTCAAGAAATATCATAAATCTGAATATTTTGTTTTCGAACCTTCCAATCGGTTTAAAATCTATGTCCACTCACAAAAATAAATTGAAAAGGTTTTACACTTCCTGAAGAAATATCTTTGTTACTTATAAAAATAAGAAGATGTGGTATGATTGCCAATGAGACAACTCTCCACAAGAGACCATATAACACAGAAATTAACAACTTTAGGTCATCGTACGGTTTTCAACAATGAGCAAAGCCCATACCGCATAGTCAGCTATAAAAGGCCCAAAAATGACAAATGTAAAACAATTAAAACGAGAAAACTAATGGTCTGATTTATGTACAAAATAATGAATGAAAACAAAATATGTTACACAGCAACAAATGACAGTTTTGAATTTTCAACTAATTAAATACATGTCATATCATGCATTTTAATCGATAATCTATATATTTGTCGAAAATGGGCAGTTGGGCATTTTTACGTATATATAGCTATTCATGTGATATGATTGGTCAGTGTATCCAGGATACCATGACAAACTGTGTTAACGTGCAGATTTACCAAATGTTAACGTGCGTTTCCTTCTAACAAAAATAGAAGACGCGCCTTTTTCACATTAACACAGAGTTAAACGTAAAAGTAAACAGGCGTTTACTTTTTATGTCTACTGAAATTTGGAGTTAACGCCAAAGTTAACGTGGCGTTTACATGAAGTGCACCCTAGTGAACGCCACTTTAACTTTTTCTGTCAGTTTACATGTAATACTTGGTCTGCATCCAACTGTATATGTTTTTGTTGTTTTTTACTTAATGCAGTATTTGATTTCTTTGTCCAATTTTGTACTTTCTACATTTCTTTTTTTATGTTTTAGACATGTCTTAACCTTCAAACATATTTGATCTGGTTTGCCCTTCTATAATAATGTTATTGCTTTTTTCATATAACCGACTTTTGACTCAGTATATAAGTTTTTGACAGGTTAGGTTGCACCAATTGAAAGCTAGTTTTTATTTTTTTAGTTGCTCTTACTTGACTGAGTACCTGAATGTCCTACAACAGAATAGGTAACCTGTCGAAAATTATATACTTCAGAGTCAAAAGTCTGTAATATGAAAATAATCTTTTTTACATAGTGTTATGTCCTTCATCTTATCTGTTTCTGGTCTGTTTGGACTAGTTTTTTACCTGACAATATTGTTTCTTCAATGATTTATAGTCACGAGCTGGTATTCCATCCTGGGTGAGGGACAGCAAACATAACAATTTAAGGGTCTGTATCATGTTTGACTGAAATGACAGAAATATATAAAATCTATGTTACTAGTAATTTCACATCAAATTTGAAATGATTAAAAATTATAAAATTCTATAGAGAAGATTAAGACTTCAAACTCTCATACATTAGGTGTATACTCCACATTCTTCTCATTTTCAAACACAATTTTGATAAAATGATGAACATTAACATATTTTTTTGCAATTGAGGTTCAACTGAATTAACACCGAACTGAATCCTAGAGGTAGGAAACCTATGGTATGCATGGTGGTTTTATAAATTAAATTAAAAATTAATATGAAACAGTTTTCAGTAATGGAGAAGTTTGAAAACTGATTTGAATAATAAAATATGTTAAACAAAGTTTCCAAAAAGAATGAAGCTGTTTGTTTCTCACGGCCCACTTTTAAATAATGTTCTGTGCATGGCCTCGATCATAGATTTCAGAAATCACAAAAATATTATAAAGTACAATGTACTATCATATATGCATCATCAAGGTACAAGATAACTCCAATCTGTAAATTTCGAAGAAGATGTTAACATGCAATTTGTGCAAAGTCAAATGTTAAACTATGTTCTGCAGAAGTTACCATCACAGGATTTCAAATAGACATATAGAAATACCCATTATACATCAAGTATGCATAATATCAATAGAATATATGTGAAATGGTTTCCAAGAAAAAACTGTTTACAATTTTTACCAGTATGGTCCATGGTTAATCATTGTTCTTCAAAGATGGCCATCTTGGCTTTCAGACTGTCATAAAAATCCCAATACTGGTAGTGGAACATGTATAGATCATTCAAACAACATAACAGTTTAGTCAGCATAGTTGTTTATAACGTGAGCATTTAAGTATCAGCCCATCAGTACTCATAACTGCCCTCTGGCAGCCATCTTGAATTTCAAACCACAAAACAATATGACCAATTCCATAAATACAAACATTGGGGCATTCATGACAAATTGGATTTGGCACATTTATTTCTAAGCTATGATATTAAGGTTAGAAACTGCAAATTATACAGGATACTTCAAATCTCACCTGGCCCACATGTAAAAACTGTCTATAAACAGATTTTGTACATATAACATAATCTCTTGAAAACTTAAACCTTTTTGCACAGGTAACACATTAGTTCATTGTTTGCTACAATAAGTGTCCTTATCAGGCTAGACACTGATCTCACAGAATTTAAGACTAAAATCATAAACTTTACAAATATATCAGGCAAGTGAAAGGACATACCTGTTTGTTTATAAGTTCCTCAATAAATGTCATGTTTTCTCTCAGTGCTGTACCTTCCAACAAACCTATACAAAAATCAAGAGATAAACATTATACTAGAAAACATATTTGGTACTCAAATGATCGTTTGGATTGTATAACTGATATCTGAATGTTAGAACACTCAAATCTTAATTTTGATAAAATTGTAAGATGGTTTGACAGATATTTTCCTTGCAGACAATCCAGTATTATTCCTTAATTAATAAGCAATTCAGTGTTTATTGTATACACATGTAAATAACAGTTGCTTAACATTTTGAAAAAATAGACTGAAGAGATCTTTAATTGACTGCAAGCTAAATGTCTTAACAGCTCGGAAATTTTTGAAAAGACTTAAGGATGTACACCTCTGAGGAGCCAAAAATTTCTGAATTAAACTTTTTTTCTTAACCTGATTTTTGGGTTTATATGACTGTAAAAAAATAATTGGCAAAGAAAAAATATGGTGGTGCACTTCTTTTTTTGCTACAGCCATTTGAAAGTACCCAATTTTGATGACTTTCCCATTTTTCATCAATTTTTACCCATTTTTGGGCTATTATCATGAAAAAAATCACAGTTTCACAATTAAACTTTTTTTCATACTTACACTAAAGATGAAGTAGACCAATCTGAATAAATTTAACTTAAAAAAACTATGGGTAGGTGTTAATATAAGAAAGTTTTATAAAATTTCGTGCTTTTTCGTGTCAAATTTACCATGTTGTCAATTTTTGTAAATTTGGGATTTTTCTCTTTTTTTAGAACAAAAAGCATATTATTTCAACTTCTTTGTTATAAATGATTGAAAAAATATATATCTAAGAAATCTGAAAAGAAAAAATTGATATGGGATGTACATGTATCTGGTAAAATCATTTCTTGTACCCCTCACCCATTTTCTCAACATTTTGGCTAATGAGACTGACTTGATTGGTTATAAAATTTGAAAATTTTATTACTCAAAAACTACTTATTGTAAATACACAATTTTTTCACAGAGTTATGTTTGATTATAATATTTTTTAAATTCATTGATATTTTCCACTTGTATCACATGATTTGGAAATAATTCCAGAACGAGATTTCAACGAGACTGAAACATCAGAAGAATACATCCTTAAGTCAGGCTGATACATTTAAGTGAAGTATTGTTTATTAATGTGATACACTGGAAGTATAGTAATTGGTTTTAAACTAAAAAGGACATTATGTTCACTTTTACGTTATGGACCCCTAAAGAAAAATAAAGAGATGGACAAAATCTCTTGAACTGAATGAAAAGGCTAATATTAATTATCAAATAGCCTGTCAGATTTTATCACATATTATTGTATATTTACAATGAAATTCTAATTGTCCTAAATCTTTTAACCAATACTTATATTATATTTTCAGATTTGGCTATATTAGACTGAGAATTCAGCGATGATCTACAACAAGGAACCATTACGTACTCCTGAAAATGTATATATAATTCTTTCCTTATATCTTAAAAGATTTTTTTATATGTTATATGTTTTTAATCAATAACAGTCAGACTGCCATACAATTCAAAACATATAGTTCTATATTTTACACTCTTGAATTCAAAAGTATGGACTTTGAGAACAGCAAAATTTTAATCAAAATAGCCTCGATATTATCATTCCAATTATAAACACGGTCCTTTTTATACATTGTACTCAAAAAAATGTTTATATAATATTTCTGTTTATTTGTCATTCAAAAAACTTGTTATAAGAACTATCAATAAAAAAGCACATGTTTATACTTAAAAAAAATAATTATGTATAATATTTCTGTATATTTGTCATTCAAACAACTTGTTAAATGAATTATCAATAAATATGAACATGTTTAATTAACATCAGTCATCAAATGTGTGCAACAGTCTACAAATGTTTGTATTTGTTTACCAAATGTCAAATTATTTTTCTTTTTTAAATTTCAGTTATCCAATAAAATTTGCTTTGCGTTTTATTTCAATTTTTTGAATGCATGTCTAACAAGAATGTGTCCATAGTACACGGATGCCCCACTCGCACTATCATTTTCTATGTTCAATGGATCATGAAATAGGGGTCAAAACTCTAATTTGGCATTAAAATTAGAAAGATCATATCATAGGGAACATGTGTACTAAGTTTCAAGTTGATTGGACTTCAACTTCATCAAAAAAACTACCTTGACCAAAAACTTTAACCTGAAGCGACCAAAATCTTTAACCTGAAGTGGGACAGACGGACGAACGGAAGCACAGACCAAAAAACATAATGCCCCATTTGTACTATAAGGAAATAAAGTAAATCAGAACAATTCCTTGATGAATCATTTTTCATTTTAAATTGTTTGTTTCCTATAGACAAATCTTGTTATATTTTCCAAGTGATTACAGTTGTTTGTAATTCCAAGGAGCCTTATTTCAAATTAAAATGTGTTTGTAAAAACATTCCGTACATTTGTTATTCAAACCACTACTTAAAATGACTTTTCAATAAAAATACAATTATTAAACCAACTTCTGTCATGAAATAAGTGCAGCAGCTTACAAATGTATGTTTATATTGTTTACAACATGTCAAGTAAGATAAATCTATAGCCGTCCTTTTATACAGCGTCAGTACAAATAGACCAAGGTCAAACTTGATTGGAAACAATCAGCAGTAGCCAGTCAGCAGACGGACAAGCCTGTCGATGTTTGGAATCAATCGAACCCCTGACAAATTAAACATTGGGGTATTTAACAACAATTACATTAGCATATTAGGCATGTTAGGTAAAGTACTGTACGTGAGATAAAGTGGATGCTAAATTAGCTACAAGTTCACATTTATTGTCGAAATACAAATAATATGATTTCCTGTCTGGAAAAGTTTCTTGAATAAAAAAATTGTTGATGTTCATTAAAAGTACAGGTAGTTCATATCTTCAGGGTAAGGTACCAGACTTATTTGGAAGTGCAAAGGAAGGGAAAAGTGAGGACTATTTCAGTCAGAATACAGAGATCAATGCCATAAATATATAGATTACTCTCATACATATTTCAATTAAGTGCCCACAGCTGCTTTCCAGAGAGACCCATAGAGGTTCAGAGGATGAAACTGCCCCTATCAGAAATTTTGTACACTCAAAAGATTTAACTGGGAAAAATATCCATGGCATCCCATTCATTGTGGGGTTTGTATGTGGAACCTTTTCCAAAAGGTCTTGCCAATGATTTTGGATGGTTCTAGTGAACAGTATCTGGTCCTATTCTATAACTTTGACATGATACTTCTTACTCAGAAAGAATTGTGGAATAAAGATAAGCACTGTGTGTAGTAAAAGTGTGTACTTTCCATGTATTTATGGCTAAAAATTACATGTTTTTAATGAAACACAAAATATTACATTTATTTGTTGCTGTTTTTTCAACAACCCAGGTGTATTAACAAGTTGTGATAACCACATATAGGCTATATTGCTTAGTTATCTGACTCATACAGTGAATATAAAAAAAGGTGATTTGCAATTTGGAAAGGGTAGGGGGTAACATCCAATTTGATAAAAACATGGAGAAAGAAGAGATTCTGACCACCAGAACCCTTCTCTTTATCTGCCGTTGTGACCATTCAGTACAAAGGTAAACATATTCACCTAATTAAGACTCTAGTGGGTAGTTGTCTTTTTGGCAATCATACCATATATCCTTATTTTTATATATATTGCAAAATTTTGTAGGGAAATATATGTTGAATTTTCTTTCTACTAGTTCAATATTTTTATCTTAAAAAATTCCTAAGGGGTTCCATGGAACCCTGTGTCTCGCCTATGATTGCTGTTGACCTGTCAGTGTAAAAGTGTAATGTTGACTTAAAAAGTGAGTCCATTTATCAGTAAAATATAGAATTTAAAAAAAAATTCAAGTTTATTTTTTAGATGCTATTTCTTGGTCTTGAAGATTAGCTTCTGTCCAAGTTTCACAACAATCCATGAAGGTTTACAAATTTGTCATGTCAAAAAAATTTAATCCCAGACTGTCTGTAAATGTTAACTGCAAAAAACTAGGTCCATCTATCAGAAAAATACTGAAAATGAAAAATGTATTTTCAAAAGTTTGCTTCAGACATTATTATCTCTTAATCATAAAAAAGCTTCTGCCAAAGTTTCATAAAATCTATGAAGGTTTAACTTTGACAAAGTAATTGATGTATAACAAAGTTTAACCCCAGACTGTATCTTCTTGTTAACTGTAAAAAAACTTAAGTCCATTTATCAGTAAAATATTGAAAAATGAAAATAAATATTTTCAAAATTTTGCTCTTGATACTGTATTTTGGTCATTTTAAAACAAGCCTCTGTCCAAATTTCATAAAATTCCATGAAGGTTTGACAAAGTTATTGATGACTGAAAAACTTTAACCTCAGACTAAATCTGAATGTTAACTGTAAAAAAACTAATATAAAAAAGAAGATGTGGTATGATTGCCAATGAGACAACTCTCCACAAGAGACCAAATGACAAAGAAATTAACAACTATAGGTCCCCGTACGGCCTTCAACAATGATCAAAGCCCATACCGCATAGTCAACTGTAAAAGGCCCCGAAATGACAAATGTAAAACTTTTCAAGAGAGCAAACTAACGGCCTGATTTATGTACAAAATAATGAACGAAAAACAAATATGTAACACAGCAACAAACAACAACCACTGAATTACAGGCTCCTGACTTGGGACAGGCACATACAGAATGTGGCAGGGTTAAACTAGTTTGAAGGCGCCACCCTCCCCCTAACCTGGGACAGTGGTGTAACAGTACAACATAAGAACAAACTGTAAAAATCAGTTGAAAAAGGCTTAACTCATCAGATGGAAACAAACAGAAATACATCTAACAAAAACAGAGTGGACATGGATGGGTACTGGTAAGTCCATTTATTAGTAAAATACGGAAAAATGAAAATAAATATTTTAAAAATTTTGCTCTGGATACTGTATTTTGGTCATAAGCAAGCTTTTGTCCAAATTATATAAAATTACATTAAGGTTTGATAAAGTTATTGATGTCTAAAAAAAAAAACTTTAACCACAGACTGAACCTAAATGTTGATGCCCCTGACGCCGATGCCGGAATCTAGGATCGCTATGTCTCGCTCTAGTGACATAAATGTTGCAGGCTCGACAAAAATCCCTTATGATATGATATATAACCAAGCCCTTGCCTGTTTTACAGTTAAGATTAAAAACTGTTCAGAGTCCTGTGTTATTAATCTGCACCCCAAATAACAGAATGTTGCCCCAATTTTTTTCCTATCAATTCATTAACTTAAAAAATTTCATTGTTTTTTTTTTTCACTGCTGGTTACCAAGATGGTCAATATTTGCCGCTATAAAATTAATATAGAACTGACTAAAATAAAGTTTTATGTTGCATAACCCAATAAAAAAACTTCTATAATTTTAAGACATGGTGTAACTTATTTATTTGTTCATAAACATCAAAAGCTCACAACGTTAGATCAAATAATCTGTAGACGATCAATTACTGGTAAAGCAATTATCAGTTTTTAACTCCAACATGTCCACTGGGTCTATTTTAATTAATATGGAAATCTAAACCATGTTATATTTGTGGTAAACAGATCATTATTTCAAACTAAGCACCTGAACATCTGCATGCTAATTACTAACAAATATAATAGTTATAGACAACTAAAAAGGATTAAATCAATGTCAAGTGCAAATATCGAAATCAATTCCAAGTGCAAATGTACATGTAACAATATCTGTAAAATTACATGTATTTTAAAAGTATGATATTGAATGCACATTAAATTCAACTCAAATCTTAGAAACTTATTTTTTTAATGTAGATCTTTTTTAAAGAAAATTTAATTTTGTGCAATGTAATAAAATAAAATCTCTGCACTTGCTTATTTTGCTATGCTTGGTCATCCCACGCAGCAACCAAACATAAAAAGAATTATTGAATGTGGAGATTTAATATGAATTAGATTGCACTAAGTGATTCTGTATACCTGACTACATCTACAATTATTATAATAATAAAAATTGTAAAGGAACTTTTATCCATAAATTTTAATTTTCAGGGCAACTGGAAATATTATTGAAAAGTTTAAGTTTTTTTATAACTAGTTTCAGACCAATAAACCTAAAAAAAAGTGTAGAGCATAAACTGATTAATCATCACTTCATTTCTAAAAAAAGATCTAATATTTTGCACGCCTGTTGCCACAAATCAATTTTATAATGATCATTACTGAAATCTTTGTGACTAATCATGCTGTGACGTCACTGTGAAAAAAATGTTTTACATCATTAGCACCAAAACTTTTAATCTTAGGGCTTACTACCTGTAAATCTAGTCCAAATAATCATGACGTCTTGAAAGGCTATTTTTAATTTTTTGCCTTCCTACGTGTCACAGCAAAATATCAAAATAGCCTTTCAAGACGTCATAATTATTTAGACTACTGTAAATTTAATTACTTGGAGTATATAAACAGATTTCTATACTTATTTTGTATGTCATCATTCTACTTGCTGACCACAAGCTCCAATGACCAACTACAAAATGACACATGTTCAGTTGTATTCATAAATTTTTGATACATATAAATGAAGGGACTAAATCAATTCATTATATCCTGAAATCAGACATTCAAAAACAACCATACAGATATTGCAACTTTATATATTGTATACAAAATGCTTATAGCACTAATAATGACATAAATGCTCTTTTCCCATTGTTTATTGTCTAGCAGTATAAACGTCATAAAGGGTGAGATTTTCCTAAAAAGATTTTTCTAGATGTGAAGTTCGAAATTTTTTCTCAAGAATAATAGATTTCAAACTTGCAAGATCTTTTTATTGTTTCAGATATAGATTGTACATTGTAACTACGTCCAAATATTGTAAAATACCTAATGTGCAAAATATAATCCATTCTATAAGACACTGTACAAAATTACAGACTGAAGACTTTGATCAATTTAGTGTCAATGATGGTTCAGTAAATAGATTAATGATTAGGCTATACTGGGACAATCTATATAGGTATTAAAGGTCTTTGAACCAAGTCAGGTTCAAACAGGATCCTGATTTATTCAGTATAAAGACAGGTTTCACACTATTCTACCTTCTGTATATTGATAAGGCATGGCAATACCATGAAGGTTTTATTTTCTAGGAATGTGAACCATCCCATGCTGAATACTTTTGTACTTTTTCTTATTTTATCCATGCATTTTAAAACTGATTACAAGTTTGGTATGCCAACACTTTTTACATCTTTCATCAGAATAGCTTTATTTAAATAAACTGTCAATATATTCTAATAAGTATGTATATTCTTAGCACTTGGGTCTCTTCCTATATAAAGATATACATAATCTGGTATGGGTAACTTATTTTGGAATGTCAAATATATCATCAGTGTGCAATTTCATTGGGAAAAGTTCAAAATCGGGAACAATCATTTTTTTTCATGTAGAATTTTCACAAAATCGTGTTTTAGAGCTTTTTTCCCGATCATGATCAGGCAATTGTGACAAGAAGTCAAAATCGTGTAATTCACGCCTAAATCATGAAAGTTGGTAGGTATGACTTGATTACATAAAATGGGTATTGTCTTTTGTAAATTTTGCTGAATAATTAGGTACCCACTTTTCCAAGTCTGCCCATTTAACATCACCACACTGTAAGCTGTTTTTGGAACCTGGCAAAAAATATTCATTTACATGCACCTTCATGACCTTATTGTCCAGTCAGTAAAACAAGTCTGTATTCCTGTACTATCTAAACTTTATAGCAAAAAGGTATACATTTGGCAACTGTAGAAATATTTGGTAAATACCTAAATCTATATTGCAGGACAAATTGCATTTTCGTTTATATTTGATTTCTGACTTTGCAAAAGTCTCTATACAAACCAATAGAAAAAGTGTTCTTAGTTGAGTTGAACATTTAAATTTGTGATTTACCAATACCCACGAAAATGAGTATACCACTAATAATCATAAATCCACAGTATTTAGCAAAAAATAAAGCAGACGAGGGGTGAGACTAAAAATGTACAACCGGGTATCTACATAAAGCTTTGTGATTTTTTATTGCTGTGAAAAATGTAAAAAAAGATGGCTACATGGAAAGATGAAAATTGGTATACTTCTCTAATGAAGCATAGCTTAATGATGTACGAGGATAAAAATCAAAATATAGTAATAACTTATACAGATCAATGAATCAGGTAAGAATATTAAATAAAGGTAAGTAAACTCACTATGCTCTGTTTGTAAATATTCCTCAAACTCTCCTTTAGTTTTCTTTCCAAGGATAACCTCACAGGCACCAATATCTGTGTTTTTTTTATAAAACATAAAAATAAATTAAAATTACAACAGAAAAATCATATCTCCTTGTGGTATGTTAAGCATGAATTTCAGAGGTGTGTCACAGGAATAAGTTCTTCAAGTTGTGACCATGGGATAACTCAACATTCTTTGTTTCCTAGGTGAAGTGGTCATGGTGTCACATAGAAATGGTCTTGAAAAAAACACCAGATCTTGAAAGCCCTTTTTCACAATCCCCATCCCTGTACAATCCTAAAACCAAAATGAATTTGAATTCAAGTTTTCCTTCAAAAACCCAAACCTTTCTACATCTTATCATTCATTTTGTATTTTGTGGATACTTGCCTCATTGGCAATCATACATTTCCTTATTTGCTGAATTAAATAAAATATTTGGAAAAAAATTATATATGCATTTTTTGTTTGTAATATAGTCGAACTTTATTCCAAACAAAACAAACATTAAAAAAGCATGCCTGATCTATGACGTTAATCATATTCCCATGTGGCAGAATATATGTAACAGGAAACATGTCAGTTTTGGCAAACAAACTTAAAATTTGTGCTTTTTTAGTTTTAATGGTGTGCATACTTTTGTGTACTTGTTAAGCAAGGTTACAATAAAACAATTAACACCTACGATGTGATAGAGCTGCTTTCTGTGCCTTCAAACCTCTCAATTTAGTTGCCACAAAATCTTTCATGTCCCCAACAGATTCTAGTGCATGTCTTTGCTGGAAAAGATAACAACGTTGTTCTATCAGTATTATTATCAATGGAAACTTTTTTATGGGTGGTTATTCTGGTACAGATACATGTGCCACCAAAAAAAAATATAGCCACTTTCAAATCAAGGAAAAACATATGTTTAACTTCTGCCAGTTTAATAATTGCTTGAATTAGAATATTTGGAATTTTAGAATTCTGAACAGTACAAAACCTTGTTTAATACAAAATCTTTTTCTTATTTTGAAAAAAAAAAGAGGAAGAAAATTAATTTTCATGATGAAAGGCCAAGTTAGAATTGGATGGTTTTTGTTATGGTGTTGTCTGTTCAACTGTCCAAAATATTTGGTGATTTCTGTAATCCTTTTTTTATGTATTTAGTCTGTACCAAACAGCTTGTTATCAATGTTTTTTCACAATTTTAACAAAAAAGACATGCCTCATGTGTCCAATGGCAGTGTGCTTGCAAATGAATGGTCAACCTGAAGTCAGAATATTGTGTCCAGTTAGGGTGACATGTTATCCCGCTGACTGTTCCCTTATAATCTGGCACTAACACTGACTTGTAAAACTAGAGGCTCTGAAGAGCCTGTGTCGCTCACCTTGGTCTATGTGCATATTCAAAAAGGACACTCTCCAGCATTGTATACAAGAATAGAATTCATGACAAAAATCTCTGTTTAGTTAATCTTGTACTGCTGATCATTTAGTCTGTTTAGTTTCTCTCTATCTTCATTAGTTTTTGCTCAAAACACAAAAGAGGGTAAAAAAAATCCTCATTGAAGGGCAATCACTCCTGTAAAGAGTGAGAGTCTATTAACTATATCGGCAAAATTTGACTTGTTGGTAGATCTTGCCTTGGTAATCATTTTTGTGATTTAAAGTGTCTATTTATCTATTATAATTTTTATCATATAAGGCAAAACGCAAAAAATAAATGGTAAAAATCGTCATTAAAGGGCAATAACTCTGATAAGGAGTCATTGGAGGATTTCCTCCATATTGTCTTATTTTTAGATCTTGTCTTGTAGATCATTTTTGCTTATTTAAGTTTCTATCTATCTATTATAATTTTTAAGATATAAGGCAAAAACGCAAAATATTGGTAAAAATCGTTATCAAAGGGCAATAACTCTAACAACGAGTTGACTGATCATTTTTGCAATTTAAAGTTTCTCTCTATCTATTATAGTTTTCAAGATAATAGCCAAAAAATAAAAAAATAGTAAAATTTGTCATTTAAGGGCAATAACTCCTTTATGAAGTCGTCTGACAGTTTTGAAGTATATGAACAAAAAATTGGTAGAGCTCAACATTTTGAACATTTTTGCTCCTGTCTGATTTTCTCTATTTATAACGATTTTCAAAATAATTGACAAAACTTGCATTTTACACCTTATGTTCTATTTTTAGCCATGTCTGCCATCTTGGTTGGCAGGCAGGGTCATCGGACACATTTTTTAAACTACATACCTCAATGATGATTGAGGCAAAGTTTGATTAAATTTGGCCCAGTAGTTACAGAGAAGATTTTTGTAAAAGTTAATGAGGATGGATGACGACAACGGACGACAGACGCCAAGTAATGAGAAAAGCTGACTTGTCCCTTTGGGCCAGGTGAGCTAAAAAATTTTATTATGCACACACATCAAAATGTTCTCATTCAGAATGTGGTTGGCTGATTATCTCAATACTTTTTCTCTTTATTTTTTAATTTTATTATTTTGTAAACAAATTTAGATAAACAGTTGGGACCATAACCCCCAAAATCAATCCCAACCTTCCTTTAGTGGTTATAAACCTTGTGTTAAAATTTTATTGATTTCTATTTACTTATACTAAAGTTATTATCCGGAAACCATCTGTCTTCGGACGACGCTGACGACGACGACGACAACGTGATACCAATATACGACCAAAATTTTTTTTATTTTTGCGGTCGTATTAAAAGCAGGTAAATATTCAAACTATGCATGATGAACAATTAAAATTAATAAATTTTCTTGCCTCATCTTTTTTGTGCCTCCATCTCCCCTTCACCACACACCAAGCTTTTATTTGTCACTTACATATACATTTACTAAATCCCATAACCAAATTCACAGATACTTACATCAAATTCAGTCTGTAAAGATTTGGCTTTAGAACTCAGATATTCAAATACATTGGAGAAATGTCTGTTTCTTGCTTCATCAAAAATCTACAATTCATAAAAAAAATATGGCTATAACTCATTTAACTTTACATTAACAAGAATGTGTCCATAGAACACGGATGCCCCACTCGCACAATCATTTTCTATGTTCAGTGGACCGTGAAATTGGGGTCAAAACTCTAATTTGTCATTAAAATTAGAAAGATCATATCATAGGGAACATGTGTACTAAGTTTCAAGTTGATTGGACTTCAACTTCATCAAAAACTACGTCGACCAAAAACTTTAACCTGAAGCGGGACAGACTGACAAACTAACGGACGAATGAACGGACACACAGACCGAAAAACATAATGCCCCTCTACTATCGTAGGTGGGGCATAAAAATTGGCTACCTCATAATTTCATTATCATGTTAGATATGATAGCAAATCACCAATTCTTATTATCAAAATTATAGACCTCTTTTGTAAAGGAGGGGAATAAAGTCCAACCTTCTGGAGCATGATGTCCTAGTGTTTACTGCAGAAGATCATTGTAAAGAAAATACAAAATTAATTTTGCAATTCATTTATTATCATGCTTTCATTTATTTGCTTGTTTTGCAATCCCCCCTAAAAATCACATACAATCTATATATTTTTATTTCTATTACGAAGAGCAACCAAAAGGGTATAACTCAAAGTATATGGAATAATAAGTCTTCACTTGCAAACAAGGCTGGTACAATTGAAATCACTAGTGTGTGAAAGATTTGGACAGGATGTTTTATAATTTCTCCTCTATTTAAATTCTTCTCAATATATAGTCCTTTTAAAAATCATTTCATTTACAAATATACAGTTTTGCCAATGAATTCAACATTAACAAAATTAAGCATACTGAGTTTAAGTGATATTTCTTTTTAAATAATCATATATAACCATACCTGATCTTCACTACTAAGTAGAAGTTTAGTACTCTGATCCTTTCCAGTTACATCTTTGCCAAATTCTATATAACCTACAACATATAAAAGTTATCACTATTAAACATTGCTTAAGGTATAAACTAATAAAAAACTTAGGAAATTACAGATTATACTAAATGCAAATTATTTAACAAAAAAGACTTAAAACTTTTGTGTTCTATTTGTAATTTCACTGAAGGATATTAAATGCGGGAGGGTTGAGATCTTAAAAGAAATTCTTAATATCTGCTGTTAAACCACTAATTTAAATGTTCAACAAATAACAAAGTTTCCAAAAGGTTGTATGGAGACTTTGGCAAAACCACGAAAATACAAGTTTTCATCATCCACGAAAATTGGTACCAACGTAAATAAGTGAATCCACAGTATTTTGTTGCTGTCTTACTGATATACACCTCATATTTCATTCTATTTATATTTATATAGCTAAATTAAAATGGTGGAATAAATGAGAACATCAGAACATACCACTTACCACATGATATACCAAATGTATCATCTAGGAGACCCTCATAAGTCAGCTGGGAGCACAATGGTGTTACAAAATCTACATCTATAGGAAAATAATTATACTGCATATAAATGTTGTATCAGAGCAAAAGTAAAGGGATTTGCTATTCCATTCAGATATAAATTCTATCCAACGAAAATAAATAATTCAATAAAAGAAGTTATCAACTTTAAATGTACACTTGTGTTGAAACTTCAGTGGCATTTAAGGACAGAATTTTCAATAAAGGACTATTTTGCAATATTTATCAATTTTGCAGAATCTGAAGAAAATTCTCAAGAAATATTTAAATTTGGGTTAATTTCAAGAAACCATCCATTAGACCTTTGAAATGTTTCAATCTAATCTATAAAACTGAAATTTGATGATACTAAATGGTCCATTTACATATGAATTAGGCTTAAATTGCCATTGTTGAACATACAAAGAACCATAACTCTGTAGACAATGGTAAATCTGCTTTAACATATCAAACTATAAGTATTAAGTACTTAGGTAAAATCTCACAAAATCATACCACATCCTTTGCAAAGTCCATGATTTGCTTAGGGAAACCCCAAATATAATTTGGATCAATAACTAACTAGGAGGTGTGAATAGCATTTTATGATGAAGATTCTGAGAAAGATTCATTTAATTTTGATTAGGATTTATCAAAGGAGAAGCAGACACAAATTTGTCCTATAGTGTGTGATATGACAAAGAATATCCCAGAACATTCAGATCAGGAAATTAAAAAAGGGGGGGGGGCAAAATTCAAATCATGCAAGTCAGATTCTGTAAAAGTTTCAAAAAAATTCTGTCAAGCCATTCAGGACAGTATTGGGAACAACATTTGGATGGAAGGACAAAAACCAACAGGCAACCCCATCTATATCTATAGCTGGCTTCAAAAATCAAGATGTATAGAAATGCACTGTACAAGATACAGCTGGTATGATTTGGCAATAGAATTTTTTGGGCTTCCATACTATATAAACTGTACAAAATCATTCATTAATAATCCTGTGTTACATGAAAAACAGTACCACTTTTTTCACAGATGCTAGTTCATGAAAAAAGTTACTGAGTTAAAGTCAACTTATTCAAATACCCATTTTGTAATCTATTAGACAAAACAAAGTCTTAATTTCGGAGCATGGAAATTATGTGACAGACACATTATTCGTTCCAAAAAAATCCCAAATCTTGTGATCAAAGCTTATAAAATGAGTCATAAATACCTCGGTCTATAAGAATGAGATTTCCTATATCACATTTAGTGTAGTCTGGTCCAGATAATTTCTCTCCAAGTATATTTTTCATCAGATCATTCACCATCTATAGTCAAATATAATAACAGTATGTATAAAGATTTTAGTGTAAATTTTTAAAAAGGGTTTCATTTCAATTTCATAAATTTGAACTGCAAAAATTAATGATAATTGGGTTTCTTTACTTTAAGGTGCTCTAATATTTGTTTTATTTTGGTGTAAGTATCAAAGAAACATGAAAAGTAAGTATTGTGTAATATTTCCAATAATATACTGTAAAAAAAATATACAGTACCTAATTACAAAATTTTTTTGTCATATAAACAACTAGTTTGTCATCTATGAAAATGGAACTGAATTAACATAAACATTATATGAAAGTAAAAAAAAATATCCTAAATATTTGAATTATGATACTATTTCAAATTTAAGGATCAACATTGATTAAAATGTGTAGTAACCATTATTTAGCTGTTTATTTTGGAAAAGATTAAAGTGCCAAACAAGCTTGATGTTAAGGAATTCTGTCAAGTTTTGTTTCATTCCTATGAGAACTGTTGGAGATTTTTGTTGACAAACGTCCCTATATGTAGAAATTGTAAAATAAAACTCATGGTTTGCTTAAAAAAAATATAGAGATGCACAACAATACATAATGGGAAGTAATTCTGCAGAGTACAATTACATTCCTATCTAAAATGTAGGAGATATTTTCATGTTTATGTTGAAAGTCTTTTGTCACAGACGGACAGACAACACAAAACAATACATCTCCTTGCATATTTGAGGGGAGCATAATTTGTGTTCTTATGTCTCACTTTTGATCCCTTGCCAATGCCATAAACATTAGGAATAATTCCACATAGAGCCTGGATGTTGATAAGTGATTTAGCTATTGTTTGTATCCAGGTATGGTCACTATCCTGTAAAGAACACATAAAAATAGAAAATCAAAACAGTTAACTCTGTTTCATTAAAAAATTCGACCAATTATCTCCCTTTTCACTATTTAGATTGGGAAGAAAGTAAAGCTTAGCTTGGATATATGTTTTTTATTCCAGTTATAATTATCTCAATAAGCTAGGTAACTACATGATCCCATTTTGAAGCTAAAAATAAGTTATATGTTGAAAAGACAAAATTTAAAACTCTTTGTTATTGGAATTTGAATAAAAGAAAGAGTTAAAAGTAATTTAACACCATAAAAACATCATATGATTACATTGATTTTTTCATACACTTCTTTATCATTACATGTAAATAGGAATTTACCTAAAAAAACTATTCAATCAAATACAAACCAGATAAAATGACCTAAAGAACTGAGGTAACTCTAATGACAGTATATCTCTGTCTAGTGGTATCAGATCCATCTGTAACTCATGTATTGTTATATATCCCATAACACCCTCGTGTTCAAGAATCATCTCACATACATGTAACTGAAATATAAACACATCATGGTACAATTATTGTACAATAACTCATGTATTGTTATATATCCCATAACACCCTCTTGTTCCAGGATCATATCACATACATGTAACTGAAATATTAACACACCATAGATAATTTATTGTGTCATGTTTTAAGATCAACGTCTATTACACATGCATGCAGCTTAAATACTATATATGTGACAGCTCATGTATTGTCACAAATCAACTAGTATATGAAGTTTAGTCAGATAGGGTCATTTTGATTATAATTTTAAGTGAAATGTATGAACATTAAATGTTAAGTTGTGTAAAGTATTGTTAAGATATAAGTTTATTATATTGTTTTCTTGAGGTAAATTCAGTACTGTTAAAACATTCAGATTGTAACCAATCCAGTACTGTTAAGTCACTCTCAAAATATACATCATAGGACACATTTTTTTAAACACAATACCCCAATGATGGTTGTGGCCAAGTTTAGTTCCAATTGGCCAAGCAGTTTCAGAGAAGATTTTTTGTAAAAGTTTACAAAAGATGGACCACATGGGACGGTGGGCTCAAAATGAGCAGCTAGATATTTCAACAGATTGTTTTATATCTATCAATGAATCATATTTACAACAAATGTCAACTTCTTTTTCAAATTAATCAAATTTAAATATTATCGCATGTACACAAACAATTTGTAAAAATAGTGTTGATTAATTAGGTGGACGGAAACCAATAAATCCATTCTAGGTCTGCTTTTACATTCATTGGAAAAATTTGATTAAAAACAAACTGTAAATATTTTACAGTATTCTTGTATGTTACAAATGTATCTTGACCTCAAGATGTCTTTAGTAATTTTTTAGTAATTTTTTAATTGTTGTGCTGCAGTCTCATTTACATATATCAATAGCTTTCTTCATTCATATGAAGACCCTGTTCTTCCCAGGTAATTCTAAGAAAGGAGTAGGCCTGGTAAGACCCCTTTTTGGCCCCAAAATATAGCAGTTTTACAAAATTGTTAAAATGTAAACTTTTAGCTATTTATTGGAAAGTAGAATACTTCTGCTTCTGCATAAATATGGGCAGTTTTTGACAATACAATGCATATATATTGGGTACTAGCATCATTAAGTCATGCTAAATTACTGAAATCTTCACAATTTTAGCATTTGAGTTAAATTTTAGACGGTTTCTGTCTTAAATGGAAGTGGCTGCATTTGTGTTCATTCTTAATATTTAAATGCAAGTTGTATTTAATGATAATACATAACATATATAAAGGTTGAGAGTGAACACGGATGCGGCCACTTTTATTTTTGACAAAAACCATTTGAAAAGTGACATATTATGGCATATTTGATAGATTTTTCATATTTAAGCTTGAATCTGAGTGTCTTTAATAATAAAATCAGTTCAAATCTGTCACATAAACTAATTGAATCGACTGAAGTAGACACTTAAGTGTTTAAAAAGTGACCAAAATCTTTCATCAGATGAACCTGAAATTTGAGGCCAAAATCGGCCCTTACCGGATCTACTCCTTTGACGGTACCATCAAATGGAAGAAATGTATAACTTACCTTCCGTGGCACCATTATAATTCTATACTGTCTTTTGATATTGCTGCTTCTATCTGAATTGACATGGTCAGCAATGACCTTCATGGTAGTCATCTGTGGTCGTACTAAGTACACCCTCCTGTTAAATAACATATTCAAAATAAATAAAGTAAGTTATTAAGAAAAATAAAGCATTATAGACTCCTTTGTTGTTAATTAGATATCAACTGAAAGTAAGTATTCTGATGGAACTGTGAAAATATATTGGTTGTGGTTAAACTGTCTGTTGCAAAGGTCTGTCATTGTAATTGTTAGCTGTCTCATACTGATGTCATCTGTGGTAGTGTCATAAGTAAAAGCACCATTGTTGACCTTTCCAATCACAGGTTTTTACACCGAAAGACTGAAAACATAGATTGGAGAAACTCCCTTTCTGCTTCTAAGCTGTAATCTTTCTACTTTCACCAATGCTTGCATGTGCAAAATCTAAAATGTAAATACAAGCTAGGGTATCTTGTGAAATGACATGTTTTGAAACTGAAACTTTCACAGCAATTCTGTTGATATTTTTTTATCAAAATCACTTGTTCCTTTTTCGCATCTTAATGTTTTGAAGCTTTATACAAATAGTTTACACTGTTGTCTTCACAGCTGCTGGATTAACATCCCTACATTTTTTATTCTACAACATATGCTACAGGCCATAAAAAACAAAATAAGAAGACATGGTATGATTGCCAATAAGACAACTCTCCACCAGAAACCAAATGATGTAGAAGTTAGCAACTATAGGTCAACACTATAAATGATAAAAGAAAAGTGATTTGAAATAATTTTTGGATAAAAAATGTTTAATTTTCTGAACTCAGTTTATCTTTTGCGAAATATAGATATACCTACTGTTCACAACCATGTATGGACTTCTGTGTTGGATCTAACTTGAAAATTTTATCTACATGTCTTTGCTGAAATCATAAATGTGTAAATGTTATAGTCATTCCATAAAACATATAAAGTGGTCAAATTACTTATACTGTGGGTTCATTATTATTTGTGAGATACCATTTTTCTTATTTCCATGGGTACAGGTGAACCACCAATTTAAATGTTTTAAGTCAAATTATGAAATTTTGTAGCCTTGTATGAAGACTTTGGGAAAAACAACAAAATTAAAAATCCTAAAAAATGCAAGTTTTCCGCAATCTGCGAAAATTAGTAACCATGAAATTAAATGAATTCACAGTAGAACATTTTCATAACTTAAAAATTTACCTAAGCATGAAAACTTGTCTTTGATCAATCTGAAGTCAAGGTCTGTCTGGTCAAGCAAACCCTGCCAGATCGATATGTAGGTCTAAAAATGATTATATCAAACAAACCTAATATACAGTATATTTGAACTATTGCTCAAATTAACTGAGAAAGAGGCCTAAGCAGGAAAACTAAACATTGATCTTTCAGATTTAAACCATTAAACTGAGGTCAAGGTCAGGTAATCCCAGTCAGACAGACATGTTTCTACAGTGATTAACTCGATAAAAATGACCTATTACAAAAGTGTGCAACTTAAAAAAAATAATCTAAAGTGTGAAAACTCAACATTGACCATTCAACACAAAAAAAAGACCAAGGTAAAGACTCTTTTCAAATGGACTTGTACACCTTACAACAGACCTATAAACCAAATATATTTGGTATTTTACTCAACGTAAATTAGAAACTAACCTACAAATGTAAGAGCCTTAACTTAAAGTTGATCGTTGAAACATGAAAATAGGTAAATGTCAGGTTCGTTCTGTCAGACAGACATATACAGCCTCCATGGTCTTGTGGTTAGGTCTTTGCCTGGAGTTCAGTAGTACATGGGTTCTACCCCAGCCGGAACAAACCAAAGACTATAAAATTGGTATTTGCTGTTTCTCCACTAAGCAAGCCGCTCAGAGAAGGAATAGTGTGTTCCATAGGGTGAAAAGTCTTCCTGCGGACTGTTACCTTGTGAACTAGCACGTTAAAAATCAGACTCTGCATGTCTGTCTGGTACAAAACAGAGTTAATGTTCTTATTACAATAACAAGTTCTAGTCCTGAATATGCATTTAATTTGCTGCCAGACGTTAAACAGTCATCCATCATCATCATCAGATAGACATGAACACCTTACATCCTAACAACAGTTCTAGACCAAATAGACATTGGACAACACTTTTCTTGCAATTTTATACCAGTTTTATTGGCTTCTCTTGGACAGATACACTACTTCCAATTTCACCTAGATTGCTGTAAAATGTTTGCCTAGATTCCTGTGAAATGTTTGCCTAGATTGCTGTTAATCATGTTAATTAATATATAGAGACAGTGATGTATTGATGTAAATATGAGTACAATTATGGAGCATAATATTTATATATATAATGAATACAGACCTAGGTTCAATTACATGCCAAAGTAATTAATTACATCCATTACATTGATTTTTTTTAATGTAATCAATTACATTACAATTACATTTATTTTCATCATGTTCATATGTAATTAATTACATAACAATTACATTGTCAATGTAATTAATTACATTTCAATTACTTGTGTCCAAAAATATCATATACGATAAATAGAACGAAATTTTATGCATGCTTTGTTTAACAGTGAAAACATTTTGTGTTAGCTTTGTTTTAAAGTTTTCAAATTTTGAATGTCAATATTACATTTAAACGTCATTAGATCTTCAAATGTTTTGTCACTCAAGGAACATCTTTTTGGTACTTTGATTGGTCTCTTCCAACTTTCAGGCTTTCGTTTATTACAGAAGAGCAACACTAGCATTTTGTTTTAAAATTATTGCATATAATGTAGCTTGTTTGGGAAATTTTAACATTTTAAAAAAAATTTATATATATATATCATGTATATGTAACCCTCTCAAACATGGCCATCCCCAAACCATATCTAATCCCCAAAACATTCTATTTTGCTAAAACGTGTTCGATGTTTTCATACCCAAACGTATCCATTAATATAGAAATAGTAAGGGTTAAAACACCAAAACGTCTTAAACTTTTAGCGCTAATGTCGTCAGTAATGTCTATGGCAAATTTCTAAAATTGTGAATTGAAGCTATTTTAAATGTGTAACTTTTTTCAATTTAATGAACAAACAAAATAATAATCATAGTTGTTGTGAAAGCAGAGCTGTTGAAAACGTACACGGTATAACTGAAATGAATCAAAGCGCGAAAGCGCTGTAAAGGCAGTTAATTACAGGTTGTCTGTATTTTTAGTCCAGTTATATCATTATCTTGCATAGTACATTGTACTTATCAGAGGTGGCTTTCAGTATTTAAGATTTAGACTTCTCTAATGATATTGAACAAGTTTTATGAATGTCATATTCTGAGCACCATATGAAGGCGATTGTTCTCACTTGTTTATGAACTAGTGCATTATGTCCAGTTTGTACCTTTTTTATCTATGTTTATAGTCAAATACTGTTTAAAATAGTTTGACATTTTCTTTTTAGTAATAAGTAAATGTTATCAACTGTATTTTATTCAACTTTGCAAATGTGGTTTGTTACTGGTAAGTACAATGTATGGATGATAGTTGTTTCATTGGCAATCATAACACATCTCCTTATTTATATAATGATCTATATTCAACGACCTCAGGTACAAAAAAAATGTATGTAACTAAACTATGATGGGAAACCTTTGACTTCTTTCTTTAATATAAACTTTTGATTTGGTACCATAGAACTATGTAGAATAAATGTACATTGCAACATGTCAACTCTTTCAATGACAATACTTTTTTTAGAAACTATAACTCCAAGCAAAATTATATTTCCAAGTATAAAGTAATTTATGAATGAAACAAGAGTACACATGCTGAAATGTCTCGCCTTCTTTACTAATCATTGATATTATGTTGATAGTCCTAAATATAAAACTTTATTACAACTGTCACATAAACTTAACTAAACATTGACCAATGCACCAAGAAAATGAGGTCAAGGTCAGATGAACCATGCTAGGCAGGCATGTACAGCTAACAATTCTTCCATACAACAAATATAGTTGACCTATTGCTTATAGTTTAAGAAAAATAGACCAAAACACAAAAACTTAAAACTGAGCAATGAACCTTGAAAATGAGGTCAAGGTAAAAAAAAACCTGCGTGACTGACATATAGATCATAAAATATTTCCATACACCAAATATAGTTGAACTATTGCATATAGTATTAGAAAAAAAGACCAAAACTCAAAAACTTAACTTTGACCACTGAACCGTGAAAATGAGGTCAAGGTCAGATGACACCTGCCAGCTAGACATGTACACCTTACAATCATTCCATACACCAAATATAGTAGACCTATTGCATACAGTATAAGTAAACAGACCAAAACACAAAAACTTGACTAAAACCACTGAACCATGAAAATGAGGTCAAGATCAGATGACACCTGCCAGTTGGACATGTACACCTTACAGTCCTTCCATACACCGAATATACTAGACCTATTGCTTATAGTATCTGAGATATGGACTAGACCACCAAAACTTAACCTTGTTCACTGATCCATGAAATGAGGTCGAGGTCAAGTGAAAACTGTCTGACGGGCATGAGGACCTTGCAAGGTATGCACATACCAAATATAGTTATCCTATTACTTATAATAAGAGAGAATTAAACATTACAAAAAATCTTAACTTTTTTTTCAAGTAGTCACTGAACCATGAAAATGAGGTCAAGGACATTGGACATGTGACTGACGGAAACTTCGTAACATGAGGCATCCATATACAAAGTATGAAGCATCCAGACCTTCCACCTTCTAATATATAAAGCTTTTAAGAAGTTAGCTAATGCCGCCGCCGGATCACTATCCCTATGTCGAGCTTTCTGGGACAAAAATCGCAGGCTCGAAAAAAAGGAGTTCTTAATTAAGTAATAAACTGATTCGCTGAGCACAGCTGGATACACCCACAGAGGTCCAACCCTGAACAGTTGGGGCAAAAAAGGACACAATATTCAAGATTGATACCGGTCTGAATTTGGATTGTAATTAAATATTTGACATATTACAGTTTCTGAATAAATGTAGTCAAAGAACTTGAAATCGGTTATATGAATTGAATTTATATTCAATTAAAGATTTCTTGCTGTTGTGCAATACACTGTGCTGTTGCGCAATACTTAATAAATCTGTTGCCAGACTATAAACAAATAAAGTTCAATTTCTTCTCAATGTCATATTATAAATTTATGAGAATCAATAGGGAGATTACATCAATAGCTATAAATAATTCACCGAAGTTTCATGCGAACTGCTTAAAGCATTTTTGAGTTGTTGTCCAAAAACTGGAAAATCCCCCCTTTTTTAATGAATAAAACCCAATAACTCAGAAATGTAAAATCTAAAATTTATAAAATTCTAAAGGGAGCTTACGGATTGATAATTTAGTCTTAGATGCAAGATTTTTTTATCAGTTGTTTGTGGCTTTGAACTAGTTGTCAGTAAATTCGAGTACTCTCAGATCTGTACTTAGTGTCTTTTTGTTGTTTGGATGTACAACTACCCAGCCACGTCCACTTGTATTTGTATTTATCCATCTGATGAGTTAAGCCTCTTTCAACTGATTTTTATAGTTCGCTCTTATATTGTACTGGTACACCACTGTCCCAGGTTAGGGGGTGGGTTGGGATCCCGTGAACATGTTTAACCCCGCCACACTCTGCATGTACATGTATGTGCCTGTCCCAAGTCGGGAGCCTGTAATTCAGTGGTTGTCGTTTGTTTATGTGTTGCATATTTGTTATTCGTTCATTTTTTGTACATAAATTAGGCTGTTAGTTTTCTTGTTTGAATTGTTTTACATTGTCATTTCGGGGCCTTTTATAGCTCACTGTGCGGTATGTGCTTTGCTCATTGTTGAAGGCCGTACTGTGACCTATAGCTGTTTCTGTGTCATTTGGTCTCTTGTGGAGAGTTGTCTCATTGGCAATCATACCACATCTTCTTTTTTATATTTACATCAACAGATATAAACAATTCACCAAAGTCAAGGTGAGACAACAAAACTTAGGTTGTAAGATCTCTGAAATTTTTTACACGGTACAAGTTTTTCTAATTGTTGGAGATTGTATGGTGACAGTAACACCTGTAACTGCTTAACCCATTTCTTATGCACTTTGGTTCGATGAACTCACTGAATATCATACCACATCTCCTTATTTTTATATGCATTACAATTTACATGTGCATGTAATTGTAAATAATATTTATATATATATATATCAGAACAAACTTCATTGCGTCACTTTTATTTATGCATCCTTTGGCACAATACAAGTTCTAAAATTACACAACATAAAACAACTAAATGTTATTTCAGATGAAAGTTTTGTTTCAGTTCCATTCATAGGATTTATTAGAATTTTGTATGTTTTGCCAAGTCCAATAATTAGCTCTATGTGCACGTGTTAATTGGAGACTTTTCTATCCCGTATAAGAGTTTTGGAACTAATTCTGTTTCTTTTTTTGAAAAAAGTGAGCAAACAAATCTTGCACATTTAAACCTTTGTCTGCCATCACACTGTCACCTGGATCACATAATTGAACTATTCTACATCTTTCAACTATTTCACAGTCACTGGTACAACCATCATATGCATTAGAGACATAGTTGACTAAACCACCAGGTGTCGAACATACAAGTATTTTCAGTGTTTCTGTTTTTATATGATGAAAAGGTTGCCTGAGCTCTAGGAGCTTTAGGTTTTATCACGGGATATTCTGTGCTGTCAATAATAATCCAAGTTGTAGGAAACTTTAATTTAAAGTTGGATGGCGAAAAATACCTGACTAAACCACTAAATGGCCAAGTGTTAGCATCACGCCACTGTTTAGACATAAAAACAATCCATGTTTACACAATATTCTTAACACTAGTTTCAATCTAGAATCTAGACAGTTCAAAGTTGGTTGTATAATGCATCAATTTCATCAAAGTCATAAAAAAACTGATTTTCAAATGACACCCTATCAATTTGAATATATATGTATCTCAAACAATGTGCTGTTGGACCAAGTGTGGTCAAAACAAATAAAAATTTAGTATACAACTCTAAACCGGTATAAAAATGCATGGCTGTGTCACGTGTCTTCATTTCAAAATTCTCTGCTGAAAATATAGGCATTGATGGTGTTTGCGTAATTCCATCTGTGAAGCTCAACATTAGCTCGGCAGTTGGTGGTGGACAGTCATAAATCCTGTCTGCAGTATGAATTACTTCTTCAGGAAAACCAACTTTACAATCAAAACTTTCCTCTGGATTTCTACTACAATATTCATCAAGTTTAGTTCTTTTGTTTTCACAGGAAACTGCCCTGATTTTTCTTTTTGCGGACGATTCAGTCTCTTGCTTGGTCCAGGAAAATAGGCTGGGATTGGCAGTAGACTTAAGTCTCTGTATGGTGGGTTTGTGTCCTGAAAAAGTTTATAAAACATTAGTTTTTTGATAATTAAATGAACTTCCATTAGCAATGCATACTTTGTACGGAAGCAAGTTAACTCGTACCACGTAAACTCGTACCAAAAAAGTTAACTCGTACCAACGTAAACTCGTACCACTGGGAAGTCGTACCAATCAGAACTCGTACCACTGCAAATCATACCATTAAAAATATATTCAAAAATACGAATGTTTTATGAATTTTTTTTTGGTAAACTAAATAAAAAAAGTTGAATTACTTGAATTTTATACTAGATTTTAATGAAAACTTAGACAAAAATACGAATGTTTTATGATTATTTTTTTTTAAGCTTTATACAAAAAATTAAAATATCTTTGAAATTTATACCATTTTTTAATGAAAACTTAGACAAAAATACAAATGTAATTTCTTAATTACCATGCTAATAATTATATTAAATTCCTTTAATTGTGTGATTATTGGTTGTTTATTAACTAATCAACTTGTTTTTTTTATCTTTAACTAATCAACTTGTATAATCATATAAGCATGGTCATATTCTGCTGAAATGTGCTGAATATTGTATAAAAATAAATTTCATACTTTCTAACTGTTGGTCATAAACAATTTTAAACCTTTAAAACACAATCAATAAATTCTTTCATTAAATAAAATTCCTTTTAGAAACATAGAAAAATACCCAAATCTATTCAATGTTACTGATTTGGAATGATTAAAAATTAAATCAAATAGTTGTCAGTAAAAGTTTAAAAAAGAGTCTATTCAAGGGAGACAACAAAGCCAATCTGCCACGGTTTTCTCCATCCAATTAGACAAGGAAAATTAGCTACAAATTGGTTATTGTAATTTCAAATTATATACATTTTACAGACTTAAGAGGTATTGAGTGAAATTAAAGTATATATTCATCATTAAACACCATTTGAATGCATTTAAATAAATTGGTACGAGTTTACAATGGTATGAATTTACCGTGGTACGAGTTAGCAGTGGTACGAGTTTGCATTGGTACGAGTTTTTGTTTAGTGGTACGAGTTGACATTGGTACGAGTTTACAATGGTACGAGATAACTATAATTCCTTTGTACTACCTGTCAAAATATTAACTAGATTTATTCATTACAATCTGGATAAAACTATGTTAGCCTGATTCAATGTACATCAAAATGTATGTTATGTAAATCCAAAGGACAAACAATGAGAGACGTATGAAACAAACATACATTGTTTGTACCTAAATAACTATAATATAGATGAGAGAGATGAGATAATGTCGTTGTTTTGTTCCTGTTAACATTGTCATTGATATTTTTCAAGAAAGTCTATGAGGCATAGCTTATGCATTCCTGTCATTACTACATTAGCATAATTACTGCTAAAATAATTCTCAGTATGAAATACCTCTTGTAAGAAATCATTATAATTGTAGCAAGCACCAAAAAATCTCAAACAGCTCACATTGAATCGTAATCCAAAAAATTATGACGTCTTGAATTAACCACCCCCTTTTATTCTAAAACGATAATTGCGGTTGTAAACAGACTTTGGTTTATTCGCATGGCGATTACATATATAACTATATATTTTAAAAAGAAAATAGAGTTTTACCATGAATAGTTTCCTGCACGTAGTCTTTTTCAGTAAAATGTGCCTTGCAAACAACAGCTGATTGAGATGGACTCCACGATTTCATCGTGTTCTCGTCCAATCTGCGTATGGGCCATGGCGTTGATCCAACTTTTCCTTCTTTTTAAGTCATTTGGAAATGCATGTCCTCCTCTTAAATGACATCCAGGTACACAACAACAAGTACTTGGCATCGTCATTTAAAAATGCAACTGTAATAGTTGCACAGTGCAGAAACCGGAAGTTGAAGTACAGGATCGGCTACTACGGCGCCACCTATTCAGGAACGATAATTTGCTACTTTATATAACTGCGAAATAACAATAACGTTAGACGAGTTCGCGTGCATAAACAGAAATGCGCTTTAAATTGTATAATATAATTCATGTTCAGTCGACCTTTAATTATTATATCAACGACTGAAATGATTTATAAACATCTAGATTGCAGCAAGGATTTGTATAGTGAGACTATACAAATCCTTGATTGCAGATAACACTCGAAATTAACCCGACCTCTTTCCACACGGAATTCAAATAACTCTAGTTTGTCAATCGGTTGACTGCTTATAATGTAAAATACAAATATATCAAAAGTTTTTAAAACTAACAAAACACAATGATCGTTTCTCTATTTTCCAATGTAAATGAAATGAGACAAAAAACATTTGATACCGCAATAAGAAGAGGAGAGAATCAACATTTTCCGGATCTACTTGGAGCCTAATGACCCCCCACGTAGATAAGTTGGATATCGCGGAAAGAAATATTAACACGGCAACTAGAAAGGCATTAAAGCACTGCCTTTAAAAACAATGAATTCATGAAAACTATCTGATACAGTGTTTTGTTACTTCTGTCTTTGCAATTTTCAATTTGGGCAGCGCCTGCACTTTTTTATTTGACATTCTGTGCCCATTTTGCTTCAAATCATGGAACCCTGGTTACTGTTCTACTGCCCCCTTTTAACAACAAAACAACACCCTTTAAAAATAACAATCAAAGAAGAGCATTTGTGAGAATTTTTTTTCTGTGCACTTTTAAGTCTAAGGTCCCTGTAATAGTCTTGACAGGATTTTATTTCAAACAAAATTTGTCAAAACGAAACACTTATTCATTAAGGTTAACACGCTTGGGCATTTTTAAAATATGCATTTTCGAAAAAGGACACATTTTGGCTTCTTTCATCAACTAGAGATGTTCGGGAGTTCAGTCTGTCATATATGGAAACATTTGGGGGTTCGAACACATTTCCGAGTGTTACATATATGCATGTATATCAATAATTATAATACCTTGAGCATTGTAGCTCCAGCCACTCTGTCTAATGGTTTCATGAGCTCTGTATCCAGTACCAAATCTTTCTTTCCTTTGAACTGCTCAAAAGATAATAATTTTGAAGTAACCAAATAGTATAGAGAATAGAAACAGGCAATGACTTTGTGCCATTTAAAAGAGCAGAAAACAGCCCATGGCCAAATCAGATAGTCTCTATTAATAATTTCAATTCATCAAACCAAATATTTTATATATAATAAAATACATTACATAAGAAAGTTATGAATATAAAAACATTTACATCATTATCATTTTGATTATAATACCTCAAAAAGTGAATATCTAAAATTTGTGAAAGTTCCAAAATGGCTAAATACTCAAAAAGCTTCCTGACGTATCATTTTTTTAATTATCTTATCATGTTTAGTAAGGTGTTGTAATGCAAGAATTATAAATTTATATATATCTACAATGTTGACAAAAATTAGGTACATGTACTCCTATTAGAACTAAGATGTTTGATCACACAGTCTTTACGTATACATATAAATGATATACAAAGCCTTCTATAGATGACACTGAAATATAAAAATAAAAATGTGGTATGATTTCCAATGAGACAACTATCCACCAAAGTTCAAATGAAGTGGATGTACACAAATTTTCTAAAAAATTGAATAAGAAGCTTTTGCAGAACACTCATTCTCAGGAAATCAGGTCCCATACGTGATTTGTTGTCCCTGTAGATATTTGAAGCCTCATCTGCTATAAAAATGTCTAAACAAATATGTTTTTGAAAGTCAAGGAAGATATCTAGCTAAAACTAACACAATTGCTACGTAGAAGAATATTAAAATTACTCCAGCCTTACACTAAAACATATTATTTTGAGTAAAACGAATGTCCCTGATGGTATAGATATTTTTTCTGTTGAGTATTTAACTTAAGAAGCTTGTAAAACATGTACCTGTGTTGCCTTTTCAGATCTATCACCATTTAGCCAATACAAATTTATGTCATTTTAAGTAGTTTGTCATAAAATAAAACCAACACAGTTTTGAGAATATATGTCACTATTTCTTTGACCAGATACGTTACTAAATTTTAATTAGACTCTATATTTATCTAAAGGTCAATTGAAAGAATGATTATGTTGCTTTTGAAGTGTTAGTCCATAGTTATAACCAAAACAAAATTATATGATGTGTATCTATAATGGTTTAGAAAATTGATAAGCTCCAAAACTAGGAAATGGCGTTTGTACGTTAATTTTTAACAGATACGTTACTATGGAATCATTTGATTACACATTAACCACTTGCATGGGATCTATTTAACTGAATAAATATGTTTTTACATATTTGATCTTACTTTTCAACAGTGAAAAATGTCCTGGAATCAGAAACATATTTGAAATAATGGACCACGAACAATTTGTTAAACAGATACGGTACCAACAGATACGTTACTATGTTTCGGTTAACGATGAAATATCGATATTATTTCGGAATTCAGACATATGAGATATCTGCCTTAATACATTTTTGTTTTGTTTAATGATCAATCAATAATATCATCAGTACAACAAGTTATCAGCTGCAACTTGCGAAGACATATGAAAGAACAACGTCAATTTTAGCAATTGTACTGATTTTAACTTGAAATTTTGATATATTTTTCGCCAATATATTAATTTAGACATTTTATCACATAGATACGAATTAGACATCTTAATTTTGTACCTACAGGATAAAAATAGTTTTAAAGTATTGTAATTCATGGTGCAAACATTAAGTAACGTATTTGTTTCCTATAGTAATGTATTTGTTGCATGCCTTGAACAGATACGTTACATCGTATATCCTATTGTTTCATTCGAGTTTGAAGCGTTACGCTCACTTCTTTGATTTCAAATATTATATATTTAAAGTTAATTTATAATTAATAGTTCCAGAACCGATATAATAGAGTTTTTAATATACAAATTGTCTTCTCAACAGATATGTGATATGTTCATTTCCAAGTTGAAAAAAATTCGTAAGGGTTCCGCGGAACCCAGTGTCTCGCCTACTTTTTCTGTTAATCGCAGAATCAACAAAAATGAGGAAGTCAATCAATAAAAATATTCCTCTTGATACTATCTTTTGATTGTAACAAGCTTCTGTTCAAGTTTGGTAAAATTCCAGGATAGTTTATGATTTAAAATAACTGTTTAAAAACTTTAACTGCAGACTGAATGTAATGTTAACTGGAAGAAAACAAAATTTCCTTCTAGATACTAGCATTTGATCATAAACAAGCTTCTGTCCAAGTTTGGTACAAATCCAAAATAGTATAAGAAAGTTATTAAAATTTTAAAAACTTTAACCACAGAGTGAATATGTTGTTTCCTGGCAGAAAATCTAAGTCCATTTAAAAGTAAAATACGGAAAAAATGGATTTATTTTTTTACCAAATTTCCTTCTAGATACTAGCTTTTGATCATAAACAAGCTTCTGTCCATGTTTGGTACAAATCCAAAATAGTATAAGAAAGTTAAAAAAATTTAAAAACTTTAACCACAGAGTGAATGTGTTGTTTCCTGGCAGAAAATCTAAGTCCATTTAAAAGAAAAAATAAGGAAAAAATGGATTTATTTTTTTACAAAATTTACTTCTAGATACTATCTTATGATCATAAACAAGCTTCTGTCCAAGTTTGGTACAAACCCAGGATAGTTTAAGAAAGTTATTAAAATTTTAAAAACTTTAACCACAGAGTGAATGTAATATTTACCGGCAGAAAAACTAAGTCCATTTATAAGTAAAATACGGAAAAAATGGAATTTTATTTTTACAAAATTTACTTCTGGATACTATCTTATGATCATAAACAAGCTTCTGTCCAAGTTTGGTAGAAATCCAGGATAGTTTAAGAAAGTTATTAAAATTTCAAAAACTTTAACCACAGAGTGAATATTTGTGGACGCCGCCGACGACAACGACGACGACGACGACGACGCCGACGGAATGTAGGATCGCTATGTCTCGCTTTTTCGACTAAAGTCGAAGGCTCGACAAAAAGATAATATATATAAACATTTGAAAAAATATATGAAATTATTATGAGCAGTTGTTGATAAATGATATTTAAATATATTTTGAGTAATATCTTGATACATACTTTATAAAAAAGAACTAATTGTTATGTATTTTGTCTTCAAGTTATATTTTATCAAGATATGGATTCAAGAACAATTCATTAACTTTTCAGAGTCTATTACTTAAGATTTATGACTATTAATAGCATCTCAGGTACCTCTAGAATAGTTTTGGAGGAAAAAATCTAAGCAATGACACTTTGTATGAAAATGTGTTTGCTAAGGAAATAAAACATGACGGTAACGTATCTGATATGTGGAAAACAGTGAACCATAGTCCTGACCACGATATTATTTTCACAGTAAGAGCTAAGATCAACCACTTTGGAAACTTTCAAATCATATATATACGAATCATTTGAGCATTATTAAAAGTTGGTTTACAGAAATTTATTTTCCAAGTATAATTTTGGCAAATGGTCCCGATTTGCTGAGAATCAGTGAGAATGTTTTCCTTACTTTAAATGAATTTTGAGTTAACTTTGAAAGAAAAATACGCCTTTGTATGGATATCAAACAGCTTATGCCATTGTATGTGATCAAAAGAAATATTAACAAGGTATAAATTGACCGCTTAAACATGGAATCTTGAGTTATATTGACTTGTTTTTTCTATAAAGGGTGGTGCTCAGTTTGAAAATCGTGAATTCACAGACTAAGGTTTTTTTTCTGATTAAGCTGTCAACAAGAAACAAATCAGAAAAAAAGCTCTCCGAACTCCCCAAATTTGAGGGACTAAAAATATATCCTAACTTCACTCTAGGTTTATAATGATTCTTTAACTTTGATATAAGATAATGATTGTGGTCTCTAATTAGCACTATTATCTCCTATATTTCTTACAGAATCGAGCAGAGATGCAAGGTCATTTCGAACCATATCTCGAATTCTTTGAACATTTGGAAAATTTGTTGTTGATCCAGCCATTTTCTTGAAAATGAAAGCAGAACTAATTTTAATCCAACTTCCGTTTAACATTGAAGTTCCGTGATTTCAATTAATATTCACAAGGATTTGTGTAGTGAGGTTCTTGATATTCAGGAAGAACTTACAAAACATGTATACTAATCTAGGACATCAGTGGCGGATCCAGGGGGGGGGGGGGGGGGGGGGGTCCGGGGGTTGGAACCCCCCCTTTTTTACGATCAATGCTTTTGAATGGGGACATATGGTTGGACCCCCCCCCCCCCCCCTTTTTTTACGAACTTAACATTAAATTAACGACAAAAACTTTCGATCAGAATATTTTTTGTCCTTCTTCCTGACTGTCAATATATACTTTTCTTCAAAGGTGGGAATAGAATACTTTCAAGTTAAGTTAAAACCCATCCATATATCTCCTTTCCTTCAAAGTTAAATGGTCGTTCCCTTAAACATAAACTGTCATATTACACATTTTCAGGGATAGACGAGCATCTAGAATTTAAAGTTGGGGATGTAGCTGCGGAACCGGAAATAGTTTTTGACAATTTGCGGACCAAATATATATTGATCCATAAGGCGGGATATATTTGACAAATGGTCTCCAGCCGCGCTCGGAAACATTTTGGAAACACGTGCTGCTTTACTCGTGATGGAAATGTCTCTAGATCTGCATATTGTTGGTGCAGACGTCATGTGGCAAAACGAGAGAGACTGTTCGGTCGAGTTCGACGTAATTTACGATATAAATATACCATCAACAGTTGACTCCTAGGAGGCAACGGGGTCAAAATGGTTCGATATGAATGTAACATTGTCACAGACCTGCCTGGGAACAGTATGGCTAACTATAGTGCAAGTCTTTGCTTTGATGCGACAGTAATTGGAATTCGGTATTTTGTTTCCGATCTAATATTCAGTTGAAAATGTTCCTGGGACCAATAAAAATTGTTCTTAATAATTTCGAAGATATCCTGTGTTGCATTGTGCATATGGTCCTCTATCAAAATTCAACTTGGACATAGAAGCTACTGAGCAATTCATGTGGTTTCAAAGGGTCTTTTCATGTTTACTTCGTGTAAACAGCATATTCACAAGTTCAGTCTGATCAACAAATGGCGATTTTGTCATACAACAGGACAAATATGGAAAAGCATTTATTATTCTTTTTATCATTTATTTCCCAATAAATTATTCGGTAATGTGGTCAAATTCCACAACAAAACATCCAGGAATGTTATCCTGCTCCATCAAAACGCTGCAAAACATCATCACTGACGGATCACAGACATTACGTCATAATCCAATTGAAATGTGATGAATTTTCGAAGTTATCTTGCTCATGTCAAATAACACTTGGCCAATTTTATTGATATGAAAAACTGCCGATATCTCTATCAAATATGTGACAAATCCTAATAATTCAATTTTAAGATTTGTATGATAATAAATAACTACTCAGACGGTAGGACTCATCAATTTAGGGGCCGATTTGAATCAATAAGGGTTGCCAACGGAGCATTCCGTATTGGATCATCATTGAACTAGTAACTTCATAAAACCCGCTATTACCTGCCATGGTATAATAGGGGTACTCCTTTAGCTCAGTAAAGAGATGGGTTACTGTATCAGGGGTACCAGATCGATTCCTGGTTAATACACAAGAGATTGAACATAATACTCTATTGTTACGTTTAGGGAGCTACCATTTGATTTTTAAGGGGGAGGGGCTAGGATGAAATTAGAAAAAAGGCAGGACAGGAGTTTTGAGTAAAAAAAAAAGGCAGGATGAGCAACTTTACAAAAAAAAGGGCAGGATGACAATTTATGTAAAAAAAGTCAGGATAAACTAATAAAAAAATGGCAGGACCGAATAGAGTGAAAAATAAAAAGGCAGGACAGATATTACAACTAAAAAAAATGCAGGACAAAATTTTTCATCTTAGCCCCCCCCCCCCCCCCCCCCCCCACATAAAAATCAAATGGTAGCTCCCTTAGTGCTTTAACTGAACAAAATACATGTTGTTTAAAGGAAAAGAATTATAGCTATATAAACTAGACGCTCTAAAGAGCTTACATGTATCGCTCACCTAGGTCTATGTGGATTTTCAACAATGGACACGCTCCAACATTGTAGACTTTAATATGATCCATTGCTAAAATCACTTTTGTGTTGTTCTTGATAGTGTGGATATATGTTTCTGTTTAGTTTCTCTCTATCTTCTATAGCTTTTGCCAAACCACAAAAAGGGTAAAAATCGTCATTTAAGGGGAAATACTCCTATAAAAAGACAACTGACAATTTACTCTACGCTGACCTATTTGCAGATCTTGTCTTGCTGATCAGTAGTCTCAGAGGAGAAGAATTTTGTAAACGTTAACCGTCGACGACGACGACGACGACGACGACGACGGACGTACATAGATGAGAATAGCTCACTCATCCCTTTAGAGTTTGATGCTTGGTATTGTCATTATTGCGTGATGACTCTCGGAGCAATGACAAGTTTCCGTTGGCGTAAATTTATAACTGTGGTCAACTTGATAACTATTCCTTTAGCTCAACTAGTACCGCTGGGGCTTTCTGTATCAGCAATATACGGATTTGTTGAATGCTAGTGTTACTATGCCATTCAGTCCTATTGGGTATACTTGTAAATAGCTTCTTCTTAATGAAGACCAAAGAATCATGACATTGTTGTAAAATAAAGCATAGAAAGTGAAACTGAAGTCCGTCAAGTGATTTTTTTTATGGCCGATCTGATTGAAACATGGCCGCCGAATATACCGATGACCTATATGGAATGCATATAAACGATTTTTTTTTTAGAAACAGTTTCATTGAAATTAGTAATAATTGCATTGATGATGATAAGATCAGTATATTGCTGGTATTAGCCGCGAAGAATTGTAGGACATGCTACCAACTGAAATACAGTTATAATGAAAAATATTAATATAACTGACAACGTGTTTTTGAAGAAAATAACAATTTCACAAATTCAATATATTAATTGTTATGCATCCATGGCTGATTAGCTGCGGGAAAAGGATTACCACTAAACACATTTTGGTAATGTATGCTATGGAAAGTAAATAATCGTCTAAATACATTATGGTGATCCATACAAGCTCTTTGAAGCCAAGTCCTGTACTACTACCTGAATGTATATGTTCGTGTTGAAAATTCCAGCTATTTTTTTTTAAGAAATGATTAAAAATTTAAATGCACTAACTGTGTCTATATACTTTTTTTCTTCAGTTAGTTTGTAGTCTTTTGCGTTTTCTATTGTTTTTTACTATTGTATCGTTATTTAAGCGTATGTATTTACTTAAGTTAATATATTCATTGACACAGATGTTACTATGTATATACATGAACCTTATTTACTTGCTCAATTTTACTTACTAGAAAAGATTTTTTTAAATGATAGGTATATCACGAGATTTTTAAAATCATTTTAGCCCCCGGGTTATCTATTTCATAATACATGTATGAGCCTAATATATCATTAGGACGAACCGAACACAAGTTTGACAATTATGATATCTACTTTACACACTGAATATTCGCCCCCGTACTACTAGGTACGTGTTGTATCGAAACACTTACATTGTATTGAATTTATTCATTTAAGTTTTCGTCTTCCTTATTATGCATATTCAAATAAGGAAACGCTGTGTCATTGAATTTAACTTGTGCTACATTCCTTGTTTTTCAATAACCTTTTATAGTTACCATGTACTGGTACCGCTTGCAGCATCTTATACAGCGAGCTAGCTCTACAATATGTGTACTTAAGTCAAAACGTACACAAACCGACCACACTTCCCGTTGTTTTTTGTTTGTTTTTTTTTACAGCTTAAAGGAAGTTTTTTTAGCATGTTTAAATATGCCCCCGCACATTTCGCTGACATTTTACTCTTCAATAGCGTACTCTAATGTACCAACTTTATCATACTTTATAAAAGGACAAATGATTTGAATAAAAATATTATTCCGGTATATAATAGGTCGTGATTAATCAATATTAAGTTTGAGGTTAATCATCCGTGTTTAACAAATATATAGATAACTGATTTATATTTATAAATACATATCTGATAGATAAAGGGAACATACTCAGCGATTTTTTTATCTCGAAGAAAATTGCCACTGTTCTGCATCGTTAGAAGGTCGCGGCTATCATCATAGTCATGGCAAGTGTGATCGAAGCAGCTATTGTGACAGGAGCTGCCCAAGGGATAGGAAAAAGTATCGCCACAAGTTTGCTAAAACAGGGTTATAAGGTAAGTGTTCGATCATTTCGTTCGAAGGTTTTAGTCGTTAAGGTTCGTTTAAAAATTAAGCTTAACCTGGGACATATCCTATTCTAAAGTTTAACAAACTATTAATTAAGGTCGCATTTATGTAATCGTTGGTTCCGCTCAAATGCAGTACGGGTGTTAAATTAATAAGTATAGAATATAAATAACGTTAAAATCACTTTCTTATGATCTTAATATTGTGTCTTACAGGTAAATTATGATGTAAGGATTGCAAAATAAATCCGATAATCCCAATTATCTTAAGACCATTGAAATAGCAGTATTAAAGGTTTTGGAACAATGTCTTGAAAGAAATTGTATGTATAAAGGTTCTTAATTATAATTTTTTTTTTTTATAAATCTGTTTACATGTATTTGAATCCATGCTTGACCACGATTAAATAACATTATCATAAAATAAACGTTTTCTTGTTTGCTTATGGAAATCGGTATCAGAACGACGATTTCGTGTCTTGTTGAAAATTAGTACGATTTCACGAATAAGCCTCTTGAATGAGCCAGCAATATACTTTACTGTGATACAATGTATTAATAAATGAACATAATTTACGGGTCACAAGCCGGGACAAATTATATTGAATATTCAGGATCGGTATTCATTTTGGAAGACTTCTGTGCGTTTATGTAATTTTCATTGAAGTGGTATGGCAAACTAACACCGTATGTGTTTCACTCTCAGGGCCGATATGATCCTCCTTAATCGGACATGTTATGGGTCCTATTGGAATTTGAATATTTTATAACGTCTAAATAGTATACTAACAAGATTTTAAAACATCGTTAACAAACGTTTGTAAAAAATATTTAACCATTCACTTTGGAGATGAGGACATTCACAATTTCGATAAAACAAAATATCTCATGTATACATCCATAACAAAAGAAAATCTATTTCTATTTCAAAGATAACAAATGGATAATATTTGATAATTTTTGCTTTATGACAATGTAACCCTTATTTATTAGTTAAGTAGATTCGTAAAATTATATTTTTAATTCAAGCTTTGGTTTTTAATTTAATTCACAGAAAAGTGTAATAATTATATATTTTGTTCTTATGTTACATCACTGTTCCATGTAAGGGAGAGGGTTGAGCGCTCCCAAACATGTTAAACCTCGCATCATTCTTTATGTAAAATTAAGAATGGAAATGGGGAATGTGTCAAACAGACAACAACCCGACCATAGAACAGACAACAGCCGAAGGCCACCAATGGGTCTTCAATGCAGCGAGAAACTCCCGCACCCGGAGTGTCCCAAGGCAGGATCCTGTAATCCATTTGTACCAGTTTCCCTCATTACCGTTCTTGTTTTGTACAAAAATCAGGCCGGTGGTTTTCTCTTTTGAATTGATTTACATTTAGTTAGGCTAGTGCCTTGTATAACTTACTATACGGTATTAGTTTTGTTCACTGTTGACGGCAGTACATTGCCCTAAAGCTGTTTACATTCTCATTATTTAGTCTCTGGTGGATAGCTGTCTCATTGGCTATACCATATTACATCTCACTATTTTTATTTAATGTTGATAGAACATTAAACTTCACGCTTGAAGCTTTATAACTGTGTCTTCATTTCTTAATCATGTGTAACATAACGGGTGCCGCATGTGGAGCAGGATGTGCTTACCTTTCCGAAGCACACGATATCACCCTCGTTTTGATGGGGTTCGTGTGGCACAGTCTTTAGTTTTTTTATTTAGTGTTTTGTAGACTGTTTGCCTTTTCGCAGTTTTTTTCATTTTTTGGCACGATTTTGTCGGTCTATCCTCGACCTATGTGGTTTGTTTCTCCCTTTGGAATCTTCTGTCTCTTTTTTTCTTACTTCCATTAAGTTTGCCCGCGTAAAAAAATAGTAGGATGACATTATCACGAGTTCTGATTCCAAGAACACTTTTGTTGAACGAGATGGCCCTTCATTTGATTATTTCCATATAGAATGTATTATATCATGTCGGTGTCAAAACAAAACCACCGACCTATTGATTCACCAGCAGGTGTATTGACCACAAGTCATGTACACTGGATTTTTTGCCCTTATATTTGGTCAATTTTCACCATTATCAGTTCAGTAAATAGTCTTTTGGAGTTTGAATCTTTAATTTTTATTCATTATATATATATTTTTCTGACATTGAATTAGATTTTCATTTTTGACCTGGACTCAAATTTGGGACCTGCCACAGAAAAAGATCTTTGTCAAAAGTTTGGAGAAACAAAGGCAACTTTCATCAAATGCGATGTCACAGACAAGGAACAGTTCATAGGTTAGTTTTTAATCAACAGATCATCCTTGCGTTATATTTCTAGAAGATTAAAAGTTAAACCCCTTGCGTGTTTTATTGGTGCATATACATTTTGCGTGAAAATGATTAATAGGCATGTTAAAAGTAACTGCAAAGTCTTTCAAATATAATGAATATTCTCGATATTTTAAGGACATCCTGTATCTTAAATTACCTAAGTGTTGGGTACAATTGCTATTTGCATTTTTTACTAGTCATATTTTTTGTTCACATTACGACATTGACTTTTATGATCTATTGGAAATCATTAATGGAAATTTGTTTGGTACTGAAAAAAACTTGTTTTAACCACAGGCACTTGTCTCTGAAAAAAATTTCCTATATACCTTGATATAACACATATTAAGGTATATAGTAAATTTTATTCTGAGACATATTAAGGTATATAGGAAATTTTTTTCAGAGACAAGTGCCTGTGGTTTTAACACTGCAATTTTTCATGATGTGCATGCCTAAAGTAAAGAAACTTGCCATTGGTTGTTTTTCATTGACATCTGCTCAAACCTTTATATATAACCATTCATATTTCCAGGAGCTTTTAACGAAGCTGTGAAGACATGTGGTCATATATCGGTGATGGTTAATAACGCTGGTATAGCTGACGAATACAATTTTGAAAAATGTATAGCTGTGAATTTGGTGAGCAGATTCTTATATCCGCTATTTTCATTTGTTAGTCTCATTTTGAATGTGTTATTTTTTATATTTCTTCTTTTTTTTCAAGTATCAACCTATACGAGGGTCGTAATGGGGTAACCTTCATGACGAATAACGGTAATATTTGGTGCATGACGATAAAATGTACGACTGATTTTGACGAATCACGTTATTTTTTTCCCAAAAAAATAACGGTAACGGATAATTATTTGAGCCTTCTGAGGAATCACAGTAGAGGATATTTTGACGAATCACGATAACATTTTAACCAATTTGACGATAGCCGAAAATGACCGTTTGACGCCTTGTGGTAAAGAGCATTCCTACCCTCCTATACCCACTTATATATTTAATGGCAGTACATTATTCATTCACTTAAATATAATTTCCGATTTCCTCTTGTTTTTTTTATTGAATCTTTCCTGAACGAACACATTTAATTATATTTCCTGATACGTTTATTGATTAAATACAAGTCTCTGAACTGTATATTAACATTAATACTTTCAGTGCAACTTCAATTGAAAAATAATGAAATATGTTACCTATCAAAGGCTCACGAAACTGTGATTATATGTTAAATGAAAATTACATATCATAAAAATAGATCTCATAATTGTATTCTGTTTGATGTATGTCAAAATAAGATCAGATATCGACAGCAGCTGTATAAAAACAGTTAAGAATGAGTTCTTCAATATATATATACTTGAGAGTTGTGCGTGAGTAAGGGTAGAAACTAAATACCCGGTAGAACAAAAGGGGGAGTAGATTAAAAAAATGAAATAAATAGGGTAATGACAGTCTTTCTCATGTATCCTGCCAAAAATCCTTAATACAGACTTTTGGTTTCCGGCCAAAATCATTTGTTATATATAATATGATCTCATCAGTTTGTTCATTTAAATATTTTCAATGCATCAATTATGTAAACAAACCACTGTGTTGGTTAGTAAAGGTTGGTAAGGAAAATCTATTCACAAATAAATGCACTTTTTAATTAATAAATGACTAAGTTAACCGCAAAATTTCGTAAGGGTTCAGGGAAATGAAAGTTTTTTTTTTTAAATAAGGCATATCCATTTTTAGTTACAGGTTGTCACTTTAACTGAACATTGAAACAACCAAGCACGCTATGTTTCCCAATGACCCTTAACAAGATGTATATAAAATAAAAAGTAAAAATTAACGATATTACAATCGATTCTTTAAAAATGCTGACATGTCCTGTAGATAACAGATGTCTCATCTTTCCTGTATTAGATTATGATAAAAAAAAAATTCCTATATAAGGGAGCTACCATTTGATTTTTATGGGGAGGGGCTAGGATGAAATTTGAAAAAAATAGGCAGGACAGGATTTTTGAGTAAAAAAAAAAGGCAGGATGAGATTATTTGCCAAAAAAAAAGGCAGGATGACAATTTATGTAAAAAACAAGTCAGGATAAACTAAAAAAAAAAAGGCAGGACCGAATAGAGTGAAAAATAAAAAGGCAGGACCGAATAGAGGGGAAAATAAATAGGCAGGACAAAATTTTTCATCCTAGCCCCCCCCCCCCCCCCCCCATAAAAATCAAATGGTAGCTCCCTAAGTGTTATATTAAAGTATATAAGATTTTTTTTTCTTACACAGAAAATGGATATAAGCCACGGAAAATTTGGCGGGAAATAATTATCTCTAGATTTTTCTTACATTTATCATTGGCCTGTGGATATAAGCCACGGAAAATTTGGCGGGAAATAATTCTCTCTAGATTTTTCTTACATTTATCATTGGTACCTTTCTTCTTTGAAAACTGTGAAAAATAACAAGGATTTCATAAGATTTTCGAATATGGCTGTTAAAACTATATTTAATAATATTATGAAAGAAAAGTAGGGGTTAGCGGGCAAAATCATTTCATGGCACTACAGGGATTAAACCAGAGGAATCTGAATATCTGGCAGAATTACAAAACAAGAGAAGCGAACATCCTTAAAATGATTGACTTATCAGATCAACATAGATCACAAAGTTTACTTCATTAGCACTTCGTATACATCAAACTCGCCTAGCTTCGCTTTCATTTTGATTCTGTCGCCATGGAGTCAGGTGATATATTTCGAAATAACAATTATAGTTTTTTTATAAAACTTTTAGTAGAATCATACAAATCAAGGTTTGTACGCAGCTAAATAGTTAGACATGTGTGAGAATCCATTTACTTTCTTGAACATTACTATAGATACTGTTCTATAGAAAATGGGATATTATTGCACAAGTCAAGACAAGGTGACAATAGTTATGAGTTACAAAGTTAAGATAATTAAATTGTTATTTTGATACAACAATTGAAAAAAACAACCAATTTATTTTATTTGAAGAAGTCAGGGAAATTACAAATATCTTGTTGCTGCACTTGTCCATTTTCTTTCCCTTCAAATTTTCTTTCAAATAAATTCAAGTAGATTTTTTACGAAAAATTATACATTGGCTAGCATTAACACAGCACAAAACAATAATATAATTTAGGCTTTAAACAACATTTTTCTCCTAGTATAACAAAGCTCTTCTTGCAAAGTGTTTTTGTCTATTCAGATTGGAGTGATTCAGGGTTGTAACCTTGCTATGGACCATATGAGGAAGGATAAGGGTGGGAAAGGAGGAACCATAGTTAATGTGGCTTCAATGGCAGGTAAATTTAGAACAACAGTAGTTAGCCAATGTTCATTCTTACAAATTGATGAAGAAGAAAAACGAAAGTTACAAACAAAAAACGAGGGAATCGCATGAACTCCAAAATGGAGAGAGACCGCATGTTTCGACATGGCAGTAGTCTCCAGTTGTTCATGCATCACCCGCCATGTGAATCCACATTCAGTCAAAATGTCACAATCGGTAATAGGACGCATTCGGCAAATTTGCAGATTAGACGGCTATTCTGATATCTAAAGATCTATGATAAATAAATTAAAAAAATATTGATCGGGCTGTCATGTAACACTATACAGTCACCTGGATCAACGTGAGTGGTAAAGGGCTATATGCGTGCAACGTGCTTAAAGCACGTATTTTACCGTGTTTCGTGCAAATTGGTAAGTTTTATTTTAGTTTTTTGGATCATGAAACGACCATTTTCATTTCCCGTTCGTCCGTGCATACACTTTTCCTTTACGACCCTCATTAGCTACATTGAAACGGCCCACAACATCCGTTCACATGACATTTTGAAAAGGGCAAACTAGTATATAAGTTCTGCCTGTCGGGCAATTCACATGCAAGATTGCTACACGAATAATTTTTACGTTATACGTTTAAATATTTGGGCGTGTTTAGTGAAGGTTATCTAAAAAGCACGAGTGGTGCTCATATAAGTTTGTATTAAAATGTTAACTATGAATGTGAAAACGAAATCAATTGTGGCAGCCATTGAAAAGTCTCGAAAATAATGCTTTCATGAAATAAATGTATGCTATAGTTGTTACGCTGAAATGTCTTTGATTTGATGGATATTCAATTTGTTGGAAAACGTTAAAAACAAGATAGACTGAGAAAAAAAAAAACGTTTGGAATCTTCTCTCTGTAGTGTATATATACAAATTGTACGTTTTAAAATTTACTTGATTTAGCTAGGTAACTTTTTATTTAACCTTTATTTCAGCTATTGATGCACACTTCATCCTTCCAACGTACTGTGCGACAAAGAGCGGAGTACTCAATTTTACTAAAGCATGGGCTGTGAGTACAACATGCTATATTTTTGAATAATATTACAAATAATATCTTATTACTGGTGTCCTATAGCCATTTTTCATCAATGCCAATTTGTCTGAGCGCGATTTGGGGGGAGGGGGGACAGGCCTATCCCCTTTATTAGCTCGAGAAGCTGATCCCCCATTGTAGTTACGTCGGCGACGTCAGTTGGAAATTAATTATCTATACAAGGAATTATTTAAGCGTTTCCACACCATCATCGTATAATTATACATCATGTGAATTCAATATCAGATGATTTAGCCTAACATTGTTAGATCTGGAAATTTTTGTTTTCTCTCAGCTAGAACCCTTGCTTCTGTGACATCGTGGCAACACCGCCTGCACTGTGTCCAGCGCCCTAGACCCCTCGACCAACTAGGCACGATAAAATATAGCTTTCGTTAGTTCAGTAATGCCTTACCTCGTCGGCTTTATTTAGGACTGTAACACATAAGTTGTGCCTTCCAAAAAACGTCTAAAACAATCAATGCCTGGTGTTAGAAAAACCTTAGTGTTTCGAACAATTTAACATTTTGTGAACAGTGACCATATTAATGATATCATGTCAACGCGAGAGACAGGTTTCATATATAGAGACCTTTTCGGAAATTTGAACATTAGGAGACAGACGTTGGAGTTGCTTGAAATCATGTTAAAAACTTGTATAAGGGACAGAAGAAGGAGGAAAGAGAGCAAGAACGTGATTAAAAAAACTCAACGTCTGCCTCCTTATTCAATAGTAATAAAAAAATTGATAGGAACATAACAATTTTTTTAAGAAAACAAAGACCTTTGCGTTCTATCAGTGTAATTGTAAACGATTATACCGAGATTTGCCGTCGGTGTTTGCAGGTAAACTTATTATATGTCTACACGATAGCCAAAACAAAGTCGACTGACCATTTTCAATCGTGTATATAACAGTATTCTAATAATATAAATTATTTTTTTCTTTGATTGGAAGGCCATACTAGGTCTACAAAAATTACACGATATCTTAAATATGACGATCAAATTGTCGTTATTAAGAAATTTGCTATTTTTGAAATTTTATTTGGGACAACACCTAAACGCATGATTTGAGTCATTGATATTTTTGCTTATAATGATGATGATGAATTGCTAATTAATAGGTGAAGTTCTAGCTGCGCATTTGATAGTTACGTACGTGACATATTGTACATGCCAATACGTAAAACGAAAAAATATTACCTTTAAATTAGAAGTAAAAGGGTGGGTTAATTAGAGCGAGGAAAAGTAACATTACGAGAACTGCGTTTAAACCATTAAAATTTAAAACTGAAGCAAAAGTGAAAATTACAAATAAAAAAAAAAAACTTTAAAAACCGGCACTCCAATGAGCCTGAAACGTTCAGCTGGTTAATTTACCCATCTATTGTTGACAAATTGAGCACTGTCAGAAACAAAGATTGCCTTAACAGGCTATGTTTTTAGTTTATCATATCGAAACCAAATGAGAACCGTGTGTAGAAGTTTGGGTTAAATCAGGAAGTAGTTTCAGCGTCGAAGATGGAAATGTAATTTTTCATATCGTTTCAACGGTAACAAGTTACCATCAATACCGCCATGTTTACCACCCGATCAACATTAGATGGAGATCGTTTGTAGTGAGTCTTTAAATTATCAATTCCGTCAAAAGGGCAATGTATTTCACTCTGTAATTTCAAAGGGATTTGTTTTTTTTGTTTGTTTTTTTTTGGGGGGGGGGGGGGCTATCAGAATAAAAACTATTTCTGTCGGCTATGTTTTTCATCCGATCAATATCAAACATTAGAATAATTGCTTTCCATACAGTCATCTTTCCTGTCAAGTTAGTTTAAAGCTGGTTAACGGTTTCAAAGAAAAGGATGACAAATGTGACTATCAATTGGAATTATGTGCCAACAATGCCGTCATATGTTTTCCACCGAGCAAAATATACCGAGATTCGTTTCTGTAGATTCTCTAAATTATCGTCAGTTCGATAAAGTTTCAAAATATTTTGCCCAGCAATTGCAGAGGAGACGATTTCGAAAAAACGATCTATCGAATTACATATTGCCACTTGCAGCCATGATTTTTAAACTGATCGTGACCAGAAAGTTTAAGTTCTACAAAACTTTCTATTCATGAGTCCTGCCAAGTTATGGTCAAATTGGTTTGATTGTCATAAAGCAAACGATGAATGTAAATTGTCTATGGGTTGATGGACGGCGCTGTGACCATAGCTCACACGGCCCTTTGGGTCAGGTGAGCAAAAAATGAAACATAGCCTACTGTCATTTAGTGCCGATTACATTATTTTTTTAAGAGTAACATCTGGTCTCTTGTAGATTCAGTGACAGTACAGGATGGACTTGTTTTGATGGTAGTGAATATTACAAAAGTGTAATTTCTTTCAAGTTTGGTAACAACAGGCTCTTTTTAAAAATTGTAAATCTTTTCTTTGATTCGTCTATTTTTAGAAACGTTGGCATGTATCCATGTTAGATGTAAACAACCGGTCCTGACGGGGATCATGAACGCTTAAACAAATCAAATTACGATTATTCTCAAACATATGCTGTCGTTTAATGTGATATAAGCCTTTATTAATAACATCGGAGTTCATGTTTTTTTCCAATTACTTGCAGCCTGTTAAAAAAAATATTACAGACAAGTGGATTCCGTGTAAGACGTGCATAGCTTGGGATCATGGTTCAATCTCTGCTTCGCATAAGCTAACATCCCACAAAATGATTACAAATGTGTCAGTTTCCTTCAGAACATGTTTTTATGAATTCATAGCACTATGATGAAGTCTGAAAGACACTTGCTATTGATTGTGATAATTATGTTATTATGGTTATAGTTTTACTTTTTAATTAAAATCGCTTTCAAACAACATGTAGGGCGTCAACCACTACTACACTAAAACCTTGGAATTTTACCTAGCTATCTTTTGACATCGAGTATATTTTCAAACCCCAAAACTCAGTTACAGTTACCGAAATATAATAATCGTATTTTTTACTACTTTTTACGAACACATGTTAACATGTGTTAAAAAAGAAGCTAGCAAAATCAGCTATCAATTATAAACTGGCCAGTTATAAGATTACATGCGTTGTGAATATGTGATCCTCGCAGCTAATTTACACAGCAAATGCCTTTCTATCGACCAACTAACACATATTCTCAAAGCCCCTCGCACTATGTATGTGTAAGAGAATCATCAATGGTAATTCTTTTCTTCATGATTAAGTACAAGCGTTAACAAGTATTTATCACGAAGAAAGGGATTATCATTCTCTTACAAACTTAGAATATTGTAAAGTGATTAAGGCTCGAACAATCTATGCAGTTGCTATATTTGTCCGGCTAGCCGGAAGAAAAGTGATGTGACTAATTGCCCGGCTAGCCAAATTATCAATGGTGGGACTATTTTTCAAGTTATCCAGTTGAATATTGATGCATCTATTTGTCTGGATAAACCCATAATAATGGCTAGTGTAATGATGTATGTCCAAAATTTTCTATACAAATACATGTAACAGATGATAGCATAATTATCCCGAATATTGCTTTTTTTGTAAAAACAGTATACTTTAATTGTTCATAATTTTCACTTGAGACCAAATCAGACAAATTTACTTTTAACAACAAAGATATTAGCAACATTGGCTTTGAAACGGACCATTTTGTGAAAACTGTGAAAGAAGAAGAAGAAGAAAAACAACTCTAAACTTGGGAGACCTAATTAAACTACTAGTATTTATTTCATTTACATAGGTTTCCTCCCTGTTTAACGGAAGAGGAACTGACACAGGAAAACTTATCAATTTACATTGTTAAGTTTACTTTGAATATACATCATATTCTATAACTACTTTTCTTTAAAATACAATTTTAGGAAGCGATAACAAAAAAGGGAGATGTTGCAATCCAATGTTAAGTTACTTCGTCTTAAAACCTTTATCTTGAAAAACTCCTTTTTCGGATACACCAAATATGATATATTAAAAACTATACTAACTATTTATTGTTAAAGGAAACTTGCAGCGCACCCTATATCGCTTAAAACATATTGATATATCGTTTAAACTAGCTTCTGAATACGACTGAAGAAAACATTTTCGTTTCAGTTTTTAGTTTTCCATAATGTATTAATTGGAAGTCAGAAAATATGTTTTGAGATAGTTAAACGGTACATGTATGGACCGAAAATGTGAAAAGAATAAAACTTTGAGGTCATTCATTTGGAAATTTGATTACGAATGTCACGAAGGTCTAGGAACTGGGTGTTTGATTTGATTTGATTTTTCCCAAATTTGACAATGCTTAATACACATTTTTTCCAAACTTATACATGCTAAAGCCAACATTATTGTATTAGTACAAAAATCAATGCTTTCGATCATTCAATTCCTAATTAAATAATATAGATTGTTAGAATATCATGATTTTCGATTTCAGTTGTCCTTGAATCTCTTTTAAAAAATTTGATCTTTATTTGAGTTCATACTATCGAATTCGGCTGTTAAGTTATGAAAACTGGAAAATGTATCACAATGAACATTGATACCGCCGTTTTCAGCAATGATCCCAACATCAGTGTCAAGGACTACACACGGCCACCTCAGTGATGCTTCTGATGATAATATTACCGCGCACACACGCACATGTGATAAAGTGACATGCCCATTGCAATTGCCGAACAATAGTCCTAGCATTATTCGTCCGGCTAGCCGGGCAAATAGCCACTCCGAATAATCTTATGATGGGTTTTTAATCAAGAATTTGTTTCATAGTTTGTGCAATGTTTATAGTTAATGCATGACTTCCTTTTTAAATATTTCGTTTGTGGATTAGTCTTATTGATGTAAGGGCTCACTTCCCATATACAAAGTGATAGGACGTGCCGCTGGAATAGGTCACATTTTCCAGCTTGATAATATGTGAATAGGTGGGGAAAACTATCAGAAATATATGATAAGGTCAATAAAGTTCCTATTACTTGTTATATGAAAAGCCCTATAATTTTTTCACAGCCGAAAGTCCCGCCGGTAAACATTACATAAGGAATCTGAGCCTCAGATTTGATCTCCGAGCAAAGAGGATATTTTACCGACTGTATTTTTATCCACAAATTTTCCCTCTTTTGACACTGGTATTCCACTTTTCCAACACACCTCACGAAACCCAACCAATATGGGAAAAGGTTACACTATTAACTACGCAATATACGAAAAGGTATACATTTTTAAAATCTAAATTATATGAAAAGGGTGGGTATGACAGAACCACAGCGGTGACCCCTATCAATTAAGTATTGAACCCCCCCCCCCCCCCCCCCCCCCCCCGAGTGCAAGGGCAGTCTCATAATTTTTGAAATTTTAATAAATTGTGTTTTAGACAGTAGGTGACACAACAGTAGGTATATGAATGTAAATTATGTAATAGTTTAGTGAGGAATTATCTTTTGTTTATTTACAATTCAAATCAATAAATTCAAAATCTGAGTTACAACTAAATTTTATCTCACAGTCAATATTTCCACCTTTTACATCGATCAAATATTACGTAATTAACTAAAATTGAAATGTTCAAATAAAATGCATTTTTTATGAAATTCAAACGTTATTTTAATTTCCCGTATTTCCTGCGGATACATTAATCTGGGTTTCGGTAGGCGTATTTGCTAAATATTAAGGTTATATTGAATTTCAATGTATTCCTTCTTTTTTTTTTTTGCATTGCTTTGATAATATTTATTTTTTCATAATTCTGAAGTTATAAATATTCACACAATAGCATTGATTATCAATTTTACTGCACTGGTAAACTTCAAACTTATTTGGATTTTTTTTGTTTTTTTGTTTGTTTCGAAATTCAACTTTTATTCAGTTTCAAATCTTTATCCTTTCAAGCTAATACATGTGCTTCGGAACAGTTGTAACTCATTTACAGAAATTCTTTGTTTTGAACTGTAAATAGGCCTAAACAAAAGGATAATCCCTTACTAAGAACATGATTTACATTCATTCTTCACAATTAAGGAACACCAAACCCAACAATTTCATTGGTCGATAGCACTTTGCTATATTCTAATTTCGTATTAAATGTCTTTCCATTGACTAAACTTTTATATATTAATTGATTAATATACGGTATGGTGTTTACTCATTGTTGATAGCCTTACGGCGGAGTATAGTTGTTAAAGTCTTTGTTGGAAACTTGTTTCGTTGCAATCTTTCAACATCCCTTTTTTGTATGTAGTCACCTGTATTAACAAATTTTATATGAAAACAAAATATATTCCTTAAAAGGAAATAAAATGACAAAATTTATAATATATTTTTGTATACTAGTATCGCAATAAATATTATGATTGATTTGCACATGTCTTCATTGGTTTTTTAAACTGTTGTTTTGAGGTAATATTTCAGTTACTCGGCTGTATAATTTAACCACAAATGTATAAGTTACATATGTATCACATAACCACGTGTATCACGTACATAACCACAGATGTATCACATAACCACAGATGTATCATCATATAATATTGCGTTATTTCATAATATTATGTTCCTTCAGAAAAACTCGGGTGTAAAACCACTCACCGGGAACATGATATGTTCATTGTGCAATCTAAATATTTTACCAGGGATAACGCTTACATTTCATTGACACTTACGAAAATAAGGAGCAAGTGCGATAGAAAAATTATATAATTCCATATACTACACAGCAGGAAGGCCCCTGACAAGATCACTTCCAATCGATTTTTGTACTAGTAAGCCGCATGCCTCCTATCCGTATCCTATACACAGCATTTAATAATTCATTAGTTAGAACTAGGAAGTTATAACTCCCATAAAAACCATTAGATTGTTTTCAATCAAGTACTGTGGATGTAGTATTTTTCTTTGGATACCAATTTTCGTGGATTTCGTTGGTACAAGTGAACCACAAATTTAAATGTTCCACTAATTGCAAACTTTATATAAATCTGCATGCAGACTTTAGCCAAACCACGAAATCAAATATCCACGAAAATGCATGTTTTCGTTTATCTACGAAATTTGGTACCAACGAAAATGAATGAATCCACAGTATATGTTTACCACAGTGGACAAGAGTTGTCTCATTGGCAATCATACCACATCTTCTTTTTTATATAAAACTACATGTACAGGCGTTTTCCGCATAAACCACCACTCTAGATTTGTTCACTAATTTTCTCTCATAGTATTGCAATTGGTGATAACTGTTAGTCCTTCCTTTAAAGAAAAATGTCTTGAAACCAAAAAAAATAAGGAAAATAAAACAGTGTAGGAAGAAGACAAAAATATAATCAGAATTATCTTTGCACTAACAGATGTAAAGAACATACATTTAACAACAATTTTAAACATTTTATACTGTGAGATATTTGACACTCCTAATACTTTATTACAACTTGGACTTGTGTTTAAAACTTTTTTGAATTTTAGACTAACTTGTAGTTAAAATATATATACAAGACACATAAAATTAGGGCTGCAAAAATAATTACCTTTTTAACATAACAAACATTACAATCTTTTTCAGAAAAACCCAAAATGTGAAGAATATGGATTGACATTTTTGTGTTTGTGTCCTGGCTTTGTTGATACTGAAATGGTACGCACAGGAGGTCCACACTGTTTAAATCCCCAAATTTTTGAAGTAGCAAAATCGTCAGGACTATTGAAGTAAGTTAAGAATACTAGTAGTACTTATTACATTGGAAGGTTCATTAAATGAAGACTATGATAGTATGTAATTATACTTTAAAGAAGAGTGCAAACGCTAAAGTGTCTCGCCTGCTTTACTGATCATGATTGAATTTATGCTGAAAATATTTAAGATAGAGGTTGTCCCAATTCAGGAGCCTCTGACCTTTGTTAGTCTAGTATGTTTTTTAATTTTAGTTCATTTATATGTTTTGGAGTTTAGTGTGACGTCCATTTTCACTGAACTAGCACACAATTTTAGTTAGGGGCCAGCTGAGGACCACCTCCGGGTGCGGGATTTTCTCGCTGCATTGAAGACCCATTGGTGGCCTTCGGCTGTTGTCTGCTCTTTGGTCGGGTTGTTGTCTCTTTGATATATTCCCCATTTCCATTCTCAATTTTATTAACTATACATATTACATGAACTAAACTTTATCAATGACCCATGTAAATGAGGTTATGGTCAGGTGAACCCTGACAGACGGACATGTTCTTACAATCATTCCATACACCAAATATAGTTGATTCATTACATATAGTATCTGAAAAATAAAATTGAGAATGGAAATGGGGAATGTGTCAAAGAATCAACAACCCGACCAAAGAGCAGAAAACACCTTCTTAATCAAATTAGAAAATTTAACGTTGACAAAAGAACAATGAAAATGAGGACGGACATGTTAATCTTACAATAATTCCATACATCATTATAGTTCACCTATTGCTTATAGCATATGAGAAACCGAACTTACTACGAACACTTTACTTTGACCAATGAATCAAGAAAATGACTTCCAAGGTCTGATGAACTCGGTCAGACGGACATGAGCACCTTTTATGCAATTCCATACACCAGATATAGTTGCTTTTTTGCATATCAGTATCTGAGAGAACTATCAACCATCAAAATAAGGTCAATGTAGGATGAACGATGCTAGACAAACTTGTAAATCTTAAAATCATTCCGTGCACCAAACAAAGTTGACCTATTGTTTAACTTTATATTTGAGATATGGACTTGGACACGAAAAAAACATTGATAATTGACCAATGAAATGGGATAAAGATCAGGCGAACCCTGTCTGGCTGACATGTAGACCTGGCTAGGACCCCATTTACCAAATATAGTTATTCAAAATAAAGCGTTATACAAATAGTAAACGCTGTAGCTGGATTAGCATCCCTATATATTGCATTCTGTAACTTCGTCTCAGACGAGACAATAACACTGTATATATTTTTTTACCATCGTGAGATTTTAAAAGGTTGAAAAAGTCAACAAATGTATTTGATGAAAAACATAAACACACAAAAACTCATAGCAGATAAAGAAAGTCCTTACGTAATAAATAAGGAAGGGATAATGTGTGTCAGAACTATGCAAATATTTAGATTATATAAAGTAACTTATACATTCCGTCTAATAATCGGTGGGGCAATAAGTCATTCAATTTAAGGATGTACTGAGGTGAGGTTTAGGAATTTTTGTCAGATGTTCGGACTACTTGGTTTTTTTTCCTACGATACAAGGTAAAATATTTTGCCCCATAACACCCATTTTTCTTTTCATATAAGACTTCAATAGCTCTAAAAAGGTCATTTACCAAAATTTAAGCAGATTCTAAATTTCTTTTCTTTCGATTTGAGACCCAAATAATACCAATGCAAACATAAGGTAAAAGTCCGAGTCAGCCTTTTCCCGCCATTTTAAAAAAATAAATATCTCGAAAAGGAGGTCCATAACCTATCGATATTTTTAGCTTATTTTGTTCCATAACTAATGCTCTTCTGACTTATAGTATCAATTTTAAATTCTAGATTTTTTTATTTTCACCTAAGTACATCCTTAAGATTAATTAACATGAAAGTTCCTCCCTGTCATATGCTGTACAGCTAGACACATACATATTTGGGATTCTAACACATAAACGGAACATCAAGGAACTGAAACAACCAGGAGCTTCTGCACATCTGCTTACCCTTCCGGAGCACCTGAGATCACTCCCAGTTTTTGGTGGTGTTCGTGTTGCTTAGTCTTACTTTTCTATGTTGTGTTCTGTGTGCTATTGTTTGTCTGTTTGTCTTTTTCTTTTTTAGCCATGGCGTTGTCAGTTTATTTTCGATTTATGAGTTTGAATGTCCCTCTGGTATCTTTTGCACCTCTTTCATACAAAATGTGCTTCGGTCAACGCTTTTACAGCCCAATTCAATTTAAACAGCAGGATTCATTTCTAAAAATATAGTAAAATTCCAAATTATCTAGATATGTTTTTCTTTTGACAGACTGGAAACAATTGAAGATGCCTTTTTGAAGCTGATGAATGATAAACAAAATGGTTCTGTGTTAGAAGTTTCAAAATTCAGAATAGAGTATTTAAAACAAACTTCTGTAATGCAAGTAAACAATGACAAAGAAACGTCCTGATTAGATATTGTGAATGAAAAACTTTTCATCAACGCTGAAAGAAACCTCAGTCATTAGTCATTGATTCTGCATACGTGGAGCAGAAAAGCTGACATGCATTGAAAAAAGGCAAGCTAGAATAGGGTGAAGGCTATTCCAGGATGTACACCTCATGATATATTTTGTTGTAAATAAAATTCTGTTACAAACGAAAATAAAACTTATGGATTATGAGGTATACAAAAAATATTGTCAAACAATGCCCCCTTTTCATTATTTTCCTGGAATAATCCTAAGGTAAAAGTGGTCATCTTGAAATCATGATTTTTGAATGTTGGGCAATACCAAATTGAATTTCAATGTTCGTGTTTTCTTTTTTCTTTTGTCTCATGTATTGTAAATAGAATGTCATCAAGATTGTTTTCTGACATTTTGGCCGAGTGTTAGTTATTAATTATGTAATTAATGTTTATCCCCCATAAAACCATTATATTATACTAACTTTGATAACAATAAAATAATTTCATTTGAAGTTTGTTGTAAATAAAGCATCAGTAGTATACCGCTATTCGAAATTCATAAATCGATTGAGAAAAAAACAAATCCGGGTTACAAACTTAAACTGAGGGAAACACATCAAATATAAGAGAACAACGACACAACAGAAACACAACACTAAAATGCAACACACACAGAAACGAACTATAATATAACAATGGCAATTTTCCTGACTTGGAACAGGACATTTTAAGAAAAAATGGTGGGTTGAACCTGGTTTTGTGGCTAGCCAAACCTCCCGCTTTTATGGCAATGCTAAATATAACATTAAAATGAAAAGATTACATGACAGGACTACAATACAAATAAAAGGGAGAACATACAGGACAGAGACACACACAAATAATAGCTATCAAAAGGTACCAGGCTTATAACTTATTACGCCAGACGCGCGTAAATATTATTCTTTTGATTGCTTATGGTTTTATTCTGTACAACTTCTTTCTTCAGTTGACCAACAAAGTCAATACAATCAAAGAGCTTGGGAGCTCTGAGGGAAAAGACGGTCATTGTTTCTATTTCTTGTGGTATCTTTTGATAGTCTTCATACAAAGAATGAGCAAAAGAACAGCTAGAAAAATTCACATTATTGAAGTAAATTGTTGTTTGATGTAATATCATTTCCTTAGTCAAGAATTCATCAAAGATGAGTTCATGAATTTGGTAGCATATCCTTTTTTTCATGTAAAAATGAATACTCAGTATTGGCTATATAAATAGGAGAGCATTTCACAAACGTGGAAATTGGAATCCGTGAAAATACTGTCTCAAGGTTTGATTCAGTAATTGTCCAAAGTTACCAAAGGTACAATCATGATTCAAACTCACTAACTGTGACAGCTTTCAGATATACCAGTTGATGTGACTTGACTTTTTACTGCAGATAACCGTGATAAATGCATTATTTGTACATAGATATGTTGAATGAACACATTCAGTATATCAGTATAATATATATATATGAATAGTTTTAATACTCTCTATTAGGTTCACAGACAACATCATTGGAAATGTTTATTCAGGTTCGAAATAAAGCACTTATACTGTCAATTTTAGCATTAGTTAATAATCTTTACAATGCCCTTTATCTTTTTATTCAAAACAAATACTGAAGTTCAAAAAGTATTCATTAAGTTTACAAATTAGTTGAATGGTTTAATAAATCATGCGAAAGAAACAAAACCTCAAAATTTCTCCACTGAGAGGCAATAATGTATTTTCTAGATACAGTGCTCTTAGGAAAAAGAAAAGTTAAAAGTGAAAGGGAGGGCTCGAGATATGATAATTTCACGAGAAACAAAAGGGAAATGTGTAACACGGTGTTTAAAGTCAGTCTGTTCATTTGTTTATCTCCTTCTCATCAAATCAGTATGAAATTTTGAGGTGTTTCGAACTATAAAACACAAAATTGTTGACGTGAGAGGCTTGGAAAGTATAAATTCTGGTCAACCCTATAGGGAATTGACGGCATGAAGCCGTCTTTTCTCAAAAACTGAGGCTTTGAAAACTCTTGACAAGATAGTTAATTGGAGCACACACATATCAACAAATGTTGGTTTTAAGCTAGTATTGTTGGTACTCATCCCTTCTTTTCTGTTGAAGTAAAATGTCCAAAGTGTGAATTCTAACCTAGAGGACATGTTCAGGAATAATAATAAATGAAAACAAAATACAGCATATTTGTCTCATTGACAGTCACATTCTATCCCAGGAATGATTTTGTACAGACTAGATATCAGCGACACAAAATTGCACATTTTGATAGTGAAATTCGTTAGCAACATTTTTTCAGTCTTAGATCTTCAGATGTCAGTATAATCTTCTGATCCGCGAACTAACCGATTATTTCCAAATCCTTTTTGGAATTTTGAGTCCTCAATGCTCTTCAACATTGTACTTGTTTGGCTTTATAACTATTTTGATCTGAGCGTCACTGATGAGTCTTGTGTAGACGAAACGCGCGTCTGGCGTATTAAATTATAATCCTGGTACCTTTGATAACTATTGTGACATTTTGACTGTGAGGATTCGCATGGTCGGTGATGCATCCATAGCAGGAGACGCTTACCCCATCAATGCATCATGTCTTGCTCCTTTTGTAGGTCATGCCATTCCCTCAGTTATTTTTTTTTAAAATTAACTTGTCTTTAAATCGATTATCAAGATTGCTTACTTGTAAACTACTGTCACCTTACTGTACCATATAGTTCTACACTGAACACATGGAGGTTACTATGAACGTCAAAGTTCAACTATAGACAAGTCTAACAAACCGAAATTCCACATGACATATCTCTTGTTAATTTTTTCTTATCCTTACGTTTACATGACAAATGCAGGATTCCTTTTAATAAATATAGCCATTGTTGTTAAAATGTTAATTCTATAATGCACTGATCGGTGTATACAGTGTTTAAAAATACCTTTAAAAACGTCATCACCTTGTTAAAGATCATCATATTAAACTAGATTGTATTTTTAACTCAAATTATCATGATAAAATTGAACCCGTTTCTTCTATGCGTAATTAAGTGGCGGATGTTTTATTGAGACTTAAGAAATCTAGATAGATAGAACGCCTGTCACTCAATAGTGGACAATAAAAACTCATTCAATTATACCATGGGCGGCGCGGGACGATTGCGCTTTTTCATAGGACATTTGCGCTTTTTTAATGGACATTTACGCTTCAATTTATAGGACATTTACGCTTTTTGAAAAAGGACACTTGCGCTTTTTAGATGACACATTTGCGCTTTTACAATATTTGCTTCTGATGACTTCCCTCCTATTTTATCCGGGCTTAGGACCGGAAGGGTTGACCTGGAAGAGTTAAGTCATATTTTTCATTGTGGTTAAAAGTTTAATACAATAGTCGTTCATAGGACATTCGTGTTTAAAAGTCATTTCAGAGCATATTGATATAGTTATATATAGCTAAAAGTAAACATTCTGAGGGCATAAAGACACGTATAGTCATCACAGGTCAGTTTTCGCTTGATATCTGAAGCTTAGGTAATGAACAAATATAGCTCTTGTAATCTAACCTAACTAATATTCCACCCACATTTCAAATAAATATTCTAGTTTCTCTTTCTCAAATCTTGACTGAGGTCCCTGCATCAATATAACGAATTCGAATGTTACATTTATTAACCGACTGTTGTTCAATGATAAAAATCCATCGTGACATATACATATTTTCCTTTGCTGGTCTATAAATTTAAACTTTACAAGACTATGTCAATGTGAACAAACTAACCACAAATATAAGTTGAATTTAAATGGGGAAGGATGACTATAAGTTCAGGCATGTTTGCAGATATAAACTGCCAATGGTATTTTTAGGCATGATGTATGAGCTCAAAAATGTTTGTGAGAGAAAACTCAGAAGGTATATTGAGATTGCTTTAATAAATAAATAAACATTCCCTAAAATAGCAATACTTGTTTTATTCGGTACCTTATATTAAGACAACAAATTCTTGTTTAAATAAACTGTTGACATAGAGATATGTCTTGTGTTTTGCAATTTTGATAGTATGAGGCGAGTGTCGAAATTAAAATAGCAATATTTAATAAAATGCTCCGCAGGGCGCAGCTTGGTACGACCGCAGAGGTCGAACCCTGAACAGTTGGGGCAAGTATGGACACAACATTTAAGCTTGATACAGCTCTGAATTTGGATTGTGATTAAATATTTGACACAGCATAGGTTTCTGACACAAAGTGAATGTGGTCTAAGAACTTAAAAATTTTAAATTGGACATTCACCTATTATGGTCCAATATCCAAAATCTAAATACATGGTTAGATTCAGCATATCAAAGAACCCCAAGAATTCAATTTTTTATGAAATCAAACAAAGTTTCATTTTGGACCCTTTTGACCTCAATGTGGACAAAGTTGATAATGGGGCCCAAAAATCAAAAATCTAAATACATGGTTAGATTCAGCATATCAAAGAACCCCATATATTCAATTTTTGTTGAAATCAAACAAAGTTTAATTTTGGACCCCGATTTGGACCAACTTGAAAACTGGGCCCATAATCAAAAATCTAAATACATGTTTAGATTCAGCATATCAAAGAACCCTAAGAATTCAATTTTTGTTAAAATCAAACTAAGTTTAATTTTGGACCCTTTGGACCTTAATGTAGACCAATTTGAAAACGGAACCAAAAATTAAGAATCTAAATACACGGTTAGATTCGGCATATCAAAGAACCCCAAGAATTCAATTTTTGATGAAATCAAACAAAGTTTAATTTTGGAACCTTTGGACCACAATGTGGACCAATTTAAAAACGGGGCCCAAAATCCAAAAACTTAATACACGGTTAGATTCAGCATATTGCACAATATTGTGCTATTGGATATTTCTTGCTATTGCGCAATACTGTGCAATTGAAGATTTCTTGCTATTGCGCAATACTGTGCAATTGAAGATTTCTTGCTATTGTGCAATACTGTGCAATTGAAAATTTCTTGCTATTGCACAATACTTATTATATAATAATAATTTACACATCCTGTTTGGTGTGTATCTCCTACCATATCATTATTATTTGCTTTTAAATATAAATCAGAAATAACCAACTTAAAATGGAAAATTTTAAAAGAAAAAAAAAAAGGAAAAACAAAATCCCCCCCCCAAATTTTTTGAACCCCCTTATGATTCATCACCCCCAAACTCAATCCCAGCCTTCCCTTTGTGGTATGGTACCTTGCAGTACAAATTCAGAGAGATCCATACACTTGAACACAAGTTATTGTCTGGAAACTAGAAAAATGTGTTTTTTTGCCCCTTTTTGGCCCCAAATTCCTAAACGTTTAGGGCAATTACCCCCAAACTCAAACCCAGCTTTCCCTTTGTGATATGGAACCTTGTAGTACAATTTCAGAAAGATCCATACACTTACACACAAGTTATTGTCCTGAAACTAGAAAAATGCTTGTTTTTTGCCCCTTTTTGGCCCTTAATTCCTAAAATATTGAGGCAATTACCCCCATCATCAATCCCAGCCTTTCCTTTGTGGTATGGTACCTTGCAGTACAATTTCAGAGAGATCCATACACTTGAACACATGTTATTGTCTGGAAACTAGAAAAATGCTTATTTTTGGCCCCTTTTTGGCCCCCAATTCCTAAACGTTTCGGGCAATTACCCCCAAACTCAATTCCAGCTTTCCCTTTGTGATATGGAACCTTGTAGTACAATTTCAGAAATATCCAAACACTTACACACAAGTTATTGTCATGAAACTAGAAAAATGCTTGTTTTTTGCCCCTTTTTGGCCCCTAATTCCTAAAATTTTGAGGCAATTACCCCCAAAATCAATTCCAGCCTTTCCTTTGTGATATGGAACCTTGTGGTACAATGTCAGAGAGATCCATACACCGCTTATTTTTGGCCCCTAATTCCTCAAAAGTTAGAGTGCGAAAACTAATGTGTCTTCGGACAACGACGACGACGACGACGACGCCAACGTCATACCAATATACGACCACAAAATTTTTTTTTGCGGTCGTATAAAAACTATGCCATTCATTCAAAGTCAATGAATCATGACTTAAGGTGCAGAGCTTAATAACCTCCATGGAAATGAGAGATGTCAATGCTTATAAGGGCTGTTCCATAAAAACATAAATGGGACCCAGCCAGGGAAGGCACTTCCAAATCTCAACTATGGGTGGGTGTCATCTATGTTTTTGCATACTGTAAAAGTATTTTTATTCGTGGGTATCAATTTTCGTTACATGTTACAAGTTACATGTTCGTGGGTTCTTAAATTCGTGGATTTTAGTTTTCTGAAGAAAAAAATCGAATGACGAATTTGAAGACTTCAGAATCGAATATTCGTGATATAAATCATATGTTGTTTTATAATGATTTGGGGGGCATTGTTAAATAAGGTGTTCATTTTCACTCACTTGTTCTTCCTTCATTACTAACAAATTCATAATATTTTGAATTGAAGAATCAATTATTATGACATAAAAAAGCAAGCCCAAAATGAAATCAGTATTTTTTTCCGTATGAGAATTATGAAAAAAGGAACATTTCATTATCGCATATCATCACCGGAAATCTGACTTTCATCGATCAAAAATTATTTCTCATGAGACATAAAATGTTAACAGTCGAACATTTTAGATTTTTTAAAGATTAAATGGGTAAAATCCGGTCTGAAGTTGTACAAAAAAAATGTATATTTAGTTCATAGTACGTTGGTTTATATGACCGTATCCATGTAATCAAACCTACATGGGGATCTTTCCATGTCTGGAATTGGACAACAGTTATTATATTTCGTTGGACAGTTAAATTCGTGGATAAAGCCATCCACGAAAACCACGAAAATCGGTACCCCACGAATAAAAGTACTTTAACAGTAGTGGAAATGTAAGTGAAATTTTAATTTGCCTCTATAGGTGGTTACTCAATTTTTAAAGTGCCTTCCCTGGGTACATGTATGTTTTAATGGAACAGCCCCAAGACTATATACCAAAAACCATAGACTTCACAAACTTTAATTTATTAACTATGTAAAAATTTTAGTCAATGAACCATGACGAGGGGACAGGCCATATAATCTCCATGGAAATGAGAAATGCAACTGCCAATACATATGCATACCAAATATCATTGACTTAGCATTAGTGGTTCATCTTATAATGATCTAATCACAAACTTTTCAGATGTAAACTATCATATTATAGTAAACAATTATATTATAACCACATTACAGCTTAAGGCCCCTTCTGAACATTTGAAGGTCCCTACTATGTATTGGTTACCTAAACTACACAAAAAACACGTCAAATTTCGTTTCATCTTGGCCTCTAGTAAGTTTCCTACAACTAATCTTTCAATGCTTTTAACTAGTTCCTTAACTACTATCAAATAACTTATCATTATCTATTGTAATAAAACATATGAAAATAGTGGAATTAACTATTTTTGGAGTGTAAAAAATTCTTTTGATGTTTTAGATAAATTATGTGTTTTTGGTGGTCCGTTTGATTCTGCTGACAGTTTTGGATTTTCACATCTTTACACTACACTTCCACACAATCTTATCGAAAAAAAATTTTCCTATTTAATTAAATGCTTGTTAGAAAAATCTAAATTAAAGCCTTCTTCTCTAATGAGAAAGGTAGATATGCCAGAAATACTTACTGGAGGTAAGATGAGATAATTGAAGCAGTTAATTTTCTCCTTGATAACATTTATGTACGTTTCGGCAATAAAGTGTATCGACAGGTTGTAGGTATTCCTATGGACACCAACTGCACCCCTTTAATAGCAGACTTGTTCTTATTCTGTTATGAATCACAGTTTATGACCAAACTCAGTAAAACCCCGTCTAAATTGCATTTAAGTGATAAGTTCAACAACACTTATCATTATCTTGATGATATTTATCGTTAGATAATCAAGAATTCTCTAACTATACTGCCGAAACTTACCCGAGAAACTTACTTTAAACAAATCAAATACGAACGGTAATAACTGTCCTTTCTTAGATTTAGATATTTAATTTTACGAGAAACTCTACACTAAAATTTAAAGACAAAAGGGACGATTTTTCTTTCCCAATTGTTAATTTTTTGGATGGTGAGGTTCCTTTGGCACCATCTTATGATGTTTATATTTCACAACTCGTTTGCTATTGCCATGTCTGTAGTGATGTTTTGGATTTCAATGAACTTATTAAATCTATGTATTACTGGTAAATTATTAAGTCAGGGATTTCGTTACCACAAATTACTTAAAACTTTACTAAATTCTTGCATAGATACAAAGATTTGGTTTGTAAGTTTGGCTGTACCTGTAGAAAACTTATTTCGAACGGGATAGCACATCCAAATTTTTATCGAGCCTTGAAATTAAGATACAATCTGGGTAAACTATTCGATCCTTTAAATAAACTTATTCTAAAAGGTTACCGATTCAACACTGTAATTAGATCTTTGAATATTGTTTTTCTTGGTATAGATATTGATTTTGTTATTAGTAAATTAAAACCAAACTAGTGTTATTGTTATATATACATATACTAGTACATATACACATTCACGGTTCTACAATCTGTCGATACCTGTATTTTGGCATTGCACAAGGTCATGTTTTTCTCTGACTGTTAAGAGAAATTTTTACACTAAATCCATTGGATGTTGGATGTGTGCTGATTTATACTTTAGTCTTAGATACAGGATTATTTTATTAGTTATTGGCTTTTAACTAGCTGTCAGTAACTGTTAGTACTCTCAGGTCTGTACTTGTGTCTTTTTTGTTGTAGGGATGTATAAATAACCTACAATATCCTGTCTGTGTTTTTGTGATCTGATGAGTTAAGCCTGATTTTTATAGTTAATATGTTGTACTGTTACACCGCAGGAGAGTTGGGCGCCCGCTAACATGTTTAACCCCTCCACATTCTGTATGTGCCTGTCCCCAAGTCAGGAGCTTGTAATTCAATGGTTGTAGTTTGTTGCTGTATATCATATTTGTATTTCGTTCATTGTTTTTTTACACAAGTCAGGCTGTTATTTTTCTCGTTTGAATTGATTTACATTTGACATATTGGGGCCTTTTATAGCTGACTATGCAGTATGGGTTTTGCTCCTTGTTGAAGGCTGTATGGTGACCTATAGTTGTTAACTTCTATGTCATTTGGTCTCTGGTGCAGAGTTATCTCATTGGCAATTATACCACATCTTATTTTTATGTGCAAAACATTCAAAGTCAATAGACCATGACTGAAGGGGAAGACTAATATTCTCCATGGGAATAAGATGTGCCAATGCTAATACATCTACATACCAAATATCATTGAACTATCACTTATGGTTCCCCTTAAACTGACCTAACCACAAAAGTTTCAAAGCCAATAGACCATGACTGAGGGGACTGGGCCAAATAATCTCCATGGAAATGAAATGTGACAACGCCTACCAAATATAATTGACCTAACACTAGTGGTTCCTAATAAACTAACCTAATCACATACTTACATATTGTTGTTGGCTCTGTCGCCAGAAACAGCATGTCTAAGTCTTGCTTTTTCGACTTCATCAACGCGAGACAAAAATGTATTAAATTAGTATTAAACTGGACTTTCATTTCCATAACACAACTAAAGATATGTTTTCCATTTCAAAATCCGGTATAAACTGAAGCATTATAAAGAAGGAGCATACAAAGAATGCATTTTTATGCACCTGTTCTTAGTCAGGAGCCTGTTGTTCAGTGGTTGTCGTGTGTTGGTGTGGTTCATAGGTGTTTTTGGTTTTTTTTTATATAGATTAGACTTGGTTTTCCTGTTTGAATTGTTTTACACTAGTCATTTTGGGGCCCTTTATAGCTTGCAGTCAGGTGTGAGCCAAGGCTCTGTGTTGAAGGACGTACTTTGACCTATAATTGTTAACTTTTTATACATTGCGACTTGGATGGAGTTGTCTCATTGGCACTCATACCACATCTTCTTATTTATATAGTCCCATCAATTGGAAACAGACTAATAATTAAACACCAACACAAGAAATAAATGTTTATAATTTTAATACGCCCAAGTCATACAGATTTGAACATTGTAATTAAACAATTGACATTTTTAGATCCATGACAAATAAATATTAAAATTTTCTCAGTTTTGATATTTTACTTTATTTTGTCAAATTTAAATGATTCAAACAAAATTGGAATTAAAGCACAGATATCTGTGCACCTGTCTTATTGGTTACTTAATATGTATTTGTTTGGCATATCTGTGCAATAACAACCATGTTGAATTTATCAAATTTCCCTTACTTTCTGTGTTTAATTATTGCAAGAAAAATATGCATTCCTACCCTTAAAAAGTTACTATTGTAAAAAGAGGTCTTACTTTTCAAAACAAGTTCTTTCTTTAAAACATAGCTGCCAGTTTCATGTTAGATGTCAATTAAAAAAAAGAATACAGATACCATATACAATGAAATTCACATATACATTTGATAACATGAAGATAGACGTTTGTCTATTACTGTCGATAGGACACATATGTCATTCTATATTGTGATAGGACACATATGTCATTCTATATTGTGATAGGACACATATGTCATTCTATATTGTGCGCAACATTACTTAACAACAATTATATTTCAATACTCCTACCAATGATTTTAAAACCATTTAAAACCATCTGTAATGATTAACGTCTATGACATTTTGATTTCATGAAAATTTGACATTAATGTCCAACCATGATAAAAAAGTCTGATGCAGACATGATAAAAATTATTTACAACATTGATTGTTTTATTGAGATTATCGTCTGTATGGATGGTATGATGGAGCTGATGATGGTGGGCCTGATCTCTGGTATCCACCACCTGGTGGGCTTCCATACCCTCCGTGAGGGTTGTCACCTGCTGGAGGTCCATATCCTGGGGCAGACTGTGGTGCTCCATAATTTCCTGCGTCGCCGTATCCACCTGTAATAATAAATCATGTTACTGTCAGTTCCCATGCTGGCCATTTATTCTGTTCAACCCATAAGTTTATTTGTTTTAATTGAGCTTATGTCTACTAAACTTATTACAGAAACCAACTTGACTGTAAGTATATACTTCTAGTTTGTATGTTTAACCCTTAGCAGTTGGTTGTATTACACATGTAGCACTCAGTTTGAACTATAAATGATGCCTTCCTTTTGAACAGAGATAACTGATCTTTTAAACAGTTATTGTCAAATTCTTTAAAAATAAATAATTTAAATACCAAAGGAGGCCATCATATGGGCTGTGCTTTTTAAAATATATCTTACATATTTAGTAAATTTAGTAAAGAAACTCATCATAGATACCAGGATTAAAATTGTGTATGCCAGACAAGAGTTTTGTCTACAAAAGACTCATCAGTGATGCTCGAATCAAAAAAGTTAAAAATGCCAGATAAAGTATGAAGCTGAAGAGCATTGAGGACCCAAATTCCAAAAGGTTTTGCCAAATACAGTTAAGGTAATCTATTCCTGTGGTAGAAAATCCTTAGTAATTCAACAAATTTCAAGTTTTGTAAATTTGTTATTCCCTGTTCTTTTGAAATGCAAATAAAGAAACCAAATATCTATTCTGGTCATCTCTGCAATAAAATCCAAGTCTAGAAATTGAAGTAGTTAACCAAGCTTACTTGCAAAAGTGATAATGTTTTGTATATATTTAAACTCAGACAAATCTTAAAAAACTTTAAAGCCAAATGATAAATATTAGATCTACAGAGACATACCATAAGAAGACCCATATCCACTATAATCAGCAGGCTTAGGCTGTCCTGGATCTGAAGGTGGACCACCAGCAGGGTGTCCATATCCTACAATTACATCCATCAATTACTCCAACTATCATTTGATTCATTAATAACTATGAGTATGATAACAGACACCCATAAAAGTGTATGATACCTGTTGGATAACAGCTGAACTGTTGCATACAAGTTATTTGCTAGTTTGTTAGGTGAACCATGAATTCTCTATTAGCTATTTTGAATATAGAAACTTATTAAACAGGTTTTTAAGTCCACCTGTGGTACCAATCCAATGATTTTACAAGTTAACAAAAGTTATTGACTTTTATGGTCAATCTAACAAGCAATCAAATGTAACTCCATTGTTTTTGTGCACAATAAATAATATATATGCTGTAGTTTACCTATTTTGATTTTAACATTAGGATTGTTAACTAACACTTTTACCCTTATTTGTCCTTCAGCTATTCAATCATGCTATAAAAGGATATTTTTTGTCTAAAGTTTTGGAATGTACTTGCAATAGTGGAAAAATACATGTTAAATTTTCTCGGTTTTTAAATGACCTCAAGCAATTCAAATTTAGGAATTGATTACCTAAGCTGTATTTGGTAAAATCTTTTGGAATCATTGGTCCTTAATGCTCTTCAACTTCGTTCTTTATTTGCCCTTTAAACTTTTCTATTTGAGCGCCACTGATGAGTCTTTTGTAGACGAAACACGTCTGGCATACGAAATTATAAGCATGGGATTTTTGATTTTTTTTTTAAAGCTCTATTTATTTATCTATTTTAATGCAAGAGAAAGCAATCTGGTCATCTGACACAAACTCTTGTTATTTAAGCTAGAATGCATACCCTGTTTATCTTTAAATAATATCAAATAAAAAACTTTCAGTTGGAATCATTAAAAAGCATTAAAATACCTGGTGCTGAACCATGAGGGGGTTGTGACCCTGGTTGGGGCTGGCCATAAGGATCTGCCCCTGGTGTCTGTGGTCCACCGTATGAACCATAGCTACTGTAGCCTGGGGCCCCAGGAGCTGAAGCTGGCTGACCTGGCTGTGGAGAACCTGAAAATAAAATACATGGATTTTATTTTCTTAGTCCACAACAAATGCTTCAGGTCTTACAACAAAACTGTTTACGAATTCAATAAAGATAAAAAACAAAAAACAAAACAAAACAAAAACAACTGAAACCAATAAGGAACCATTATCTTATGTACTTGAATTTTTAAAGACTTTTCCATTTGATGTAATTTGGAAAATGGAGAACACAATCGATATTGGGAAGGTGGTAGGGGGTCTCAAAGTCACATATCTGGAATACACTGAATAGCTTCAATAATACTTCGATTCATACCAGAAGTTTGAAGGCAGACAACAACACTATTGTAAATTCAGAAATTATTGCCTGCATTTATTATTGCAATTTTAGAAGAATGGACAAAAATGCGACATTAATTATTGCGATTTCAGGAAAATATGCATACAGATATCAGAATGCAACTTTTTATTGCGCAACTCACCCAGTCACATTATTTGCATTACTAAAAACCATGGAAAATGTTTTGAATTTACAGTATTTCAATAACAATTTTTAAAATTTCATGGTGATTGATATTGTCAGTTCAAACATTCCTCTATATTTAGATTTTTTGGGCATATTATTAAAATGTTCAGTACAGATTAAACAAGTCCTAAATAGAGTATGAAAGAATTTCATGCCTGTCTTTAATACAGTATGCATAATGTTTTTATGCCATCAAAATTTTAATATCCCTCATTCAGTGATTTAAATTTTTTTTTTTACATTACATTGGTCAAATTTGACTACTTTCCAAATCAAGATGATTGATTGATTGCTGTTTGCTTAAAGTCCAGTGGCAAATATTTCATGCATGTTTAGGACAACAACAAATTAACAATCAATACAATAGGTAGTTCTTACAATAGGGGTCGTCCTGGATGATGAGTGGGAAATTTAGAATGCCACAAGAAGATGAGGATATATCGGATAGGGACAGAAATTTAGCCTTGCAACAGGCCACCTACAGACTCTCAAAGAGTTGTTGCAAAGAACATGGCATTCTCTCTACATTAGGCAAACTTGATCAATAAGTCATCATTATACATTAGTATTAATATTCAAATAAAACGAATCTGATCTGCAGGCATTATAAATAAAAGAAGAATGTGCTGGAGGACACGAATGCACCCGCTCAAGCTTGCTTGTTTTGTTTCCTAGCATTGTGTATGAGTTTCATAAAATTTGCATGAAACGAACTTCAGTTAGAGTGTGGAAAGGAAAAAATTGCAATTTTCCAAAGTTTAAAGGGCACAACTCTAGGACGGTAAGTGACTCACTGCAAAAATTCAAACTCTGTCTGCCAGTTTTGATTCTAAGCATTGTGTTCAAGTGTCATAAAATTTGGACGAGTAAAACTCAAGTTAGAGTGCTGAAACAAAAATGGGACAGAAAGAAGGATGGACAAGGGTAACACTTTATGCCCCCTTCGCCTAGCTGCGGGGGCATACAAATAGTTTGGGAGAAGCACAACCATTTCCAAATTTCCAAGTCAAAGGTCACCTAGTTGGTCAACCAGTGTGTATGCATACTCCATCTGTTAATCATTTAAAATATACACTATTAGTATAAAACAACTTTTTTATTGACTTTCTGTCCTAATGCAATGTAGTAAATAAGTGATTTTCTGATCTATGACTATATCTGTCCAATTACCAATCAACTGACCAGGTAGGGACTGGTTTTTGTAGTTAACACTATCAAAATTTCAATTGGCCAGTATTTGCTGGTTACATAGAGGTATTTGACAGCCCTAGTATTAACAGCTTTTTTGCCAACCTTGTACACTAATGTAACAAAGATTAGAGCAATATCAGCAGGCATTACAAACCAGAAATAAAATGCTTCGCAGAGCGCAGCCTGATACGACCGCAGAGGTCAAACCTTGAACAGTTGGGGCAAGTTTGGACACAATATTCAAGCTTGATACTGTCTGAATTTGGATTGTGATCAAATTTTTGGCATAATATAGGTTTCTGACACAAAATAAATGTGGTCAAAGAGCTTAAAAATTTGAAATGGGACATTCATTTTACCTAGAATGGTCTGATATCCAAATCTAACAACATGGTTAGATTCAGCATATAAAAAAACACCAAAAATTTAATTTTAGTTGAAATCAATCAAAAGTTTAATTTTGGACCCTTCAAACCTTAATATGGACTAATTTGAAAACAGGGCCCAAAATAAAAAATCTAAATGCACAATAAGATTCAGCATATCATACAGCCGCAATCATTCAGTTTTTGATGAAATCAAACAAAGTTTAATTTTGGACCCTTTTGACCTCAATGTAGACCAATCTAAAAATGGGGCCCAATATCCAAAAAAGTAATACAAGGTAAGAACCCCCAAAAATTAAAGACTTTAAATTAATCCCATTGAAATTGGTTAAAAGATTTGTATTTATTTTCAATTGAAGATTTCTTGCTATTGCACAATACTGTGCAATTGAAGATTTCTTCCTATAGCGCAATACTGTGCAATTGAAGATTTCTTGCTACTGCGCAATACTGTGTAATTGCAGATTTCTTGCTATTGCGCAATACTGTGCTATTGTGCAATACTGTGCTATTGCACAATACTGTGCTATTGCGCAATACTGTGCAATTAAAGATTTCTTGCTATTGCGCAATACTGTGCAATTGAAGATTTCTTGCTATTGCCCAATATTGTGCTATTGTACAATACTGTGAAATTGCGCAATACTGTGCAATTGAAGATTTCTTGCTATTGCGCAATACTGTGCAATTGAAGATTACAAAAACTTTGAAGAAAAAAAATATGAACCCCAAAAAATTGGGAAAAAAAATCCACTCCCCCCCCCCTCCCCCCAGTACAATTTTAGAGAGATCCATACACTTACATACAAGTTATTGTCTGGAAACTAGAAAAAATGCAATGAAGTTTATTAAACTAAAAGTTATTAGCAAATTTCCAATGGAATTTATTAATAATAAAGTTTTTGGCAAATTTCCAATATACATAATTTAAAAGCAGTTTAGGTGAGATAAACAAAAAAGCTTCATCAGCAACATTTTATACTGGCAAATTTCTAATGAAGTTCATTAAACTAAAGTTATTGGCAAATTTCCAATGGAATTTATTAATAATAAAGTTTTTGGCAAATTTCCAATATACATAATTTAAAAGCAGTTTAGGTGAGATATTCAAATGAGTTTCAATTACCAACCTTACACTGCCTTTAAAATTATGTTTTGTACTGAAGTAATTGTCCATTAACCTGGAAACCCTTACCCCCCCCCCCCCCCCCCCCCCCCCCTTTTTTGCACCTTATTCCTTAACGGTTTGAGCCATAACTCCCAAAGACAATTCTTACCATCCCTTTGTGGTATTCCAATATCCAAAATCTAAATACATGGTTAGATTCAGCATATCAAAGAACCCCAAGAATTCAATTTTTGATGAAATCAAATAAAGTTCAATTTTGGACCCTTTAAACCTCAATATGGACCAATTTGATAACCGGGCCCAAATATCAAAAATCTAAATACATGGTTAGATTCAGCATATCGAAGAACCCCATATATTCAATTTTTGTTGAAATCAAACAAAGTTTAATTTTGGACCCCGATTTGGACCAACTTGAATACTGGGCCCATAATCAAAAAACTAAGTACATGTTTAGATTCAGCATATCAAAGAACCCTAAGAATTCAATTTTTGTTAAAATCAAACTAAATTTAATTTTGGACCCTTTGGACCTTAATGTAGACCAATTTGAAAACGGGACCAAAAATTAAGAATCTAAATACACGGTTAGATTAGGCAATTACCCCCAAAATCAATCCCAGCCTTCCCTTTGTGGTATGGTACCTTGCAGTACAATTTCAGAGAGATCCATACACTTGAACACAAGTTATTGTCTGGAAACTAGAAAAATGCTTATTTTTGCACCCTTTTTGGCCCCTTATTCCTAAACGTTTTGGGCAATTACCCCCAAACTCAATTCCAGCTTTCCCTTTGTGATATGGAACCTTGTAGTACAATTTCATAAAGATCCATACACTTACACACAAGTTATTGTCATGAAACTAGAAAAATGCTTGTTTTATGCCCCTTTTTTGGCCCCTAATTCCTAATATTTTGAGGCAATTACCCCCAAAATCAATCCCAGCATTCCCTGTGTGATATGGAACCTTGTGGTACAATGTCAGAGAGATTCATACACTAACACACAAGTTATGTCTAAAAGTTAAAAAAATGCTTATTTTTGGCCCCCAATTCCTTAACTGTTGGTACCATAACCCCCAAAATCAATCCCCACCTTCCTTTTGTGGTATTAAACCTTATGGTAAAATTTCATAGAGATCCATTCACTTAAACTAAAGTTAAAGTGCGAAAACCAATGTGTCTTCGGACGATGACGACAACGACGACGACGACAACGCCAACGTCATACCAATATACTTTGCGGTCGTATAAAAAGGCTGGATAATTGTTTTATTTCAGAATGACAGAAACATAGAAGGTTGGGTATCACAAAATACCTCAGCCATAAAGTGGCAAGGGCAAAAAAGACTGAATTCCTTACTATAATCTCCATAATGTCTTGGAGGTGCCCCAGTCTGGGGAGATGTAGGGTGTGGTGCCTGTCCCCCAGGAGCTGAGTATGCCTGAGACGATGGTGCTCCTGCTGGTGCTTGTCCATATCCTCCACCATATGGTGCCTGGCTTGATGGGGGCTGTCCTGGTGCCCCAGGTTGTCCTGCTGCAGGAGCATGGCCAGGCTGTGATGTAGCTGGCCATGAACCATATGGATTAGCACCTCCCTGCTGATAACTTTGTTGCTGGTATCCTTGATAACCTGGTAATATGAAATCATTTAATTTTTTTTATATATTAACAATAATCATTATAAGCAATTTTGTCATTACTTCCCAAGTTTACGTATATGTTGTGTGATGAAGATCTGAGAACAAAATATTCCAATCTATTATAAACAAACCTCCATAACTCTTTATAAAAAAAAAATTGTTTTTAGTATCTAATTTTGTGTTTTAATTTTACACCACAAAACTTTCCATCAGGAAACTTATATATAGACATATAACTACCCCTGCGGCTCTTTTCACAAAAAATCTTAAAGGTAAAATTACTTGTAAGCCATGAACATTTCAGCACATTTTACAATCAATTTTAATCGTAAGATTTTTTGTAAAAAAAGTGGCAGCTTTTCAAATTCTTGCCCAAAAACATGACTGAGAACTTTGAAACCAACTAGTACTAAAGGAAACACACAAAAAAACCAACAACTTTAGAAAAATTGTTTTCCACATGTAAATAATTCAAAAACCTTTATAGCTACATATATGCCAAGTACAACTCTTAAAGTAACAGAAATAAATTTTTATCATAAGAATATTGACTTTTGTCTCAAGGAAATGACTCAAATTTACAAATAATATGAATTATGCAATGCTTTGCTTCCAGTTCTCAAAAATGACATAAAACAGTTCCATGGATTTACAAATAATTAAATCTTCAAGGGTTGGAAAGAAGATCGCTAGGAATCATGTAGATACCACTATAATTTTTTTAATTTTTTCCCGAAAACACATGAATTCAAAAGATAATTAAATCAGTTTCAATTATTCAAATATAAACATGAAAAATACCAGACATTTACAAAATATAGCTCATCATTACAAATGTTAATTAATATGGATTCATTTATTTACATGGGTACCAAATTTTGTGGATTGATGGAATATTGCATTTTCTTGGGTATTAGATTTCGTGGTTTTGCCAAAATTTGCATACAAGCTTTTGGAAAAGGTGATCTTTGTTAAACATTTAAATTCGTGGTTCACATATATCCACAAAATTCAAATACATTGGTATCCCACAAATACTAATGAATCCACAGTAGTAAGATGAAATCTAATCACTGATTGAGAAACTCCTTCTGATTACAAAAAACTCATGCAGCTCATATTTACTTAAATTCTGATAAATGTTCAGTCAGAAATGATTATAATTAGAGAAAACACAGATGAACTGATTTTGAAGGCAGCCATCATTCACTCGTGTAAAATTTCAATTCTCTTAATCCATAAACATGATCTTCACAATAATTGTTGTACAAGGTGAAACCTACCAACGGAACTCTGAACAGGGGCAGGTGGTTGGGTCGGTGCTGCTGCCACTGTAGGGGGATTCTGAGGGGGCCATCCTCCTAAAACATAACTGCATTTTATAGACAAATTTCTAAGACTTGAAGAACAACAGCCATGCAAGCTATGAAACTGGAAAAGGCAGCAACATTCATGCATCTTTGACTAACAGGTGGTAATTTGTGCTTGGGTGACTAGAAAGGCCATTGCTTTAACTCAAACAACACAGAATAATTCAGGGTAAAAAGCCTCATGCACTTCTAAAATATTCTTTATCTCCATTTCAATAAACTCTTCTATAACATGCATTTGATCAGAGCATCAAACAAGACCCAATTATCTAATCAGACAAAATCTGAGAACAAAACAAATAACTTCATCTTCCATTTGCATCGTCTTGCCACAACAACTTAGTACAAAGGATTTAAAAATACCATTGTCAGTTAAATATCTGATAACAGATAAGTGCATGTGGCTGTCTGTTGGCAGTAATACCCATGGTAAGAGAGAAGTTTTTTATTGTTTGTAATTGCCCTGTTTTGTAAAAAGATTTCACATGGATAAATCCAACATCAGTAAATACAAACAATAAGAAACTCATTCTACCTTACCATAAAAGGGAAGGATTGCTTGGATTTGAGTACTATCTCATCTTGGATTTAAATGAGCTTCCAATGGTATTTTTAAATGTGGTGTATATAATCCTCAACTTAAATACAAGAGAGCAACATAACTTCAAGCAGCTCAAAATTTTAATCATGCTCTATAATCTGACAAAAAATGCTATTTAACTCAAATTTTACCATGGTGTACAATAAATTTCATCACTCTTTTTTATTCAGGGTAATTCCAGAAAAAGTTATAGAGAATTTAAGTACTCAATTCTAGTCTTTAGGGTTTGTGCGACAGAGACTTAAAAAAGCATCAACTAGTTTTTTTCGTCAATTTTTTTGGTAAATGGGTCTGATACACCTATCCATGCTATCCAGCTGAGAGCATCTCAGACCTTGTATACTCATTTCTCTTAATAACCCCTCTGGATTAAAAATGCACATCTCATACCTTGTATACTCATTTCTCTTAATAACCCCTCTGGATTAAAAATGCACATCTCATACATTGTATACTCATTTCTCTTAAGAACCCCTCTGGATTAAAAATGCACATCTCAGACCTTGTATACTGATTTCTCTTAAGAAACCCTCTGGATTAAAAATGCACATCTCAGACCTTGTATACTCATTTCTCTTAAGAACCCCTCTGTATTAAAAATGCACAAACTCAGCAAAATGGAATTGTTTTCAGGGTACCAGATTTTGCTCCTGATCTCATTCTTGTTGAAATTTATGCTGTCAAATATTTTTTGAAATGGCATTTTCTCAGAAAGTAGCCTTTAATTAGATTTTTCTTGACTTTCAAATTCAATTTCTTTAAGATTTCAACAATATGCACTAAGATCAAATAAAACAGTAATATTGATTGGGATTATAATCTGAAACAGACCATTCTAAGAGTGATTTTTGTCAAGTTTGTATCTTTATGACACAATGGTTTCAGGGTAAAATTAAAAAAAAAAGTTAACAGTGCCTGAACAAACACAAAGCATTTAGATTCTAAATGGTGACAAAAGCTCATAATGAATTATGGATCAGATAAACTAAAAGTACCTTTCAAGCTAAACTAATTTTTTTCATCAGTAATAGCCCATTCTTATTTGAAATGTTTGAAATTAATTTCAAATGTTTTAATATGTACTATTTTTTTTTTGTAATGAGGTAAATTTAGTACAACATACACATGCAAGCAATTAACAACAAAATTCTTTTCATCATGGAGTTACCATACTTTTCTTTTTTCTTTCATTTACACAACTATTTATTGATCTACTGTCTTGCACAGTCTGTCATTTCAAAATTGTCTAAATCTTCCCTTTCGTCATAATTTATTTTAAACATAACATATATATATATACATCACTGATTTTTAATTTTAAAAATTTCTTTTAGGATTTTATGTTTTCAATAAAAAAAAAAAAAGCAGAATTGTTGTTGCACACAACAAGAGATTGAATTTAAAAAAATGTCTGACTTTAAGACTGATCGTAATGGCTAATATAAAAAAATAAAAATTTCAGTGCAGGAATCATAAAATACCAAGATGTAGACTGGTTTTTTAATATTATTGATTACAATGTTCTATAACAAGATTCTTCCAAGGCATTAAATACTTTTTCTAGATTCCATGAAGTTTTAAGAACCCTGATATAAGTTTGTCTTTTAATATTATTAACTGGATCCACATCATACATTTTTGTTATTTCTAGTATGTAATAGGATTTTTATTATGTGTTTGATCAATGTATAGTCAAAATCAAATCAGATAATCTGTTAATAGTGAAATCCAAGGACAATCTAAAAACTGTGCAGAAAGAACAATTTAGTGCATTTATCTTGACCACATCCTTAACAGAGGTCTCTTAAAAATTGCATTTAAATGACAATGATTATATATTCCAGTTACTTTTTTAAAACAAACTTGGGATTCATTTTAGATCTCTATCCTAATAATACAAAAAAATCCACATGATTTTCTTATTTGCTTTCATTTTTGTTGCAATCCTTTTTTTCATTTGTTAGTGTGTTCTCATTTCTTCTGGACTATACCTTGCTGAGGTTGTTGACCCCAGCCAGGACCTCCTTGTGGCTGTCCATAACCTTGGTAACCAGGGGCCTGTCCATATGGTTGCTGATGTGGTGGTCCTTGTGGAGGTGCCCCATACCCAGGTTGATATCCTGCACCATTAGGGCCATATCCTGGTGGTCCACCTTGCTGTTGGGCCTGTTGCTGTTGCTGGGTCCACTGTGTAGCAGCCTCTTGCCATGTCTCTGGTGTCGGTTGGGTACCAACTCCAGTTATCATCTGTTGAATAGCCGTAATGGCCTCTTGATGCTGTTTTCCATTCCTGGGTTCTGCCCTTTTACATTCAACCTGTCAAAATGATCAAAACATGCTATGAAACATAAACAAGATTATTCAATTATCTCTTATGCTAGTACAATGACCTAATTTATCATAGACCTTAAGTTATTATCATTCAAAACATTACCACTTAACGTTAAATACAACTTAATTAAAACTCTAAGTAAACTTACTTTACATCTCTTGAATTATTTCTATTACTCTTATGTCTTATAGATTAATACTAATGAATTATCACTATAAACTTAGTTTACTAGGTTACTGACTATATAAATTACTTATCATTACGTAAACAACTTAAAGAAAAATCATAATATAAATCCATTTCAATACATTTAAAAAGCTGAAATATACATATATATTCATCACTCAATAGCTACACAAGTTTGATTATCACCATCAAAATACTGTTAAAACAGATAAAACATGCACAGATTTCTCGCCAAAACAAAGCAGATCTCATTCTATCTCAAGATATCAATAATAAATAATTCTCCCCAAAGAACATGAATTTTCAAACATACAAACACATACATACATCTATATATATATAGAGAGAATACATGGGAATGAAGACATATCACATATATTGTATATCTGAATAGGTGCATTCAAAAAAAGGTCTAGCTTTAAATCTGTATAAAAGGAACGTTGATATTTGTCTACAGGTTAAAAAAACTGTGCAATCTAATAATAAAAAGCAATGATCAAGGTGGCAGTTTTGTCTATGAAATACCAGAAATCTAAGTACCTAATTTATCTAACATCTTACTTGTACCGAAAAAAAAAAATGTTGGTGCCAAAATACTTGTCACATTTTCATCATTAAGTGCAATATGCTGGATTAAAGAAAAATTTAATTTTAACCACTCAGCAAAATTGCATACAATGCTTTCATCTGAAGTTGAAACAAATTATCAAAATAGAAAACTTAATAGATTATCATATTAATTCGTGATAAATATATCATATACATATATTATGTTTCTAAATTTTGGTACTCAAATAACAGCCTTTGGAGTTGTTACTTGATTTACTTTGAAATGAAGGGGAAAAGACTTTAAGCGATCAGAGGACTATAAAAAAACTATAATTATTGATGTAAACTTTTGTTATTTTCTGTAGGCTCTTGCGCCAACATTTGTATGTCTTTTTATCAGCAATTTGTACATTTTCCCTTTGATCTTACTGCTTAATATGTTTTAAGATCATGGACAGGACCTGATACTCTAAAATATTAGGCACTATTTGATGTCACGTATCAGTGCAGAAACATCAGAAGTGCATGTCCATCTGCATCAATTTATTCAATGAAATGTGCATACTTCATTTATGTAACCGAACATCAATCACAACATTTTGTAGGTTTTAAAATAGTTTTACTAAAATTTAATCAACCAAAAAAACATTTGTGAAGACAAATTGCTGATAAAAAGAATAATGACATTTCATGTTTTGATACTGATCTCATCAACTTGCCCTGGCAGGCTCACTTGATATTCTTGCTGATAAAGTCAGTTTCAAAAACATAAAATGCCACTATTCTATATGTAGTGGAGAAAAAAATCTTCCAAACTAGTTTTTTTCTCATCAACATCTAATAATCTACTCCAGTTTAAAAAAATGATTCCAAAGAAATAGAGAACAGAAACGAAAAATTCAGCAATTTTTCCATTTGTAAAGGGACATAACTCTAGAACGGTTAAAGTGATGCCACCAAAATTCAAACTTGATCTGTTTTGTGGTAATAATCATTTTGTATAAGTTTCATAATATTTGGTTGAGGCAAACTAAAGTTAGAGAATGGAAACCAACTTTTGGACATACGGACGGACAAGGGTAAAACTTAATGCCCCCTCCGCTACGGCGGGGGCATAAAAATAAAATCCAACAAAGGTGCACTTAATAAAATTGTCTTACAACATTTGAATTAGCTTTAAAAAAATTTAACAAAAATCGGTAGAATAAAACCAGTTATGTGTAACAAGTAAAGAGTTCCCTATGTACCTGTATGCCTATATTTATTCTTTACACTGTACTCAATTTTATTGCAAATTTTCTAATCTAATCTGTTGCTATTTTATGGTATTTGTGCCCTAAAAAATGGCCTTAATAATTTCAGTGTATTTACATTGTATTATGTGCTTAAACATATTTATTTGTAGTGTTTAGGAATACATCTATACTTGACACAATCTAACCCTATCTCAACTATATCTATTTACAACCTATATAAGACAAATAAAATGACATACTCTACTTTAAACTTACAACTACCTTATTACCAATGAGATCTGCTTTGTCTTGTTAAAATATGGTGAATTTTACCACATCTGTATCCATTTCTCTCAAAGTGCAAAGGGCATAATCAAAATCACATACCATAAAAATAACTATTTTTTTCTGCCTTTTTTACCATTTTGTACGAATATTTTGAATGTTATACTTAAATCTTCATACATCTACCCTCCATCTTTATTTTTCTTATTCTCTCTGCAGACAGTGACGTATGGTATAAGGATGTCCAAAACAATTTATCTTTTTGCTATTTAAGGCAAAAATCACTAACAGCAGAATAGAAAGTGTGGCTAACTTGACACAAATTTACAGAAATGGATACAGATCGTAAATATATATTCACTGTTATCAATCTGGGGGGTGAAAATATCTACGACAGAAGGCTGCAGAGAAATAAAGCTATGCAGGACGGACTTTACTTTTAAATAATGTTAACAAACTGTGACTTTGTTATTCTTCATGAGCAAGTTAAACAGTTTAACATTTACCAGTAACTTGTTTATTTTAAAAGATGTTTTCCTCTTATGTCCCCCTCCTAATGGAGGATTCAATAGCTTTGCAATTGGATACGAGTTGCAAGTAAAATTTGTTAAAGACCTAGATATCAATCATGTCTCAATTTGCTAACATGTTTACAATAAGTCCTTTTCATTTCTGTTTGAAATCATCACCACCAAACAATGGTTGATTTAAACAGCATGTGTACCCATTCATTACATTTTAACGGATATATCAGACAGTCTTCTTGCTTAAAAATTTATTTTAATTCATTTACCATCAAGGACAAAACTTGTGCAAGCTGAACTTATTTGGGACTCCTACTTGTAAATCTCTCGTTAAAAGATAAATTATTTCCTAGAAGTTCAGTTTGGACAGGTTTTTTTTAAAATTTTCAACAAGAAAATGACAAATTAAAAAGTAATCACATGCCAGGATAAAGACTGTCTAATGATCCTTTCATAATTCAATATTTTGCCTTACAGATCTGACTTCAAAGTAGTAAAGCCCATGAAAGCAAATCTACAAAATACTTACCTTGATAAAAGTAGAAATTTGTTATGTTACATTGATGATTTAATTAATCTATCTCAAAAGTACATACACAACTTTAGCATATATATAATAGAAAATTTAAAAAAAAAATCCTTTTAAGTACTTTAATCTATATATACATCTAGATTATATCCACATGTTTTCTTATTCTCTCCAAAGAGGAAGACACCTTCTGATAAAAAAAAAATTAATATATGATGCTCTGATGGGCAAGTTTTACTATTTTTAGCTGTAGCATTAGGGCTCATGTTCATAATAGTTATAATTATATTTGTAATCATAAAAATTGTTAATATAGAATCACAAAATACTACATTATATCTTAGCTAACTATGAAGGGTCCTATTTTTTTGTAATTTTTTTCTTTTTTAATATGGAATTATGCTTCTTAAACACATGTGTTCGGTGTTCCCGAATAGTATAATGTTACATGAAATTAATCACGTCCCTGTCTTTACATCATCTACTTATACTTGGACTGTGGACAGATAAACATTGTGTATAACAACTCCAAGACAAGACACTTATTATAAATGACTCCATTTTGAATGTTAGTTATATCTAATACTTGAACTATTCAAGTGTGTACTGTGTGCATAAAAATTAAGTTTGATTGACTGTTAGGTCATGTAGGTGAACCATTAATTCTTTATCATCTATAAAAGAAATATGTTTTATGATTTTGAAAGTGACTTATAGACCCAATGGGTCGGGTGTATTATATTTGTTTTTGTAACATACTTGTATTTTGTTAAATTGTCTTACACATGTCACTAATAAAAATTTTCTTACTTACTTACTATTATAAATGAAAAACAAACAAGCGTTATTAAGTTTTAATTCTGCCTTTTGATATCTGTGCCATGATTTTAATGGCAAGTAATAACTATTTAACTCTTTCAATAGAAAGTTAACAAAGGAAATATTGGTTTTATGCTCCAATTAGCAACCAAACAAACTTAACTTCATTGCCCTTTGTACACACCAAAGTATATATGCAGGTAAATGAAGCAGACAGATGTATAATATACATGTAGCATGTTTAATGCATATAAAATAAATTGCTGGCATGTCAGATTTTGTAATACATTTTTTTACGAATCACCAAATAAAAAATATCTATCTATAGCAACACCACACCACACTTGTAATAATCATTAATTAAGATCCAGTGTATCTACATAGATGTTCTAATACTTTTAAGCATATGTATTAAAGATATAAACACTCTTTTATAGTAAATCTCCTGTGAAAGCAAAAAATTAACTTGTAAATGTCAGATCTGTAGGCAAAATATTGTCAAATTGTTATAAATAAATTACATGATCTCAACTGGCTTTTTTCCAAGTATTTTGAATACCAGTAACTGGTGGTCATCTAGTACATTGTTTTTAATTCAAAACATTATTTCCAAAGACATCAGTTTGTGTAAATTAAAAATTAAGTTTGGTGTTGAACAATTTCAATATAAAACTTTCTAAAGAGATGAGCCATTTCTGAGTGCCCAACACAATACTCTATAAACAATTTTACTTAACTCACTTTGAAAAAAACAAGATGAGATCTGCAATTTCATAATTAATTTAAAATAAAATTTAACCTTCTTATTACTGATAACCACATAGTGCTCACTGCACACGGCGTCTACGCTATCTTCTGACTCAAATGTCAAAAATCCAAATCCTAATGTATATATAAGTACATAAATAATAATAACATTTTTGTCTATTTCAATCTGAAATACAAACTAGGTATATTATAAAATTTACAGAAATTACTTCTATACATGTATAATTTTTAACACTACATGTTATATCTTTCATTAATAACTAAAATTACATATTTAATTTCAAGAAAACAAAACTTATACATGTACATGTAAATAACATCACATGATCTTTCATTAAATACTGGTTCAGGTTTTCCATAAATAGTAATTACTAAAGCTATTTATCTTAAATATATGTGGTGGTATATAACAATTATCTTACTTAAGTACAAAAAATCATACTCTTTGTCATGGTATATTTCATATATAAAATAAGAAAAATGCAGACAGCTTGTATTGAAGTATTTCTACCAGCAAAACGTAACTACCTCTTTACTATATGCAGAGCAGGCATATGTGCATATTAATATGCTAATCTCCCATTGTCTTCAATCATTTCATTTATAAACATGATAGAAGTGAAATTTGCCGCCCATACATTTTCCCTGGAATAGCCCCTATGTTACTTTAAAGAAATGTGGATGCAGTTGTAGGCCCTGGACATATCAGATGTAATTGCTTTAGTTTTTACAAACTTTTAATTTTTATTCCATTTTTTTTTTCACAAATTTAAGCATGTGTAAATAATTTTGATGGTTGGCCAGACTTATCTTATTTCAAAAGATGGTAATTTTAGAACATATTCAAAAATATTGGGTGTTTAAGGTAGATTGGAAATCAAGATTTTCAAAATAATTTATCAAAATGTAATATGTATTGTGCTTTTTTTTTCAAAAGTATAATTAAATGTATGGAACACAGACTATTTTTCTAAGCTACATGTGTTCAAAATTGTCAGATTTTGCATAGACAATAAATGGAAAAACCAATTTTGTGTGATAGAAAGAAAACAAAATGATAGAATTTTAAGGTAATAGTTGAGAAGATATCCCTAACAATGTGCTTCTAGAAAATAAAAATAAAATTTTGGGTCACAGGAACAAACAAAACAAAATAGGTAAATTTATTATATATTCCATTATTAATATAATATTATCTGAGTTATCTCCCCTTGTACGGCTAAGATGAAAACAAATTGAATCAAACAAAAAATATTCTGTATTTGCAAAAAAAAATCATAGTAAAAGTTCTGTTCAAAATTTAATGGGATGGGGATGGAGGGCACTCAATTACTGAAATATGGGTAATCATTTTATTCCTTACATTTTTTAATAAGTAAAATGATTTATTTTTATTTTATGGGTGGTCAAAGTCCTAAAAAAAAGTGCCTTACAAGCCCATCATGCATTTAATTCTGGAACAGCCCTGAGATATGTTGTATTTATTCTTCATAATTGTTAAAAAAAAATTCCTTTAAACTTTTTTGACACAATATAGTTGCATGTTTCGGTATTGGACGATAAGGTCTTCAAATAAACTCATATGAATGTGACAAACAAAGTCAGTAAACTTTTGTAACAATTTTCATTGACCCTTCATGTCAAGTGTCAAACCATAATAACTGATTATTTTTCAATTGTAAAAAGTAGCAAATTCAATATTTAATTTTTTTTTTACTTTAGATGGTTTTTGCCCAACCAAAGGTTAACTTTTCTAAAGATTATATCTACTTATCACCAAATAGCCCTTCAAAAAGTAAATATATAAGGAATATTCTTTTTTGTAGTTTTGTGCTGTAGGGTTGCTGTCTTTTTTGATGTATAACCTACATATCCTTGTATTTCTATCTCTCAAATTTAATGGAAGACCATCTATTGGTTTGTTCCCCTGAAAGATTTTTTACACTCAGTTATCTACAACTATTTCATGTTGTCTCTGAATGCCAATTGACAAATATATTATAGTTTGTAATGTGATGACTATCATTTGAGTAAAGTATCGAGTTAAAGTAAATGGGTGATGTCACAGACTTTATAAGACTTTTCTTGCAAATAAGTTGCTAAACCAATCTGACTGAAATATTGATCAGGTGTCATCCCTTTGCTTACAAAGATTTGAAAACATTCCATCTGTCTTTCAGTTTTATAGACCTTTCAGGATCCTCTGGTTTTATCGCAATGATACACACCTTCAAAAAATGAAGGTTGTAATATCATTGGCTGATCTTATAATAATCAGAACAAAAAGAAGAACGGAATGTTGTTAGATCCTTGTAAACAAAGCGTGTACACAGGATCTGCGACTCATTTCACAAAAAAATCTTATGAAAAAAAATACTCATAAGTTATGACCATTTCAGTACAATGATGAGCAATTTTTATCGCAAGTTTTTTCGTGAAAAGAGCCCCTATATTTTCATCAGATGGCACGTTAAACTGGAACTAAACATAAAACATTGCATTTATATTTCATTTCATTAACTGTGGATTTGAATTGATGAATGAGGATTCAAATATAATTTTGAGAAATTTTTTTTTTCACCAATTATACATGCATTCTAAGTTTCCATTCAAGCATATCTAATAACTGATAATAAAAGTTAAATGATTTTTTTTTAATTTCAACATTTCAATTTTGTAAGCAAAATCTTACAAAATTGAGTGTTGTCATGTTCTTTGACAGTAAGTGATAACATATAACCAACAGTAAACTCATGTATTCTTAATAAACAAGGAATAAGTACTAAGGGCTGTTTCAGGATTAAATGCATCAAGGGTATGGGAGGCACTTTTTAAGACCCCAACCACCCATAAAATAAAAATTTTGATTTTACTTATAATTCTTACAAAATTCTGATGAAAATGCAACCACCCATATTAATTAATTTAAGTGCCTCCCATCTCCTACCTGATGAATTTTGGAACAGCCTTAAGGTCATTATTCTGTATAAGATCAAAATACACCAACCATGTACAAGAACAAAAACCTTTAATATCAATGGTTCTCACTAGTCAAACTACTCAAATATGTATAGTCCTAAATTTATTGTTATTTATCTTGATACCCTATATATATCTACTTTTTTTTTAAATCTTCAACCTTTCCAGTACTATGTGTATGAACACATCTTCTGTAAAAAGTAACCTAATAATAATTCCTTATTTACAATTATTAATTTTATTGTCAGTATCTTATTTTCTTCTTTAACCCTGCTGAATTAAAGTACTAATATTGAATATAATTTTTTTTTACTTTACATAAGATCTACAACGATAAAAATATTTCTTCATTAAAAATCAGCCATTCCAGAAAGATGAACTTAACCACACAATAATTACTAAATAAGCAAAACCTTAAGGTGAATTATTATAGTTATTTTTCATAAGTATGATATTTTCTGTATTCAGATTCCAGAGTAGTGTTTCCTTAGTTACATAGATTCTCGGGCCAAATACTGCGTCAAAAAAATGCTGTCAGTCGATTTTTATTTTGGACCAAAATTACAAGGTAAACCCAAAAGTGGAAACCAGCAGTTTTGATTTACTACTTTAAAAGTACTTATAATTGTGCAATGCAATTTTTGCAGCAAGAGGAATACTAAATAGACCATAAGGTGTGTTTTTTTCTGTCAGTACACAGACTTGGCAAAATACAAATTTCTGGAAATTATGCACTTTGTTGTGTATTCAAATTGATTTCAATTAAAAAAAAATCGATTAAAAACAGTTTTCATAATGTAGTTCATCAGATGGAGCAATTAAAAGATTAAGAATAGGACAAAGGATAGCATACTGTAATGTGAAGTTAAATATCGTCTTGTTTGGTCAAATAAAATTTATTTAGCTTTGCTGATACTCTGCTTTTCAAAAGGATTTTTTTAGTTTTGCTGTATTTCATTTCAAGCTTTTGCTATGGCAAATTAATGGTTCAGACAGAGAAAGAACACATACAAATTTTATGACATGATCTAACATCCACTGTCTGAACTGTTGTATTGCCAGAGCAAAAGCTATACAAAGCAAGCTGATTTCTCTTTCCTTTACATGACCTACCTTTTGACTTTTTGGTTTCTTGATCTACCACAACATTGACATCAAGCACCTGTGAACAGAAGTCAAATTTTTCGATTAGAAAAAGTTAACAGCAAACCATATGCATTGACTGACAATGTTGGTTAATGTATAGCCGACTATACAGTATGGGTTTTTCTCATTGTTGAAGGCGGTAAGTTTGCCTATAATTGATTACAGCCACTTCATTTGAACTTTTGTGGTTAGTTGTATCATTGGCAATCGTACCACATCTCCTTATTTTTATAATAAACAATGCAGTCATAGCATGATGACATTTTTTTTCAACTGGAGTACTCTCCTTTTTAAAATAAACAATGCAGTTATAGCATGGTGACATTTTATTTTACTGTAGTACTTCCATTCTTTTTTAAATTGGTGTGCCATAGATATGTACATTTTCATCTTGTGTAAACACAGCATACAAATAGTTTGTATTCTTATTTTGCTGATGAACAAGTATGAAAGACATTTAAAAGTTTTCCATGCCCAATATCATGCAGACTCATTTGGACTTCCTTTTCTATGACCCTGCTTTTCAATGCAGATACAAGTATCATATCACCCAGGCTTCCTCTTTTCCTATAGAATTTTTTTAAAAACAAACAAGTTTCTGTCAAAGTTGAATACAACATGTACTAGCTAAATAAAATGCTCCGCTGGGCGCAGCTTGATACGAACGCAGAGGTCGAACCCTGAACAGTTGGGGCAAGTATGGACACAACATTCAAGCTTGATACAGCACTGAATTTGGATTGTGATTAAATATTTGACACAGCATAGGTTTCTGACACAGAATGAATATAGTTTAAGAACTTAAAAATCTTTAATTTACCTATTCAAACCATATCATTATTATCTGCTTTTATATATAAATCAGAAATAACCAATTTAAAGTGGAAAATTTTAAAGAAAAAAAAGGGGAAAAAAAATCCCCCCCCCCCCCCCCCCAAGTTTTTTGAACCCCCTTATGATTCATCACCCCCAAACTCAATCCCAGCCTTCCCTTTGTGGTATAGTACCTTGCAGTACAATTCAGAGAGATCCATACACTTGAACACAAGTTATTGTCTGGAAACTAGAAAAATGCTTGGTTTTTTTTCCCTTTTTTGGCCCCAAATTCCTAAACGTTTAAGGCAATTACCCCCAAACTCAAACCCAGCTTTCCCTTTGTGATATGGAACCTTGTAGTACAATTTCATAAAGATCCATACACTTACACACAAGTTATTGTCCCGAAACTAGAAAAATGCTTGTTTTTTTGCCCCTTTTTTGCCCCTAATTCCTAAAATTTTGAGGCAATTACCCCCAAAATCAATCCCAGCCTTCCCTTTTGGTATGGTACCTTGCAGTATAATTTCAGAGAGATCCATACACTTGAACACAAGTTATTGTCTGGAAACTAGATAAATGCTTATTTTTGGCCCCTTATTCCTAAACATTTTGGGCAATTACACCCAAACTAAATTCCAGCTTCCCCTTTGTGATATGGAACCTTGTAGTACAATTTCATAAAGATCCATACACTTACAAGTTATTGTCATGAAACTAGAAAAATGCTTGTTTTTTGCCCCTTTTTTGGTCCCTAATTCCTAAAATTTGGAGGCAATTACCCCCAAAATCAATCCCAGCATTCCCTTTGTGATATGGAACCTTATGGTACAATTTCAGAGAGATCCATACACTAACACACAAGTTATGTCTCGAAGTTACAAAAATGCTTATTTTTGGCCCCTAATTCCTTAACTGTTGGTACCATAACCCCCAAAATCAATCCCAACTTTCCTTTTGTGGTATTAAACCTTATGGTTAAATTTCATAGAGATCCATTTACTTAAACTAAAGTTAGAGTGCGAAAACCAATGTGTCTTCGGACGACGACGACGATGCCAACGTCATACCAATATACGACCGCAAAATTTTTTTGCGGTCTAATAAAAAATAGTGTATAATTACAGTTTTGGACTTTGGAACAGACAATCAACTTTTAAAAAATTTAGTCATAAAGTTGGCTACAAACAGGACTCCTTTAATTTTTTGTGTGCATTTTATCCTTCTAACTTTATATTCAGTTTGAGAGTGAGTCAGCACAATAAAGTCAATAAACACATTAATAAATTCCTCCAAAATAATCTTTATTACCATCATGTTTGTTAAGTCTTACCTTGCCATATTTACTGAAGTAGTTAGTCAGGTATTCAGCATCCACATTTGGCAGACCTCCCATGAATATCTTCGGATGGTTGTCTAAGTTTTTGTTAGTTCTTGGTGCCTGTTGAAAAGACTGAAAATCGTTTCACATAGGGAAACTATTAAGGTTATTAAGGTGTTCATTTTATATTATAAACGGTAAAACCTGACGAAACTGTTTACCATGCAATCTTAAATAACGTTAAAATTTGTTGTGAAGGATCAAAATTACCTATATCATGAATATTTCGTGGGTGTTTAATTTTTGACAATGTTCGCAGTAGACATTTTATCAACAAATGTATCATTAAGCAATTGTTTCACTGTCCATTTAAATGCTTTGTACAAGGCTGTGATTTGTGAAAAAATAACAGGACAAAGATTCAGGCTGAACAATAACAAAATATACTTGTTTTTTGACCAATCACAGTGTTTTAGTATATATGCTTTTATAAGTATTACCCAGAATGCATGAGATTCTGAAACAGGGAATAACATAGACCAGAATTTTTTCGTATAAACTGGTTTCAATAACATATAGAAATATTTCACCAAATGTTACAAAACTCATTTTGGCTATTCCAGAAATAATTCTTTTGACAGTTTGTTTTGTTTTTGGAATAGTTCTTATAAACAAAAATTATTTCATTAAAACAACATTATTTTTTCCTTCAAACCCTGTTTTTTTTTATTCAAGTGAATTTTGATGTCAGTTTTAAAGGCAATGGCAAAGATGGTTTCTTTGTCTTGTTTCTATCGACAGACATTACACAGTTCCACTAAATATTTTGTGTGTTCAACTTTCATTTGGAGCTTGTTGCTCACCTTTGTCTAGACAATCTTAACTTGTTGCTTGTCTCTGTCTAGAAAATCTTAAGTTGTTTTTTTCTTATAAAAACGGTAAAATTTAATGTTTCTGTTCAATAAATTTTAAAATAAGTCACATCAATTTCTGTTGACTTCTATCTATTCACTACTTGACATCCTACCTTTTGAGCTCCTTTTGGATTGCAAGCCTTGGCATCTACCTGAAGGAAAATAAAAAAATACTTTTAACCTTAGTTTAAACAAAAATAGGAATATATATATATATGTGAAAGTAATAAAAATCTTTGCTATGTCACAGCTTTGTAAATAGAAGCAATCAACCTTATAGCAGGATACTACTTTGTATATTTTGGATATAAGAGGTATCCAACTTTTAACTAAGCCTTACTCTTGCAGAGACAAATTCCAACCTATAATTGTTATGGCGAACAGACTTAAAGTGAGCCTCTTGTGTCTTTGGAACCAAAAAGACTGTCTCAAATTTCCTGCTATATCCCAGATAAGGACTGCCATCATGGTCATTAACATGATAAAACAAAATCAAATAAAGTCTTAAAATCTATGTACTACAATCTTTTATATCAATCCTATTCTTTGATTTGTGGCTATGATTCTAGTGGAATTGTCACCTTAATTTAACTTTTAAAATTTGTGGGAAAACAATCAACAATGTACTGAAGCAAAATATGTGAACCATAATACCACAGCAGGTCATATAGAAAGGTATCCAGAATACATCAACAGGGTTCCCACTAAGGATTTTTCAAGGTGAGTCCAATTGTGAGAATTCAAATTTTATTGCTATGTAATTTATTACTTTAGTCCACATGACAAAATAGAGCAAGGAAATGAAATCAAATTTTGATAATTCTTAAACTTTTGTCATAAAATGACGATATTTGCGCTCAGTGTATACAACATTTTACAAACTTAATGAATCTTTGGACTCACTCATAAACTAGCTTTAGTCAGAACCCTGTATCTGAATGTATTTAAAAGGATCCATTCACCTTATTTGATTCAACACCCACCTGTCTTCCATCAATGGAATGTTGAGTTGAAAGGACGGTGTCCACACAGTTTGGATCTTTAAATGTGACGAAACCAAATCCTCTTGATTTACCAGTCTGGGGATTTTTCATAACAACACAATCACATACTTCTCCAAACTGACTGAAGTAGTTCAATAAACTATCTAAAAATAGACAAAACATATTTTTCCTAGTATCTTTGTCAAAAGAATGGTAAATAACATTAAACATAAAATCAAGTTTGAGCCCTGCATATTAGAAGAGTTTACCTGTACATCTTTGAAGTATGTGTATTTTGAAACTTTATTCTATAGAAATAATGTCACTTAGAATAAAAACAATGTAAAAATGTTCATCACTGACTCCTTTTCATCACTGATAGATATAAGAAGATGTGGTATGAGTGCCAATGAGACAACTCTCCATCCAAGTCAAAATTTATAAAAGTAAACCATTATAGGTCACAGTACGATCTTCAACACGGAGCCTTGGCTCACACCGAACAGTAAGCTATAAAGGGCCCCAAAAAATTACTAGTGTAAAACCATTCAAACGGGATAGTTTGTTTTTAATAATTCCATTCGCACAATGTTTCTTTGAAAGAATTTGTAAGCATTTTTTTTTATAATTATCATGGAAAAGACAATGAACTTACCTTGATCTGTATCCCAACTCAATCCTCCAATAAACAATTTTCTGCAAGGTAAAAAAAAATTAATTAAAACGTAATCATCAGATAAAAAAAAAAATTACTGGTATATATCATTCTTACATAAAATATACAGGTTAGAAGGAGACTGTAAGGTTCATCAGGCCTCTTTTCATAATATACTTTTGATTGGCATTTCTAGACCTATTTATTATCTGAAATGGGTTTTTTAATGCAGGATCACTTATTCAATATATATATCCCTTAAGGATTATCATAGTACACTTTGATGATTAGTCCTGGCCTGTAAAGACTTGATATAACATATAAGTTAATATAAGATGACAGGTTTGCTTGAAGTCTGAATGAGGTGTCAGGTAAGTGATATGTCTTCTTGCAAACAGCTACCGTCAACCCCTGCCAACTTTTGAAAATCCACATGGTGGGTTCAAGTGTATGACTGATTTTGAGGATTACAATTTGCGGCATTTTTGCATGCACTGTTTTTTACTATAAAATACTGTCATATATCTTCTTATTTCTTCTGGTATACTGATAATTTTTGCTGATGATGAGGTAATCAGATAAAAATGCTTTTTTTTTCTATTTATTTGCATGATTCATGTACCCATTTTATTGTGTAGAAAAGATAGTACATGTAGCTAGAAAAGCAGCAAAATCTTCTTGTGTAGGACTGTAGACTTTTTTTCATTAACAGATGTGGACAAAGGAGGACATTCATCAGATTACTTATTACTCTGATTATCTTATAAATAGAATACTTTAATTTAAATAATTTGATAATTCAATAACAATAATGACAACAGTGTAAGAATCTACCTAATGGCCAGATAAGTTATTATTATCCCATTAAGTTTATGGCAGTACTGTAACTCAAATGGTATTAAAGTGAGCACACTTCATTGGCTAGTATTAAACTTTATTTTTATTTTAAAAGTCGGATCTAACTCAAAGCAATGACAATGTCTTATGAGCAGTTCTTTTGTATTATCTGAACATTCTCGCTGGAATGTCTAAGAGTTGCTCAGCATCTGGTCGTACAAGAAGTTACTGTCACTGAAAGACTTGGTAGTGTTCTGAGCTATGAAAGACTTCTGATAAAGTTGATCAGTCCTTGCCATCTTGCATGCAGTTGCATTCAGGCCACTGCAGTCAACTTTGCATTCTTTATTTCAGACTTTGCATATGGTACATGTATGTGCATGATGTGATATCCCTACCTTTAAATATGTCAACCAGTATCTGCATTAAACCAGGCTTTACGTCTTAGGTGGCATAAAAACCTTCTTGCAAGTGATAATTTGTCCATCATGATCAGGATTTTTATATTTCTAACATACAGACTTATGCACGAATCCAGGTCTGTTTGCCCAAAATCACGTTCGCTCCCATTCAATTTTTTAATCATGTTTTAGTTAGTGTGTTGCTATAAATAAGTTGTTTTATTGTTTCAAAATAAAGTGACATTCTAACAAAACATAAACAGGTTTCCTTTAGTGTTTTATTAGTTATTTTGACAACTGAATAATAAATAAATAATTGTCATGATGATCATGGCAAAGTTCCTTGATCTAAGGCTTGTAAAACAAAGGCAGAAGATACCAAACGGCTATCAAACTCATCACAATGATTTTGCCACAAACAACGAATAACACATAAACCGGGCCACAAATCACGTTTTTAGGTGTTTATGGTGTTGCATGTCAGCTACAAGTACCTACAGAGCATTTATTCCAATGAGTAAAGAAGATTGAAGGTACCAACATATATAATATTTCTATATATATGCTTATTTGGTGTTGTATTACAGCTATCATTTACGATATAGAGCATTTGATAAATATACATCTAAAAAATATCAAATATTTAAGAAATAATTCATGGGGCTTGAATATATTGTGATTTTACCACGGGTTGGCACTTTATGCTAAATATTTTACCCTGAGCGAAAGCGAGGGGTAAAATATCGGCATAAAGAGACAACCCGTGGTAAAATCGCAATATTTTCAAGCCCCCATGAATTATTTCGATTCTAATAGGACAAAGTGCTCTAGGTGAAGGCAATTATTTGCCGTTCCCATAAACAAACGCACTATTAGATTGACGTAAAAGCACGGAGCAAACTGAATTAGTGACATGCTTAAACTATTTACAATAAGGTATTTAGATAGTTTTGGATGAATTTAAATCATAATTTTACTTATATGTCTTATATGTGTGACAGAGTATATTTTTACATATTTCATTTATTAGTATTTTACATTTTATTACATGCCAGATATTATACTTTATTCATTCACTCTGATCATTTGATCTTTTGATTTATAGTTTATTATCTCTTTACACTATAAATTGTATGAAAGTTCTAGTCAGTCATACTTCATTGAGCAAAATTTTAATTGTATCTACCCGTCCAACTCATTAGTAAATTAATTGTCACACCTTGTTTATCTTTATGGTCAGTTCTTATTGGTCATTCTGGACACACCTCAGATTTTGGAAAAGAAGTAATGGTGGTTAATTCTTGAAAATTGGAGACATACATATTTAATATTTACTTCTTATTTAAACCATATATAGTGATGAAACTTATATAGAGACATTCTATTTAGTGCTCGTTAGTACTCACTGAAGTTTCCATACTTTGGAATCACTGTAGTTATTGGAAATTACATTCTTTATATCTGGTAAGTAGATTTTATGTTCTTTGTGGTGTATGAAAGGCGTATGCAGTGCATGCTATACAATTCTGCCCGTTTATAGGTAAGTATGCCCATAGACCTTAGATATGATAGGAGTAAGATAGTTTATGTATTAATCTGAGAATATATGATTTGAATCTGTAGTTTGGATGTAGAAAGGGAGATTTACGAATGATTTTGAAAGTGACCTTGACCTTTCAGTTATGGATCTATGACGTCACATTGACAATTGCGTTAATATTGCCATATATGGTAATTTTGTGTAATAGCTTGATTTTATTATATCAGTCTTTAATATGTTGTATTTTGTATAAGGGATCATTATTTTCCTAGATCCTAGTATTTACTATTGTGTATTATTTTCAGGACACATAGATTATGATGTTCTTGTAACATACTGGTTGTACTGTAGATGTTAGATATATAACCTGGTTCCACAGATTGGTAAGGGTCATATTATATTGTACCTATATGTCAGTTAACTTGAGTTCGATAATAGATATTAAACATTACAGTAGTGCATACGAACTTAATAGCTAGAATACTATAGTGAACAGTTAATAACCTTCGTATGGTAAAGGTTTTATGAATGACACTCGTTTATGAAGTACGATACATTCGACTTGTTTATAATACGCTTGGTTGATTATAATGATATGCTATTTGATACGACTTATCAGATACATGTATTTGTATTTAGAAATATAATTGCAAGTTTGTTGCATATTATGAATGTCACTGCATTCTTGATACTCAGTATAGTTTATTGTATATGGAATAGAATATTTCATACGATCTTGTAACATTGTTAATTACACCAGTATACTATTTGTATGATTCTAGTATAAGAATTTAATAAGACTGTGATATTGATAAATGTGATAATTATATGCTATTGTTATTGCAGGGTTATTTTCCCTATGTTTACTTGTATAATAAAGTGATGTCAAAGAACCCTAGACTTGTCGTTTATGGAACCCCCGTAAAACAAGACTATTATAATGGCGCCCAACGTGGTTTTTCTGGTAGATCAGACGTTTTTGGTGAATAATGAAGAGAATGAAGAATTATTCGTATTTTGGCAATACACGATACCCGTAGATGTCGCTACACCTCAGTGATTACCGATTGACAATAGATGTTACTTTTAAACTGAGTTGTATTTAATGTACCGGTGTGTGTTTTGACTTTATAATTAAATATCATTTAGTAAAACTTTTGATACATACTAATTAGTTGATTGACATTGAATATATTCTTTATTTGTATTTGAACTGTGTATATATAAACATTGATTGTGTCACTTGATTTTTTTTTTAAAAATAACTTTCTTTGTTCTTTTTCCGTAAATTATGAAAAGTTATCTCATACATATTAGCTGTATTTGGAATTAAATTTTTGTTGTAAAATTTTGTTGAAATAACTGTAAATTTTCATTCAGAATTTGATTATGTAATTAGCTTTCGAACACATTTACAGTTAGTTAACTTACATTAAAATTTGAAAAAAGTGTGACACAAAGGTAGAAAAGTAAACAGTTGCTACTGTTTGTAATTGATATATATTATATTTGACTTTGTAAGAAAATACATTGTGTTGATATTTGTACATTGAAATAATTTGCATATTATTGTGTACATAATAAATAGATTCATAACTGCCCAATCCCCACTCCTGTAAGTTAGGATTGTTGCAAAGACCAGAGACACGACAAATACTCTTTTACTCGTAAAGTTCCACAGAACTTTGCTGTCGCAGATATTTACCTATAAAATTTGAAGGTAAGTGAAAAATATAAGTACAGAAGTAACTGCCTGGAGTAACTTGTACATTTGAAGTAGTAGGTATAAAGCACTAAGGAACTAGAAGTATACATATTTATAGTTGAGTAAGTATACGTGTTGTTTGATTGATAGGTTCTGGCTATTTGGGGTACTTGATAGGTGTCTACATTGTGTTGTATAGGTAGATCTGTTGCTTCGGTTCTTGTTGTTGACTGACTGATTCTTTAATACATTTTAAGTTTAAGGACTTTCAGTGATTTCATTGATGATACAGTGATATTATTTACAGCAGCAGCAGCAGTACCAGTTACTACTTTACATTATATTGTATAATATATATTTGCTTATATAGTTATATATATATTTTTTGATTATATGTAGCAGTTAGTCGTACTCAGTTAGGAATAAATTACACACATTTTGGTGAGTATTAGGTGTGTGTGATTTTCAGAGGCATAGCTGGGTAGGAACTTTAAGAAAGGTACGTGCGTGTATATTGATACTACTTATATTTGTTTTCCTTATACATATTCATTGGTTTTCAGTTGTGAGGTATTGTTAGCCACTGTGTACATTATACTTTTATATAGTATTTCTGAGATCCATTTTGTATTTTTTTTGTATACATATAGTAATCAGAGTTTTGATTTCAGTATATTGATTTACCATTGCGGAGTTGCATTTGTCATCTAATCTGTTTATTTTCAGAGGAGTTAGTCATTTCAGTCCATTACTATATTACTCTATATTTATTTAGGCACTGTTGTCGAGTTTGTTGATACTTAATCATAATTTTGATTTCAGACCTTTGTAGTAGTTAAGAGTTACTAATCTTATTCTTTTGACAGGATATTCATTTAGATTTCCAGATTATGGTATATCATATTTGGATTTGCATTGATTCTATATTTATTGTTTTCTGTAGATTAGACAGTAGACTGCAGATATTAATCTTATTTTTTTTTTCTTCTTAGATTTCAGGTATTTAACTTATTTTTTTCCTATTTAATTTCAGAAACTTTATTTCTGTTATAGGTATTTAAAACGTTTTGTTTATTTTATTTATTCCAGATGATTTCTTTGTATTTTAGGATAAATTAACATTATTCATATATTTGTTTTTCTTTCAGATACTTTGTTCCTATTGTAGGTACTTAACATACTTATTTTGTTTTAGCACTAATTTTTGGTATATATTTGTATTCATTTCAGACATATATTTTTTCTTCTTTTAGGAACTTAATATTTTTTGTTTTTGTTTCAGAAGATTTTGTTTATTTCAGATTTCATCTCAGCATTTTATTTCTATAGTTTAGGTATTATCATTTTGTACAGCCATGTCGGATTATCTATCCAAGGATGAGATAAGCAACATAGTTTTGGCCTTCAAGGAGATGGACCTCAAACCATGCGCTCAGACACCAGATGATTTCAAAACCTGGATGGAAGACTATAAAGACACAGATGATGATTTATGGAATGTCTACTTACCACGGATATCAGCATTTTCCGGAGATGCAAAGACTAGTACACCATATGACCTATGGAGATATGAGGTACAGTGTCTCATCAAGACAGGACATACACATGAAACTATCACGATGGCCATTAGACGTTCTTTGCGTGGAGATGCTAGCAAGGTTCCCATGCGACTTGGTCCGGAAGCAACCATTGACGACATCATTGATAAGATGGACAGCATATACGGATCTGTTTATCCACCTGAAGCTTTACTTGGCCAATTCTACACGGCCAGACAGCAAGATGACGAAGACGTTGCAACATGGGCTTGTCGATTAGAGGAGATACTAAGCAAAGCCAAGAACAGAAAGAATGTGACCGAGGAAAACATCAACGACATGCTTACATCCAAGTTCTTTGATGGATTGAGACCGGAGATGAAGAATATTGTCCGCTACAAGAAAGATACCATCACAGATTTTCATTCCTTACTGAAAGCTACAAGAGAAATAGAGAATCAACATAACATCAAGCCATCTTTGAAAAAGAAACCATCTATGCATGCTACTAGTAAATCAACGACAACAACTGTAGAAAACAGGCAAATTCAGCAGCTTACAGCTTTGGTGAAACAACTCTCACAAGATGTCAAGGCTTTGAAGGAAGATAGAAATTGTGACCAACCATCTACTAACATTCAATGGTCAAGAAGAGATACATCATGGACACCATACCACCCAGACGAAACAACCATATACAGACCAGTAGAACAACACAGAAGACGCAAACAGAATGATTTCACCTGTTGGCGCTGCAGGCAGCCAGGACACTACGCCGTAGACTGCACTGTACGACTTGATCATTCAAGAAAGACACAGCGTGCTCTGAACCTCCAACAAACGTTCATCATGAAACAATCAACACAACAAACTGAACAGAAATCGTCCACATCAGGACTACTTGGTTCATCAAATGAAGTCACTATTACTATAAATGGAATTAATACAACAGCACTTCTCGACACAGGTTCAACTGTATCAACGATAAGCGAGAGTTTTTACAATCAGCATCTATATTCAACGCCATTACAGTCACTCAGTTTTGTTTTGAACATAGAATGCGCCGATGGACAACGTTTACCTTACAAAGGATACATTGAAGCTGACTTGCAACTTCAAGGAGCAGCTGACAACAAGATTCAACCTGGTGTATTCCTCATCATACCAGACAGCGAATATCATAAAGAAGTACCACTGCTTATCGGAACAAACATCTTATCTGAAGTTATGAAGGACATCAAACAAGAACATGGTACACGTTTTCTACAAGATACTAACCTGATGACACCATACTACTTAGCATTCAGATGTATGACCTTAAGAGAGAAAGAACTTGAAAGACAACATAACCGTTTGGCACTGGTGAAATCAGCAGAGACAAAACCGATTATCATACAACCTAACACCGAAGTAGTTATCAAAGGCTATATGGACAAGATGTTACCGTATCCATCAACCGTTTCCATGCTGTATGCAACTTCAAACTCAGTAATACCTAACGACTTAGATATTGTACCAGCTGTAATCACATACGACCAGAATCAACGAGATGATATTCCAGTTCACATTTCGAACATTTCTACAAGAACAGTAACCGTTGCACCTAGAGCTCTTTTATGTGAACTTCAACCAGTGACCATAACAACAGAACAAGTAAAACCAGATGACAACAATCAAATTGATATCTTCAAAGATATACACTTACCAGACGATATGAAACCAGATGAACTTCAACGAGGAAAGAACTTGATAAACCGATACAACGACATATTCTCCAAGAGCGACACAGATATTGGTTATACGTCGTTAGTGAAACACCGAATAGATTTAACAGATAACACTCCATTTAAACAACGACATCGACGAATACCACCGTCAATGCTAGAAGAAGTCAGAGATCATCTTCAGCAATTACTGTCAGCAGGCATCATAAGGCGTTCACATTCACCATGGTCGTCTAACGTCGTCTTAGTCCGGAAGAAAGATGGGAAACTCCGCATGTGCGTTGATTATCGTCAACTGAACCAGCTGTCCATCAAAGATGCCTACGCACTTCCGAGAATTGAAGAAATCCTTGAATCGCTAGGTGGAAACAAGATATTTACAGTGCTTGATATGAAGTCAGGTTATCATCAAGTGGAGTTAGAGGAGGAGCACAAACAACGAACAGCTTTCACTGTAGGACCACTTGGTTTCTTCGAATTCAACCGATTGCCATTTGGGTTAGCGAATTCACCAGCTACATATCAGAGATTGATGGAAGAATGCCTTGGTGACTTACATGCAAGAATTTGTTTCATCTACTTAGACGATCTAATCATCTTTTCAAAAACCTTGGACGAACATCTAGATCGCCTCGAGAGAGTTTTCCAGCGTCTCCGAGAAGTTGGCCTAAAGTTATCTCCGAAGAAGTGTTCTTTCTTTCAACGAAAGGTGAAATACGTTGGTCACATCGTATCAGAGAAAGGAGTTGAGCCAGATCCAGATAAGATCGACAAAGTCACTAATTGGCCAAGACCAACAACACCCGAAGAAGTCCGACAATTTCTAGGCTTCGTTGGCTACTACAGGAAGTTCATCAAAGACTTCTCAAAGATTGCTCGCCCTTTGACGGATTTGATGCCTACAACAGGAAAAAAGATTAAAGGAAAGAAGCCGAAGAAAGATCACAAGCAACAACCATGGCAATGGAATAGAGAACAGGAGAAAGCCTTTCAACAGTTGAAAAGTCATCTTGCATCACCGCCAATACTAAGTTTTCCCGACTCCGAACATCCATTTGAGCTGCACACCGACGCTTGTATTAATGGACTTGGAGCTGTTCTTTATCAGACACAGGAAGGAAAACAGCGAGTGTTAGCTTATGCCAGCAGAGGCTTGTCAAAATCAGAAACTACCCAGTACACAAACAAGAATTCCTGGCGTTAAAATGGGCCGTCACAGAGAAATTTAAGGATTACCTATATGGCCAGAAGTTTACAGTTTACACAGATAATAACCCTCTGACGTACGCACTTACCACAGCGAAGTTAGATGCCACAGGACATCGTTGGCTTGCAGCATTAGCATCCTTCGATTTCAACATCGTTTATCGACCAGGCAAAAACAACGCAGATGCTGATGGACTGTCACGTCTTCCTGGTATTCACACCAAACCAGATAACATCTCAGAGGAATCTGTCAAGGCTATATGCAGCTTAGTACAACCTGTTGCATATGTAGAGTCTTTATCACACCAACCAGATGCTTTAGACAACATACCTGATATGCTCAAAGAACATCAAATCAACATCAGAGATGAGCAGATGAACGACTCTACAATAAGATACTGGATAGACAAAGTCAGTAAGAAGATGAAACCCAGAAAGCATGATGTACCGTCGTCACCATTCCACAACATGCTGTATAATAATTTTGACAAGCTGAAGATCAAGCGTGGTATATTATACAGAACAACTACTGACAACGACACTACCAAATATCAACTTGTACTGCCAGCGTCTCAGATCTCAACAGTACTCAGATCACTGCACAACAATATGGGACACCAGGGAAGAGACAGGACAACATCATTAGTCAAAGAGCGCTTCTTCTGGTATGGCATGACTAGAGATATTGAACAGTGGATCCAGAGATGTCCAAGATGTATATGGCGTAAGACTCCAACCAACGACAGAGCTCCATTGACCAGTATCAGAACTACTCAACCCATGGAGATAGTCTGTATGGACTTTCTGAAGTTAGAAGTTTCCAAGGGCGGATACCAGTACGTATTGGTGATTACAGATCATTTTACCCGATACGCACAGGCCATTCCAACGAAAAACATGACAGCCCGAACCACTGCTGAAGCTTTCTTCAAGAACTACGTGGTACATTATGGACTTCCAGAAAGAATACACAGCGACCAAGGTGCTAACTTTGAGAGCCGTCTAGTCAAAGAGTTATGTGATATTACCGGCATCAAGAAGTCACGGACAACGCCATATCACCCACAAGGCAACGGACAATGCGAAAGATTCAACAGGACACTCATCAACATGCTTGGAACTCTTGAGAAAGATAAGAAAACAGACTGGAAGTCTTACATTGGTCCTATTGTCCATGCCTACAACTCGACCAAGCATGACACTACAGGCTTCACACCGTTCCAGCTGATGTTTGGTCGACAGCCGAAGCTACCAGTAGATTTAGCTTTTGGGATTGACAGTGATAGAGAACCGAAAATTATGACGAAGTATGTTGAAGATCTGAGACAGAAATTAAAGAAATCTTACCAACTTGCATCATCAGCTGCAGAAAAATCACAGGGTAAACAGAAGCAAGCTTATGACATCAGAGTTAAAGGAGCCATTTTACATAAAGATGATCGAGTACTTGTGAAGATTCTTGCCTTCGATGGAACCCACAAGTTACAGGATAAATGGGAAGAAGATCCATATGTAATCCTCGATCAGCCCAATACAGAACTACCTGTCTATGTAGTTAGGAAAGAGAATGGTCATGGAAGAAAACGAACGCTTCATAGGAACCATCTACTACCCATTGGAAGCATCAACGAGGAACTTGTGGAAGAGAACACAACTCACCAAATGCCAGTTCCTTTGCCAAGAAGAAGTAAAAGAAAACCAGCATCACCAAAGAAGAAAACTGCTCCAGTAGAAGTTTCAACAGACTCCAACACAGAGAGTGAGGATGAATCAATGGTGTATGTCGTGGTTGAAGAGCCTCCGCAAGATGTTCAACAAGATATTCAGCCGGATGGCGTTATCCAAGCAGATGATGAAACAGCATCGGTTGAGGAGGAGGCTACTGTTCCTGGTAACGCTGATGACGATCAGGACCGCACCGAGGAGCAATCTGAATTAGAGGAGGACGCTTCTTTGCCTGAGGAATCAGGAGGTTCAGAGCACGAAACATCACTAGAAGATCAAGTACATGATTTGGCAACAGATGCTTTACATGATGTAACAGATGATGATAGCACGGAATATGAGAACATTGATGATGAAGAAGAAAAAGATGATGACACACCAGAACCACAACAAAGACGATCTACCAGAACCAAGACATCAACAGCTACAACCAAGTACAAGGATTTTGTTGTACCACCAGTCTCCAAGAGTGCACAACCGGAATGGATGGTTCGTGCTGACTACCTTAGGACTGCAGCATCCTCTGGAATGTTTATCAACATGGCTGATGACGTTTCCAGAGCGATGTTGAAGCTGATCACCAAGACAGACGATTAGATGATATATTGTATTTCAGTTTTGTCCAGTATTAGACGAGGACGTCTTTTCCTCACACAGGGGGAAGATCATTGTTGTATATTTTTGTTTATTGTCACCATGATTTCAGTTATGTCTTGGAAGACATTCTCGCAGCAGGGGGAGAATGTGACAGAGTATATTTTTACATATTTCATTTATTAGTATTTTACATTTTATTACATGCCAGATATTATACTTTATTCATTCACTCTGATCATTTGATCTTTTGATTTATAGTTTATTATCTCTTTACACTATAAATTGTATGAAAGTTCTAGTCAGTCATACTTCATTGAGCAAAATTTTAATTGTATCTACCCGTCCAACTCATTAGTAAATTAATTGTCACACCTTGTTTATCTTTATGGTCAGTTCTTATTGGTCATTCTGGACACACCTCAGATTTTGGAAAAGAAGTAATGGTGGTTAATTCTTGAAAATTGGAGACATACATATTTAATATTTACTTCTTATTTAAACCATATATAGTGATGAAACTTATATAGAGACATTCTATTTAGTGCTCGTTAGTACTCACTGAAGTTTCCATACTTTGGAATCACTGTAGTTATTGGAAATTACATTCTTTATATCTGGTAAGTAGATTTTATGTTCTTTGTGGTGTATGAAAGGCGTATGCAGTGCATGCTATACAATTCTGCCCGTTTATAGGTAAGTATGCCCATAGACCTTAGATATGATAGGAGTAAGATAGTTTATGTATTAATCTGAGAATATATGATTTGAATCTGTAGTTTGGATGTAGAAAGGGAGATTTACGAATGATTTTGAAAGTGACCTTGACCTTTCAGTTATGGATCTATGACGTCACATTGACAATTGCGTTAATATTGCCATATATGGTAATTTTGTGTAATAGCTTGATTTTATTATATCAGTCTTTAATATGTTGTATTTTGTATAAGGGATCATTATTTTCCTAGATCCTAGTATTTACTATTGTGTATTATTTTCAGGACACATAGATTATGATGTTCTTGTAACATACTGGTTGTACTGTAGATGTTAGATATATAACCTGGTTCCACAGATTGGTAAGGGTCATATTATATTGTACCTATATGTCAGTTAACTTGAGTTCGATAATAGATATTAAACATTACAGTAGTGCATACGAACTTAATAGCTAGAATACTATAGTGAACAGTTAATAACCTTCGTATGGTAAAGGTTTTATGAATGACACTCGTTTATGAAGTACGATACATTCGACTTGTTTATAATACGCTTGGTTGATTATAATGATATGCTATTTGATACGACTTATCAGATACATGTATTTGTATTTAGAAATATAATTGCAAGTTTGTTGCATATTATGAATGTCACTGCATTCTTGATACTCAGTATAGTTTATTGTATATGGAATAGAATATTTCATACGATCTTGTAACATTGTTAATTACACCAGTATACTATTTGTATGATTCTAGTATAAGAATTTAATAAGACTGTGATATTGATAAATGTGATAATTATATGCTATTGTTATTGCAGGGTTATTTTCCCTATGTTTACTTGTATAATAAAGTGATGTCAAAGAACCCTAGACTTGTCGTTTATGGAACCCCCGTAAAACAAGACTATTATAATGGCGCCCAACGTGGTTTTTCTGGTAGATCAGACGTTTTTGGTGAATAATGAAGAGAATGAAGAATTATTCGTATTTTGGCAATACACGATACCCGTAGATGTCGCTACACCTCAGTGATTACCGATTGACAATAGATGTTACTTTTAAACTGAGTTGTATTTAATGTACCGGTGTGTGTTTTGACTTTATAATTAAATATCATTTAGTAAAACTTTTGATACATACTAATTAGTTGATTGACATTGAATATATTCTTTATTTGTATTTGAACTGTGTATATATAAACATTGATTGTGTCACTTGATTTTTTTTTTAAAAATAACTTTCTTTGTTCTTTTTCCGTAAATTATGAAAAGTTATCTCATACATATTAGCTGTATTTGGAATTAAATTTTTGTTGTAAAATTTTGTTGAAATAACTGTAAATTTTCATTCAGAATTTGATTATGTAATTAGCTTTCGAACACATTTACAGTTAGTTAACTTACATTAAAATTTGAAAAAAGTGTGACACAAAGGTAGAAAAGTAAACAGTTGCTACTGTTTGTAATTGATATATATTATATTTGACTTTGTAAGAAAATACATTGTGTTGATATTTGTACATTGAAATAATTTGCATATTATTGTGTACATAATAAATAGATTCATAACTGCCCAATCCCCACTCCTGTAAGTTAGGATTGTTGCAAAGACCAGAGACACGACAAATACTCTTTTACTCGTAAAGTTCCACAGAACTTTGCTGTCGCAGATATTTACCTATAAAATTTGAAGGTAAGTGAAAAATATAAGTACAGAAGTAACTGCCTGGAGTAACTTGTACATTTGAAGTAGTAGGTATAAAGCACTAAGGAACTAGAAGTATACATATTTATAGTTGAGTAAGTATACGTGTTGTTTGATTGATAGGTTCTGGCTATTTGGGGTACTTGATAGGTGTCTACATTGTGTTGTATAGGTAGATCTGTTGCTTCGGTTCTTGTTGTTGACTGACTGATTCTTTAATACATTTTAAGTTTAAGGACTTTCAGTGATTTCATTGATGATACAGTGATATTATTTACAGCAGCAGCAGCAGTACCAGTTACTACTTTACATTATATTGTATAATATATATTTGCTTATATAGTTATATATATATTTTTTGATTATATGTAGCAGTTAGTCGTACTCAGTTAGGAATAAATTACACACATTTTGGTGAGTATTAGGTGTGTGTGATTTTCAGAGGCATAGCTGGGTAGGAACTTTAAGAAAGGTACGTGCGTGTATATTGATACTACTTATATTTGTTTTCCTTATACATATTCATTGGTTTTCAGTTGTGAGGTATTGTTAGCCACTGTGTACATTATACTTTTATATAGTATTTCTGAGATCCATTTTGTATTTTTTTTGTATACATATAGTAATCAGAGTTTTGATTTCAGTATATTGATTTACCATTGCGGAGTTGCATTTGTCATCTAATCTGTTTATTTTCAGAGGAGTTAGTCATTTCAGTCCATTACTATATTACTCTATATTTATTTAGGCACTGTTGTCGAGTTTGTTGATACTTAATCATAATTTTGATTTCAGACCTTTGTAGTAGTTAAGAGTTACTAATCTTATTCTTTTGACAGGATATTCATTTAGATTTCCAGATTATGGTATATCATATTTGGATTTGCATTGATTCTATATTTATTGTTTTCTGTAGATTAGACAGTAGACTGCAGATATTAATCTTATTTTTTTTTTCTTCTTAGATTTCAGGTATTTAACTTATTTTTTTCCTATTTAATTTCAGAAACTTTATTTCTGTTATAGGTATTTAAAACGTTTTGTTTATTTTATTTATTCCAGATGATTTCTTTGTATTTTAGGATAAATTAACATTATTCATATATTTGTTTTTCTTTCAGATACTTTGTTCCTATTGTAGGTACTTAACATACTTATTTTGTTTTAGCACTAATTTTTGGTATATATTTGTATTCATTTCAGACATATATTTTTTCTTCTTTTAGGAACTTAATATTTTTTGTTTTTGTTTCAGAAGATTTTGTTTATTTCAGATTTCATCTCAGCATTTTATTTCTATAGTTTAGGTATTATCATTTTGTACAGCCATGTCGGATTATCTATCCAAGGATGAGATAAGCAACATAGTTTTGGCCTTCAAGGAGATGGACCTCAAACCATGCGCTCAGACACCAGATGATTTCAAAACCTGGATGGAAGACTATAAAGACACAGATGATGATTTATGGAATGTCTACTTACCACGGATATCAGCATTTTCCGGAGATGCAAAGACTAGTACACCATATGACCTATGGAGATATGAGGTACAGTGTCTCATCAAGACAGGACATACACATGAAACTATCACGATGGCCATTAGACGTTCTTTGCGTGGAGATGCTAGCAAGGTTCCCATGCGACTTGGTCCGGAAGCAACCATTGACGACATCATTGATAAGATGGACAGCATATACGGATCTGTTTATCCACCTGAAGCTTTACTTGGCCAATTCTACACGGCCAGACAGCAAGATGACGAAGACGTTGCAACATGGGCTTGTCGATTAGAGGAGATACTAAGCAAAGCCAAGAACAGAAAGAATGTGACCGAGGAAAACATCAACGACATGCTTACATCCAAGTTCTTTGATGGATTGAGACCGGAGATGAAGAATATTGTCCGCTACAAGAAAGATACCATCACAGATTTTCATTCCTTACTGAAAGCTACAAGAGAAATAGAGAATCAACATAACATCAAGCCATCTTTGAAAAAGAAACCATCTATGCATGCTACTAGTAAATCAACGACAACAACTGTAGAAAACAGGCAAATTCAGCAGCTTACAGCTTTGGTGAAACAACTCTCACAAGATGTCAAGGCTTTGAAGGAAGATAGAAATTGTGACCAACCATCTACTAACATTCAATGGTCAAGAAGAGATACATCATGGACACCATACCACCCAGACGAAACAACCATATACAGACCAGTAGAACAACACAGAAGACGCAAACAGAATGATTTCACCTGTTGGCGCTGCAGGCAGCCAGGACACTACGCCGTAGACTGCACTGTACGACTTGATCATTCAAGAAAGACACAGCGTGCTCTGAACCTCCAACAAACGTTCATCATGAAACAATCAACACAACAAACTGAACAGAAATCGTCCACATCAGGACTACTTGGTTCATCAAATGAAGTCACTATTACTATAAATGGAATTAATACAACAGCACTTCTCGACACAGGTTCAACTGTATCAACGATAAGCGAGAGTTTTTACAATCAGCATCTATATTCAACGCCATTACAGTCACTCAGTTTTGTTTTGAACATAGAATGCGCCGATGGACAACGTTTACCTTACAAAGGATACATTGAAGCTGACTTGCAACTTCAAGGAGCAGCTGACAACAAGATTCAACCTGGTGTATTCCTCATCATACCAGACAGCGAATATCATAAAGAAGTACCACTGCTTATCGGAACAAACATCTTATCTGAAGTTATGAAGGACATCAAACAAGAACATGGTACACGTTTTCTACAAGATACTAACCTGATGACACCATACTACTTAGCATTCAGATGTATGACCTTAAGAGAGAAAGAACTTGAAAGACAACATAACCGTTTGGCACTGGTGAAATCAGCAGAGACAAAACCGATTATCATACAACCTAACACCGAAGTAGTTATCAAAGGCTATATGGACAAGATGTTACCGTATCCATCAACCGTTTCCATGCTGTATGCAACTTCAAACTCAGTAATACCTAACGACTTAGATATTGTACCAGCTGTAATCACATACGACCAGAATCAACGAGATGATATTCCAGTTCACATTTCGAACATTTCTACAAGAACAGTAACCGTTGCACCTAGAGCTCTTTTATGTGAACTTCAACCAGTGACCATAACAACAGAACAAGTAAAACCAGATGACAACAATCAAATTGATATCTTCAAAGATATACACTTACCAGACGATATGAAACCAGATGAACTTCAACGAGGAAAGAACTTGATAAACCGATACAACGACATATTCTCCAAGAGCGACACAGATATTGGTTATACGTCGTTAGTGAAACACCGAATAGATTTAACAGATAACACTCCATTTAAACAACGACATCGACGAATACCACCGTCAATGCTAGAAGAAGTCAGAGATCATCTTCAGCAATTACTGTCAGCAGGCATCATAAGGCGTTCACATTCACCATGGTCGTCTAACGTCGTCTTAGTCCGGAAGAAAGATGGGAAACTCCGCATGTGCGTTGATTATCGTCAACTGAACCAGCTGTCCATCAAAGATGCCTACGCACTTCCGAGAATTGAAGAAATCCTTGAATCGCTAGGTGGAAACAAGATATTTACAGTGCTTGATATGAAGTCAGGTTATCATCAAGTGGAGTTAGAGGAGGAGCACAAACAACGAACAGCTTTCACTGTAGGACCACTTGGTTTCTTCGAATTCAACCGATTGCCATTTGGGTTAGCGAATTCACCAGCTACATATCAGAGATTGATGGAAGAATGCCTTGGTGACTTACATGCAAGAATTTGTTTCATCTACTTAGACGATCTAATCATCTTTTCAAAAACCTTGGACGAACATCTAGATCGCCTCGAGAGAGTTTTCCAGCGTCTCCGAGAAGTTGGCCTAAAGTTATCTCCGAAGAAGTGTTCTTTCTTTCAACGAAAGGTGAAATACGTTGGTCACATCGTATCAGAGAAAGGAGTTGAGCCAGATCCAGATAAGATCGACAAAGTCACTAATTGGCCAAGACCAACAACACCCGAAGAAGTCCGACAATTTCTAGGCTTCGTTGGCTACTACAGGAAGTTCATCAAAGACTTCTCAAAGATTGCTCGCCCTTTGACGGATTTGATGCCTACAACAGGAAAAAAGATTAAAGGAAAGAAGCCGAAGAAAGATCACAAGCAACAACCATGGCAATGGAATAGAGAACAGGAGAAAGCCTTTCAACAGTTGAAAAGTCATCTTGCATCACCGCCAATACTAAGTTTTCCCGACTCCGAACATCCATTTGAGCTGCACACCGACGCTTGTATTAATGGACTTGGAGCTGTTCTTTATCAGACACAGGAAGGAAAACAGCGAGTGTTAGCTTATGCCAGCAGAGGCTTGTCAAAATCAGAAACTACCCAGTACACAAACAAGAATTCCTGGCGTTAAAATGGGCCGTCACAGAGAAATTTAAGGATTACCTATATGGCCAGAAGTTTACAGTTTACACAGATAATAACCCTCTGACGTACGCACTTACCACAGCGAAGTTAGATGCCACAGGACATCGTTGGCTTGCAGCATTAGCATCCTTCGATTTCAACATCGTTTATCGACCAGGCAAAAACAACGCAGATGCTGATGGACTGTCACGTCTTCCTGGTATTCACACCAAACCAGATAACATCTCAGAGGAATCTGTCAAGGCTATATGCAGCTTAGTACAACCTGTTGCATATGTAGAGTCTTTATCACACCAACCAGATGCTTTAGACAACATACCTGATATGCTCAAAGAACATCAAATCAACATCAGAGATGAGCAGATGAACGACTCTACAATAAGATACTGGATAGACAAAGTCAGTAAGAAGATGAAACCCAGAAAGCATGATGTACCGTCGTCACCATTCCACAACATGCTGTATAATAATTTTGACAAGCTGAAGATCAAGCGTGGTATATTATACAGAACAACTACTGACAACGACACTACCAAATATCAACTTGTACTGCCAGCGTCTCAGATCTCAACAGTACTCAGATCACTGCACAACAATATGGGACACCAGGGAAGAGACAGGACAACATCATTAGTCAAAGAGCGCTTCTTCTGGTATGGCATGACTAGAGATATTGAACAGTGGATCCAGAGATGTCCAAGATGTATATGGCGTAAGACTCCAACCAACGACAGAGCTCCATTGACCAGTATCAGAACTACTCAACCCATGGAGATAGTCTGTATGGACTTTCTGAAGTTAGAAGTTTCCAAGGGCGGATACCAGTACGTATTGGTGATTACAGATCATTTTACCCGATACGCACAGGCCATTCCAACGAAAAACATGACAGCCCGAACCACTGCTGAAGCTTTCTTCAAGAACTACGTGGTACATTATGGACTTCCAGAAAGAATACACAGCGACCAAGGTGCTAACTTTGAGAGCCGTCTAGTCAAAGAGTTATGTGATATTACCGGCATCAAGAAGTCACGGACAACGCCATATCACCCACAAGGCAACGGACAATGCGAAAGATTCAACAGGACACTCATCAACATGCTTGGAACTCTTGAGAAAGATAAGAAAACAGACTGGAAGTCTTACATTGGTCCTATTGTCCATGCCTACAACTCGACCAAGCATGACACTACAGGCTTCACACCGTTCCAGCTGATGTTTGGTCGACAGCCGAAGCTACCAGTAGATTTAGCTTTTGGGATTGACAGTGATAGAGAACCGAAAATTATGACGAAGTATGTTGAAGATCTGAGACAGAAATTAAAGAAATCTTACCAACTTGCATCATCAGCTGCAGAAAAATCACAGGGTAAACAGAAGCAAGCTTATGACATCAGAGTTAAAGGAGCCATTTTACATAAAGATGATCGAGTACTTGTGAAGATTCTTGCCTTCGATGGAACCCACAAGTTACAGGATAAATGGGAAGAAGATCCATATGTAATCCTCGATCAGCCCAATACAGAACTACCTGTCTATGTAGTTAGGAAAGAGAATGGTCATGGAAGAAAACGAACGCTTCATAGGAACCATCTACTACCCATTGGAAGCATCAACGAGGAACTTGTGGAAGAGAACACAACTCACCAAATGCCAGTTCCTTTGCCAAGAAGAAGTAAAAGAAAACCAGCATCACCAAAGAAGAAAACTGCTCCAGTAGAAGTTTCAACAGACTCCAACACAGAGAGTGAGGATGAATCAATGGTGTATGTCGTGGTTGAAGAGCCTCCGCAAGATGTTCAACAAGATATTCAGCCGGATGGCGTTATCCAAGCAGATGATGAAACAGCATCGGTTGAGGAGGAGGCTACTGTTCCTGGTAACGCTGATGACGATCAGGACCGCACCGAGGAGCAATCTGAATTAGAGGAGGACGCTTCTTTGCCTGAGGAATCAGGAGGTTCAGAGCACGAAACATCACTAGAAGATCAAGTACATGATTTGGCAACAGATGCTTTACATGATGTAACAGATGATGATAGCACGGAATATGAGAACATTGATGATGAAGAAGAAAAAGATGATGACACACCAGAACCACAACAAAGACGATCTACCAGAACCAAGACATCAACAGCTACAACCAAGTACAAGGATTTTGTTGTACCACCAGTCTCCAAGAGTGCACAACCGGAATGGATGGTTCGTGCTGACTACCTTAGGACTGCAGCATCCTCTGGAATGTTTATCAACATGGCTGATGACGTTTCCAGAGCGATGTTGAAGCTGATCACCAAGACAGACGATTAGATGATATATTGTATTTCAGTTTTGTCCAGTATTAGACGAGGACGTCTTTTCCTCACACAGGGGGAAGATCATTGTTGTATATTTTTGTTTATTGTCACCATGATTTCAGTTATGTCTTGGAAGACATTCTCGCAGCAGGGGGAGAATGTGACAGAGTATATTTTTACATATTTCATTTATTAGTATTTTACATTTTATTACATGCCAGATATTATACTTTATTCATTCACTCTGATCATTTGATCTTTTGATTTATAGTTTATTATCTCTTTACACTATAAATTGTATGAAAGTTCTAGTCAGTCATACTTCATTGAGCAAAATTTTAATTGTATCTACCCGTCCAACTCATTAGTAAATTAATTGTCACACCTTGTTTATCTTTATGGTCAGTTCTTATTGGTCATTCTGGACACACCTCAGATTTTGGAAAAGAAGTAATGGTGGTTAATTCTTGAAAATTGGAGACATACATATTTAATATTTACTTCTTATTTAAACCATATATAGTGATGAAACTTATATAGAGACATTCTATTTAGTGCTCGTTAGTACTCACTGAAGTTTCCATACTTTGGAATCACTGTAGTTATTGGAAATTACATTCTTTATATCTGGTAAGTAGATTTTATGTTCTTTGTGGTGTATGAAAGGCGTATGCAGTGCATGCTATACAATTCTGCCCGTTTATAGGTAAGTATGCCCATAGACCTTAGATATGATAGGAGTAAGATAGTTTATGTATTAATCTGAGAATATATGATTTGAATCTGTAGTTTGGATGTAGAAAGGGAGATTTACGAATGATTTTGAAAGTGACCTTGACCTTTCAGTTATGGATCTATGACGTCACATTGACAATTGCGTTAATATTGCCATATATGGTAATTTTGTGTAATAGCTTGATTTTATTATATCAGTCTTTAATATGTTGTATTTTGTATAAGGGATCATTATTTTCCTAGATCCTAGTATTTACTATTGTGTATTATTTTCAGGACACATAGATTATGATGTTCCTGTAACATACTGGTTGTACTGTAGATGTTAGATATATAACCTGGTTCCACAGATTGGTAAGGGTCATATTATATTGTACCTATATGTCAGTTAACTTGAGTTCGATAATAGATATTAAACATTACAGTAGTGCATACGAACTTAATAGCTAGAATACTATAGTGAACAGTTAATAACCTTCGTATGGTAAAGGTTTTATGAATGACACTCGTTTATGAAGTACGATACATTCGACTTGTTTATAATACGCTTGGTTGATTATAATGATATGCTATTTGATACGACTTATCAGATACATGTATTTGTATTTAGAAATATAATTGCAAGTTTGTTGCATATTATGAATGTCACTGCATTCTTGATACTCAGTATAGTTTATTGTATATGGAATAGAATATTTCATACGATCTTGTAACATTGTTAATTACACCAGTATACTATTTGTATGATTCTAGTATAAGAATTTAATAAGACTGTGATATTGATAAATGTGATAATTATATGCTATTGTTATTGCAGGGTTATTTTCCCTATGTTTACTTGTATAATAAAGTGATGTCAAAGAACCCTAGACTTGTCGTTTATGGAACCCCCGTAAAACAAGACTATTATATATGTATAGAAAAAATGGCTTATAACACATTTTAGCATTGTTTGTTTACGTTTTCTTGTTGTGATGATTTTCGGTTTCGGTCCCATAAAATGCTCACATTCTGACGTCATCGTTCTATGACGTCGGGTAGCTCTTTCTTAAAAAAAAGCATGACGTGGGAGTACGATCGGAACAGCCCAAGCAATATATTCATATTTTACCATGTGTGTGTACACAAAGCGTTTGAAGGACGTCATGTTAGAATTTAATATAATGATTGGGGGCGAACGTGTATTGGGAGCGAACGGACCTGATACCCTTATACACTTTACAAATTCAAATATTTTCTCATTAAAAATGCCCCAATTTACAACTTTTTATTAAATTATAATCAAATGGTAACAAGTTTAGGTTTCTCTACATCCAAAAAAATCACATGGATAATGGAACTTGAAAGCTATGGTCCCAGACACAGGCACTTGTTTTCTATCCATGAGGGTAGGAATGCCCTTCACCGTCGGGCGTCAAACGGTCATTTTTGGCTACCGTTAGTGTCAATTTGGTTAAAATTTTATATCCTTATGGTGATTCGTCAGAGGTCTCAAATAATTAACCGTTACCGTTATTTTTGGAAAGAATTTAACGCGATTCGTCAAAATCAGTCAATTATTTTACCATCATAAAGAAAGTGTTCGTTTTCATCGTCATGCACAACAAATTACCGTTAACGTCATTTGGCCAATTTTTTTACCGTTATTCGTCATGAAGGTACCCCCATTCCGACCCTCATCCATGCACAACCACTATCGACGTATGCCTGTGCCTGTGGTCCCACAGCCAATATCATTTCCTCACAGTTACAGTTTTTTTCGGGATGATTATTCTCTCGAATGTTTTACATTTGATATTGACATAACGATTTTATATTGCAATTACCCAGCTTCATTTGAATTATTTCGGTTCATATCTTTATCTCTGTGCATTGGCATCTCTCTCAATAATTTTAAGATGGCGTTGACGTGACCACGGGGAGATACCCACAGTACTTCGGCAAATTCCGGCTTGCCGGAAATTTTACACGGAAAGATTCGAGACCTACGGTAAGATATTCGCCACAATACTGTAGTCGCCTCAGACAATAAGCACTATTGAACTCCCAATAGCAATCACTTATTTCCATAGAAGTGTCAAAAGGGGGCATTCTTCCCACTGCCATAATATCAGAGACATATAATACTATATGTCTCTGATAATATACATGAAAAAAGAAAACACTATTGTTCTCTATTCTTTATATTTTAGCACCTCATTATTCTCTATTCTTATTTTTTTTTGTGTCCATTTTTCTCTATTCTTTATATTTTTTGCCCATTATTTTCTATTTGTTTTGAAAGAGATATGAAATTATTGTTGATGCCTTCTACAAAATCCGTTCACAGAATTTGGATTTAAACTTATGTGTTATTGCTACAAACGTTTACGTTTAAATGCTGTGAAAATATTAGGGGGTCACCTGATTCGTTTTTTCCCCAGTAGAAATTAATTAATCTCACTTATGTAGTGTAATTACAGTACCACTCCATGACCCAATCCTCAGAAATATTTTAGAATTTCATGGATCATCGAATACAGGTCAAAGTCCATTTTAATGGTTTTGACATTGACCGTTCAAGATTTATGCCCCTTAGTTACCTTATATATGTAATTTCTCATCACTTGGCGGCGTCCGTAGTTGTTAATTTTTTTTTTTAATCTCTGAAATAGCTTGGCCAAATTTAACCAAACTTGGCCACAAACTTCACTGGGGTATCTAGTTGAGTGTCTGCCAACCAACATGGTCGACATGGCTTAGAATAGAACACAGGGGTAAAATGTAAATTTGTATTATCTTGAAAAAAAACTCTTATAAATAAGAGAAAATCTGACGGGGCTGAAATGTTCAGAAACTGTTGTATGACTTCTTATTTGAGTTATTATCCTAAAATGACAAATTTTATGTTTTTTTTTCATTTTTGCCTATTATCTTGAAAACTATCATATTGATTGATTGATTTGTGTTTAACGCCACTTTCAACACTATTGTGCTATTTCCTTGTAGTCATTTTTTATTGGTGGAGGAAGCCGGGAGCCCGGAGAGAACCACCGACCTTCGGTAGGAAACTGACAATGCTGGTCAATTAAGATTGGAATCAAGTGCACCTGCCCCGTGCGGGATTCGAACTCACACCCTCAGTGTTGACTGGCTAGTGATACAGTAGTTCGACTACTTAGACCACTCGGCCATGCACCGAGGCCCCGAAAACTATCATAGATGGAGAGAAACTTAAATAGCAAATATGACCAGCAAGATCTACAAATAAGTCAACATGACTAAAGTTGTCTTGACGACTTCTTATTTGAGTAATTGCGATGATTTTTAATATTTTTTGTGTGTTTTTGCGTAATGTCGTAAAATCTACAATAGCCTCTATAGATAGAAACTTTAAAAAGCAAAAATGATCAGCAAGACAGTTCTATAGATAGGAAATTTAAAAAAAAAAAAAAAAAAAAGCAAGACAAGATCCACAAATAAATCGTATGGCCTAGTCGACTTCTTATATGAGTTATTGCTCTTTCATGATGATTTTTACCAATTTTTAGTGTTTTGCCTATTATCTTGAAAACTAATAGCTAGATAGACAATTTAGTCAGCAAAATGATCAGCAAGACGAGTTCTACAAATAAGTCAAATTTTGCTAAAATCGTCACATTAGACTCTTTATAGAAGTGAGACTAAAGATTTTTTTTTTACCGTTTTTGTGTTTTGAGGTGAAAAATAAAGAATAAAGTGAAACTGTAAACATAGAAAACTATCAACAAAATAGAGATTTGTGTCATGATTCTATTTTAACCCACGATGTTGAAGAGTGTCCATTGTTCAAGATGCACATATACCTTAGGTGAGCAACACGGTCTTTTTGGAGCCTCTAGAGATATATGATACAATTGTATTATAATTTTCTCTTGAGCCTAATTATTCTTATTTCCAGATGATAATGTAAGTACTGTTTAATAAAAACTTCAAAATGCAGGGAGATGGAACATGACCCTCAATTTGTTTTTGTATTGCACCTCAGATGTACCCGTCGTCACAACCCTCGTTTAACCATTATAACCCTCATTTCCCATGCATGTAACAATTATAACCCTCATTTTCCATTTATTTAACCATTATTCCCTCGTCGCAGAAACATTTGCATAATTCCTGTTTAGCTCAACAGGCCTAAAAGGCCATATGGGCTTTTGCCATTACTTGGCGTCCGTTGCTGTAAACTCTTTAAACAATCTTCTCTGAAAATAATAGGCCAAATGTTACCAGACTTTATCTGAATGTTCCTTTGGGTATCTTGTTTTAAAATTGTATCATAATGGATTTGATCCATCAGCAAACATGGCCACTGTTACTTAGAATAGAACACGGGGGTAAAATTCAGTTTTTGGCTAGATCTATAAAAGCAGTGGACAAATCTGAGCGATGGTAAAAATGATCAGCAGGTCAGATCTATCTCGTGTCCTATGTAATTTTCAGAAAAAAATAAGACAATCTAGTTAGAAGTAATTGAGCCTTAAATGTCAATTTTTGGAAATTTTGATTTTTTTTGGTTTAATATATTGAATACCATATATATATATATATATATTGTTTGTGCTGTATTTAGACCCCTCTAACAAGAAATTTGTTTTGCATGCACACGTATAAAAATTGCGGTTTTTATCGAACGCAATCATAGGTTTGAACGTTGTTTTCATCGTTTGGGCTTGTATTATATTTGCCTTCGGGTTTATATGATCCGTTCATCCTATTTTGACTCCTCAAAATTCAAGAGTCTATCCTAAATTAAGGTAAATTGTATGGCTTTCCAACTACCGTTTCGATTCCTAACACCACGGAAGAGACATTAATTGTCTCTATCCGGATATGGTGTACGAAAACCTTTGCACCTTTTGTTTGCGGTATACCATCTTTTCCGCAAGTTTATTGTTTTCTGTTTAGTATGAAATTTATAATTAAGATCCATTTATTACATCGGTGATCCGTTTATTTGGCAATCGCCAATGCCAGTCAGCAGGGTTTAAGAACATGTGTTGTTCGACCTGTTAGTCAAATGCGTTTTGTTAAAATATACTTTTTCACTTTTTTGGTCTTTTGGAAAATGTTGTTTGTGCTGTATTTAGACCCTCTAACAAGAAATTTGTTTTTCATGCACACGTATAAAAATTGCGGTTTTTATCCAACGCAATCATAGGAAATGCAGGATAGTCATGAAGCAGCAAGCAGTCACCGATATTGAAATTGAAAGAAGGTGCAAACAGATAATGGAGAACTATGAGGAGAGAATTACATCCCTAGAAAAGACTGTTGACAAGAAATGTGACGAGGACAGAGTTAAAGAGATTGTTAGAGAGGAAATAAAAACCAGTAATGAGGATATGGTAAAGATGATGGTAAAAGAGGAAGTCAGCAAACTAGAAGCACCAGGATCAATCACAGAAGAAAGTTGTAATGAGGAGGAAGTGAAAGCCATAATAACTGAGGAAATAAGTAAGATACAAAAGCCAGAAAATATAGGAGATGGAGAATCCCCAAATGATGAGGCATATAACTCAACTAACCCTAAAAGAAGAAAGGAGACAGTAACAAATGTTCTAGAAGAAATCAATGAGAGAAAATCAAGAGAAAACAACCTGATTGTCTTTGGGATTCCTGATAAGGATGAAGAGAGCAAAGAAGAAAGAGATATAGCTGAGAAAGAAAAACTAAACGAGCGCTTTAAAGACTGCAAAATACAACTAGATATGGAAAATTTGAAAACTGTCAAAAGACTAGAAAAATTTAACAAAGAAAAATTAAATAGACCAATCTTAGTAAAATTACCAAGTGCAGAACCAAAGATTACCCTATTTAAAAACATACACTATATAAAAGCTAATCCAAAATATGCAAAAGTTGGAATGAGTAACTACCTTACTCAAGCAGAAAGAGAACAAGAGAAAAAGTTATGGGATCAAGCGAGGAAACAAACCGAAGAAGAGGTTTCGGGGGACTACCACTTCAAAGTAAGGGGCCCTCCATGGGCAAGGAAGGTTGTCAAACTAAAGAAGCTAAACTCCTAAAACAGAAAAGAGGAAACGAAAATTAAATAATTTTAATGGTAAAAAAGTGAATGTAGATAATTTTACAGTTTTACCCAAATTAAGCTGCATGTATATACACGAACGCAGACCAGTTATTCAACAAGCTGCCAGAATTAATAGTAAGAACAAGAGATGATAAACCAAAAATAATTGGAATTACAGAGGTTAAACCAAAAAATAACAGGTACCAACCAGGAATTTCAGAATATTCTTCAGCCGATGTATCCGATTACAATATGTTTGGTAAAAATCTAGACAATGACACAGACAGAGGTCTTTTATTATATGTAGATAAATATTGGACGCATCACAGGTCCAAATGAATGCAGAATTCCAAGAAAACTTATTTATAAAGATTAAATTAAATCAGTCAGACCAGTTATTATTAGGCCTAATATATAGATCACCATCAAATAGATCACATGACCATATTAAACAATTAAATATGCTTACTACTGAAGCTTGTAGTAAAGGCTACTCACACATCCTAATAATGGGAGACTACAATTTTCCAGAAATAAATTGGGACAATTGGAATTCACCAGGTGATAGTACGGAAAGTAATGAATACAAATTTTTAGAGAATCTACAAGAAAGTTACCTATTTCAACATGTTACTAGACCAACAAGATGGAGAGGTACCAACACACCCCATACCCTCGACCTGATTTTGACAAATGAAGAACAAATGATCTCAAATTTAGAATACCAAAGTCCGCTATAGGAAAAAGCGATCACTGTACCATGAAATTAGACTTTAATTGCTATACAAATATTAAAAGCAAGCCAAAAACAATCAAATTATTCAGTAGAGGTAACTACATAAAAATAAAAGAAGAATTAGACAAAACAAACTGGATAGAGCTACTACAAAAAGAAAACGATATAGACAATAACTGGAGGGATTTTAAGTATTATTCAAGATATAGACAAAAAATATATCCCAACGAAAGAAAGGAAACAAATCGGCAGAGGAAAAAATAACTTCCCAATGGACAAAAACACCATAGATAAAATTAAAAGGAAAAATATCCTCTCAAAAAAGATAACGCAAAACAATGATCCAGAGGTTAGGAAAGAATACAATAAGATAAGGAATCAAGTGAAAAGCAGAGTAAACAAATTGAAGAGGGAATATGAAAAAAATCTGTCCGAAAAAGCTAAAGAAATCCCTAAGGCTATTTGGAGTTATATTAAATCAAAAACAAAAACCAAAGAAGGAATTGGGGATTTACACATAGATCACTGAAAACCTAAATTAGTCAATTTGACCAATTTAATTGGTCATTTTGACTGTCCTCTAGATGACAATGCACTTTAATCATTTTGACTATGCTCTTAGTCGTTTGACTAGATGGTTAGTCACATTTGACTGAGTAGGGTGGTAATTATGACTATGTTTGGAGGTCAAAATGACTATATGTTATACTCGTTATGACGAAATGGATTGTTCAATTGACTATGCACATTTGTCAGTTTGACAATTGAATGCAGTCCATATGACTTATTGAAATGGTCGAAAGTGACCATGTTGGTTAGTCAACATGATTACTGTGAAAAGTCACGACTGTTAGACTTTTATTTTAATTTGTGTTGTGTTTTTTGTTCTACCATTTTACTTTGTGTGTGTTTCTATCCGTTCTGTACTTTTGTGTTTCATTTCTTCTGTTATTCTACTTTATGTTGTTTCTCTTCCATAGGATTGAAAAATGCATCTGGAATATAATATCATAAAAATACCACAGCAGCAATACTAACAATGACAACAGTATAGGACCACAAAGTGCTCAATGTTCAAAACCTTCCTATATCTTAAGTTTCCATGTGTTACCATTACTCAGTGACATATATTAAAAGTCTAAAAATCAAATAAAGAAAATGTATTTATTATAAACTCATTGTAACATACATTATGATATCCCAACTTAAATATATATTTTATACATTTTCAGTATGTCAGAATTTGAAGTGTTTATTTAAGATATTTTGTCGGTATCAACTCTGCATGTGTCAGTGTAATATTCTCTCTGGTCAAAAATCTCTCAGCTGTGCTCATACAAATAGCAATGTCTTCATTTGCTGAAAAATATAATTATATCATTTTAGAAGCTAAAATATAACAATAAACAAGTATATCAGTCATGTTAAAAGTTAAAAGAAAAAAAAACAAGTTTTAAAATCTTTGATCTAGTGATGTAGTCACTCATCTTTTACCATTATTTTGTAATGTAAGCACCTGGATCTTGACAGCCACCCATCCTATATCACAACATTGTAATGTAAGCACCAGGATCTTGACAGCCACCCATCTTATACCACAACATTATAATGTAAGCACCAGGATCTTGACAGCCACCCATCTTATACCACAACATTGTAATGTAAGCACCGGGATCTTGACAGCCACCCATCTTATACCACAACAGTGTGATGTAAGCACCAGGATCTTGACAGCCACCCATCTTATAACACAACATTGTAATGTAAGCACCAGGATCTTGACAGCCACCCATCCTATATAACAGCATTGTAATGTAAGCACCAGGATCTTGACAGCCACCCATCTTATAACACAACATTGTAATGTAAGCACCAGGATCTTGACAGCCACCCATCCTATATCACAGCATTGTAATGTAAGCACCAGGATCTTGACAGCCACCCTGAGGATTTTTTTTAATTTATTGTTGTGAATATCGATTGCAGTGTTTATTTTTAACAGTTTTTGGTCTGATGAAAAAAAGATATCGCTAAATACTCTTTTCAATCGACAATACGTTGAATGTGTATCAAAATTGATATCCCGTATACATATCTCCCCCTTTTTAATTGTCATTACGTCAACATGTGCCGATATTACATTCATTACACTTCTCTTTCTTAAATTTAATTTTTGTAAGTTAGAATTAAAATATATATACATGATACTTACTTTAAACAATTGGTTTAATTGACAAAATAACAGTTTCGTGCCTCCTGGTTTGTTTACATCTACACGATCTAGGGAACAAAGGGAACGCGAAAGAGTGCGCGTGAAAACCGATACTGATCTACACCACGTGGTGCTGTGACCACTAATATAGTCAAATTGACCGCGCAGGTAGTCACAATGACTAGATTAGTAGTCATATATGCTGTTGACTACCTTTCGGCTAATATTTGACTAACTGAATAGTCATAGTGACTAATTTAAATTTTCAGTGATCCAGAAGATACAAAAACAGATAAAACTGAGGACAACAGCACGAAGGCAAAGATACTAGTAGACTACTTTTCCAGCGTATTCACCAATGATCCTGACGGAGAAGTGCCAACACCAAACCAGGTACCAGTAATTAATGAAATGCCAAAAACAGAAAATAAAGGAGGAAGTAGTGCTGAAGCACTTATCTGCATTAAAAATAGATAAATCACCAGGTATGGACAAACTACACCATAGATTACTAAAAGAGATAGCTGAATCAATAGCAAAACCTTTATGTATTATCTTTAATCAGTCACTTGAGAATAAGACAGTACCTAACGACTGGAAGAAGGCAGTGATAAGTGCAATATTTAAAAAGGGAAATAAATCACTAGCCAAAAATTATAGGCCCGTTAGTTTGACATCGGTAGTATGTAAAATAATGGAGAAAATGATTGCGTGAATTTATTATAGAGCACATGAAAACGAACAACCTTTTCTCTAAAAAACAATACGGCTTTATTGCAGGAAGGTCAACTGGTCTTCAATTATTAGAAGTGATAGATAAGTGGACGGAGGCACTAGATCAAGGTTTAGACATAGACTGCGTATATACTGACTTTATGAATCATTATGCCTTTGATAAGGTCCCTCATAAAAGATTGATAGCCAAAATTAAAAATCTAGGTATTAATAAAGACATAGAAGGGTGAATCACAAACTTCCTACAAGACAGGAAACAAAAAGTCATAGTGAATGGTGAAGAATCAGATTGGGCGAATGTTACATCAGGGATACCCTAAGGATCAGTATTAGGACCACTACTATTTGTACTCTACATAAACGATCTTCCAGACCAAGTGGATTCTGATGCCTACCTATTTGCAGATGACACCAAGATCTTTAGAATAATAAAAACCCAGAATGACAGAAAAATTCTTCAAGAAGATCTACACAAGATGGAAGCCTGGAGTGACAAATGGTTACTCAAATTTCACCCTGAAAAATGTAAATACATGAAAACAAATAAGAAATCTAACAGCACTCATCACTCACCAAATTATAGTCTACTAAATCATCCAATAGCTAAGGTTAAAGAGGAAAAAGATATAGGAGTCCTTATCGACTCAGAACTCACTTTTGAGAACCACATAAGTGAAAAAGTGAATAAGACATACTCCATATTTGCAGTTCTCAGAAGAAAATTTAAATACTTGGGTACTGAGGCATTCATACCATTATATAAAACCATGGTTAGAACCCATTTGGACTATGCTAGTTCAGTTTGGTCTCCATACAAGAAAAAAGATATTGATAAAATAGAAGGAGTCCAAAGAAGGGTAACAAAACAACTACCAGGCCTCAAAGACATGAGCTACCCAGAGAGATTTAAAAAACTAGGCTTACCAACACTATCTTATAGGACTGAGAATAAGAGGGGATATGATTGAAACCTTCAAAACAATAAATGGCTACTATGACAAAGAAGTAAGCTCATTTTTAAAAATGGCAGATGATTCTCAACAAAGATATAGTAGCAGGACATACAGTAACAAAGTCATTCACCAAAGATTCCAATCTAATATCCGTAAACACTCATTCTCTGTTAGAATTGCTAAAACCTGGAACAAACTACCAGATAAAATAACAAAGGTCCCATCCATAAATGCTTTTAAAAACCGACTAGATAAATATTCGTCCGACGAAGAGCTATATTATAATGACTATAGAACAGAAATATCCGGAACTCACGGACAAAATAGTACTAGAAAAAACTTAAATTACGAGTCTGGTGAAGAGGAACCTTAAGGGATCCTGTACTGGAAATCAAATATAAGTAACTATAAGTAAGTAAATCAATGGGACGAAAGTTGCATGGACGAGTTCGCCCTTGTTATTTTTCGACAACTCAGCGGAGTTTACCGAAGCATTCCGATCTTTCTTATCATTACACACGACGCCATTGATTTACAAGAACAATCTTGTCACTTAAACAAAGAAATAACAAAATACTAAAATACATCCTACATCACCATGGCCGGTAGAGACGATCCAGGGTAAGATACTTTTAATCATTAATGCAGCTGTGCCGATACTGTTTTTGGAAATGGAAAAAGAACCAGAGCAGATATATCCCAAATTTTTGGAATTCCCTGAAAACATTTCCCTCCCAAAACTATGACTGTAACTTAAAATAACAGCACACATATAGTCCAACATTGAATTTAGTATATGTCAATTATTATTTGATAAGTATAGTATTTTTTCAAATCAAATCTATTTATAAGTATATTCTCAGAATATGAGAGAAAAACGACGAAACGCGAAATACCACGAATGTAATACGAGATGAATGTTTATTGTTGCATAACGTTTAACAGAAACTAATAAATTAAAATGTTTAAATGTTGATAAAGAAAAAGAATATTGTTACTATTAGTAAATTTAGTGGTTTTTTACATCATGTACATTAATATAATTTGTATTTCACTATTTGTGGTCTTGTTTGAATTATGAATAACTTTTTTGATGACTTTCTTTGTAATCTAGTTATAAATATAGTAGAATTCATGAAAATCCTGTAGACAACTTAGATATTTGCTGCTGCTGCATCCTAATTAGTATAAAAAACCTCTTCAAACACAATAAGTGAAGTTTTTATAGTTGCCTGTCACCATGGTTACTGAATAAACATTTTAACATATTTGGCATGTGATCAGTTCCCCAATTGATGCATGTAATGTTAAGAAAACCAAATAATACACTATCTATAAATGAAATGTGTGTAAAAATGAGAAAATCTATTTTTCAGAAAATTTTTTGTTGGAAACCTCAGTTGGCAAACAGACAATGGTAAGATATAAAGTAAAAGGATCTCGATAAGGAAGAGAGTTTTTGTGTAGCAAATAGTTGATATATATATATACATTGTATATTGAACTTTGCAATAGAAGTAACTGTATCCAGTGTTCACCCCAGGCCCTTAAAGGACCGCGGGTCTGCGATGTATAATTTTTGAGCGCGGTGCTATCGGTCTTACCGCGATGTATAATTTTTGTCCTGGTGCTAAAATTTTCAGTAAAAATATTGTAAATCGGTAAAGGTTGAAATGACTTGTTAAATCTTTTCCGTGCGATATAAAATTCCAGGTGAAATTTGACCAGTATTTTACAGTGAAATCTGTTGATATGAATTTTTATATTAAAAATTTGGAATGAGAACAGAAGACATGTTAAATTAACATTTTTCTAGAATTCAGCAAATAGTGGCAAAAACCCATCTTTCTCAAATCATTTTATAAACGACATTTCCCTAAGCAATTTTTATTAATCCAGAATTGTAACAAACATCAGAATTTGTTTTAAGGTTCCAAAGCATTGGTTTTACTTTTACCATGAAATAGTTTTGTTTTAGTCTGTTGTCTAGCTTTGTTTTTAAGTCAACAGCATATTAGAATATTATAACTCACTCACTTTAAAGTTAATTCAAAATTGGTTTCCATTCTCCAACTTGAGTTAGCCTCAACCAAATATTATGAAACTTATACACAATGCTTATTACCACAAAATATAGATCAAGTTTGAATTTTGGTAGCGTCACTCCAACTGTTCTAGAGTTATGCCCCTTTATAAATGGAAAAATTACAAAATTTTGAGTTTCCTTTCTCTAACTTAAGTTTGCCTCAACCAAATGTTATGAAACTAATACACAATGCTTATAACCACAAAACACAGATCAAGTTTGAATTTTGGTGGGGTAACTTTAACCATTCTCGAGTTATGCTCCTTTATAAATTGAAAAAAATGCAAAATTTTTAGTTTCCGTTCTTTTAAGTTGCCTCAACCAAATGTTATGAAACTTATACACAATGCTTATTACCACAAAACACAGATCAAGTTGAATTTTGGTGGCGTCACTTTAATCATTATCAAGTTATGCCCCTTTATAAATTGAAAAATTGCAAAATTTTTAGTTTCTGTTCTGTAACTTAGGTTTGCCTCAACCAACTGTTATGAAACTTATACACAATGCTTATTACCACAAAACACAGATCAAGTTTGAATTTTGGTGGCGTCACTCTAACCGTTCTAGAGTTATGCCCCTTTATAAATGGAAAAATTGCAAAATTTTTATTTTCTTCTAAATATCAAGTAATTATAAAATTGGAGTTATCTTCCTTTGTCCATGATTATAGTTGAATCAACTACAGTCAATGCTTTATACAATGCAATGTTTAATTTTGACTTCCACTGATAAAACACAGATCAAGTTTAATTTGGGTAGTGTCACTATTATTGAGTTATGCCCCTTTATAAATCGAAAGATTGCAAAATTTTTAGCTTCCATTCTGTAACTTAAGTTTGCCCCAACCAAACATTATGAAACCCATACACAATATTCATTACCACAAAACTAAGATCAAGTACAAATTTTTTGTTTCCGTTTTCTAACTTTAATTTGCCTCAACCAAATGTTATGAAACTTATACACAATGCCTATTACGACATAATACAGATTGAGTACGAAATTTGGTGAGAACACTTTTACCATTCTTGAGTTATGTCCCTTTATAAACATAAAAATTGCTGAATTTTTCGTTTCCGTTCTCTAACTTTAGTTTGTCTCAACCAAATGTTATAAAACTTATACACAACCGTTTTAGAGTTAAGCGTGTTTACAAATAAAAAAATATCAGAATTTTTCGTTTCTGTTTTCTACTTAAGTTAGTCTCAACCAAATGTTATGAGACTTACGCACAATGCTTATTACCACAAAACTCAGATCAAGTTCAAATTTTGGTAGCGCCACATTTACCGTTCTTCAGTTATGTCCCTTTATAACTATATGATATGCAAGCTGGGGCATCATCTGTGTCCTCATGTGGACACTATCCACATTTATCTTTCATGTAAAAAGAAAATATTGATATGGGGTATGTGTCTAGAAAAAAAAAGATTTTTTTTTATATTATCTAGACGTGCTGTGGAGGTACTTCAGTAGATTTGGAGACCTCAGTGATGCTGTTGTCATCATGGATAGACAGACAGGAAAATCAAGGGGATTTGGTTTTGTCACTTTCCGTGATCCACATTGTGTAGATGAAGTACTACATGAAGGACAGCATACAATTGATGGCAGACAGGTAAATGTCTAAAAATAACTAAATATTGAAATGCTTAGCTTTACCACATACCCCTTTCCTTAGGTCTTGGATGAAAATTTGGTTTTGGCAAGTGAAATAATTATTGGGGAATAGACTTGATAGAAATTTTTTGAATGCCAGTTTGCCTAAAAAATCCCCTAAACATAATTTTTGGGAACAATCAATGACTTACTAGTATAAAATAGGAAATGAATTAATGATAGATCCATAGGCACAGTCTTCATCTTTAAGTCAAAATAAGTAAACTTGTAGAATGTTCTGTAAATATTTGACATTTGGTTCACACAAAATAAAATATACATCTTTACATCAGTGATTAGGAAGAAGATTTTGAAAATTTTAAAAATAAAAAAAATGGGTACTTCAATTTCAATTGGTCTGTTAGATATCATTTTTTTCATTTCACTTATGGAATTTTCTAAGAACAATGTACCCCTCTCTTCCCAATCACTGATAAGTGGAATATAAAAATTATCATAGATAAGAAGTAGTAATAATTCTAATAAAAACAGCCAATTATAAGATCAGATAAATATGGTGACTTATACACCAGTAAGAAAGAAAATATTTAACACAAATTTCATGTTAACCTTGTACCTATGAAAATAATCTGAGTCTTCTTTGCAGCTTAAAATTGTGACAGGACTGATCATAAGAAATAAAAATACAATGTAGATCAAATTAATTACTATTATTTAGGTGCTTCCCTAAAGAATTATATGCCTGTCGCAGAGGAAGGAGAAAGAACAAGGCAATATCAACATACGTGTTTAAGCTTAACAGCAATGAAGGGTAAAGGTCATGTTAATTTAAGATGCGTGGACTTGATCTTGAATAAACGGCTGTTTACACTTCAAATTTAAAGTCCTTTTACGAGGTTCAGGTAGAAAGTTAAAATTGACCTCTAAGGTCATGAACTCTTTTTAAGAAGCTGATTATGTACAGGTTAGAATTAAGAATCATTGAGGCTGTGCATTTTACTTTGCAGTAAGGTTTGTATAGGATTTAGCATCATAAACCTAATTGCTTGCTTATCTGACACCCGTTTATCGAAAATACTAGGATTCATAAATGTATTTTACAGTGAAATCTGTTGATATGAATTTTTATATTAAAAATTTGGAATGAGAACAGAAGACATGTTAAATTAACATTTTTCTAGAGTTCAGCAAATAGTGGCAAAAACCCATCTTTCTCAAATCATTTTATAAACGACATTTCCCTAAGCAATTTTTATTAATCCAGAATTGTAACAAACATCAGAATTTGTTTTAAGGTTCCAAAGCATTGGTTTTACTTTTACCATGAAATAGTTTTGTTTTAGTCTGTTGTCTAGCTTTGTTTTTAAGTCAACAGCATATTAGAATATTATAACTCACTCACTTTAAAGTTAATTCAATATTTCCTCACAAAATGATTTCTTTTTTGACACTAAATGTCATTGAAAGATTTCACTTTTGCTTCCAAGCAGTCAACCTATTCTGATTTAATTAGAAAGGTTTCATTGTATATTTATCTGTCAGACAATCAAGTGAATTTTATGAAGCTGTGTAGGAACACATCCAACCGAACTAGCTTTTGTCATCACCCCAAGTGTAGAGACTTAGAATTATTCGACTCAAGTCTGGAATCCTTGCCCGTTTTAATAATATTGCATTTAAATTTGTCTTTTTCTTCAATCTTGTAGGTGAATGCCAGACCCTGTAACAACAACAATGCCAGACCTGGTAACAACTACAACAGATAGGCAGGATTTGAAGAAGAACAGTTAAATGTTAACAATTACTGTTAACACTTACTGTTAACAAAAAACATCATGTCATAATTTATTTTGTCGAAAAACAATCATGTCTTTTCAATATTCTTTTTAATATGTGTGACAACTATTTTTTTTTATCATAATTTATAACATTTTAGACTGGAATTTTTAGTATCTGAATGCTTTGTTATTCATACTGTAGTTATTTTTACTTAAAAAGTGTCTGTATGAGATCCAATTTCATGAATTCAGGAACAGTATTAACAATATTTGTTAAAATAAATCAGAAAAACAAGTTAATTATTTAATAGGCTTATCATTGTTCAAAGATTTTTTTCCAAGTTAATATTTTTTACCATTTCCAATCCTTAGATTGGTTTTATTGTTTGACCTATCACATGCATCAGTGAGTGAGTTAAACCAAATATCCAATATCATTTAAATTAGAAAATTTAACAAACTGCAACTAGATTTAGGAAGGGACTCTTATAAAGTGTACAATTATTGAAAACGAATATTTTTAAGTATTTACAAAACAATAAGTTATATAATTACAAAACAATTTAAGTTTTATAATTACAAAACAATAAAGTTATGTAATTATAAAACAATAAAGATATATAATTACAAAACTAAAATTTATTTTTATGAGGTAGTTTTTAGGCATTATTGGGTAGATACCAAATGAACCTGAAAATTTCTATCATTTTTATATTCTTTCCACTGGGGTACAGAATGGAAGCTCACTCACTCCCTTAAGATTATTTTATTTTAAAGAAAGCATTTATATATATACATTATCTTTGTGCATCATTGTCTTAAAAAGTAAAATTTTAAATCTTATAATTGTTATTGTTTGTTTGTGTCAGCTTTTTGTCTTGCTTTGACAAAGTCCGAAAATTTAGACTAAGGCCTGCTGTTTCCATCGGTGTCAACAATGAATTAGTTTGTGATTAGGTCAAGTTTATGGGGAACTACTAGTGGTTGGTCAATGATATTTGGTATGCAGTTGTATTAGCATTGGCTCATCTAATTTCCATAGGGAATATCTGGCACCGCCCCCTCAGTCATTGACTTTTGCTTAGGTTACATGTATAAGTTTGTAAAAAAGTCAGTTTAAGGGGAACCATTAGTAGTAGGTCAATGATATTTGTTATGCAGATGTATTAGCATTGGTATTTCTTATTACCATAGAGATTGTTTGGTTCCCTCTAAAGTGGTTCATGGTTCATTGACTTTGAATGTTTTGCATTATTTACATGTTAAAGTTTGTGATTAGATCAGTTTAAGATGAACGACTAATATTAAGTCAATGATATTTGGTATGCAGTTGTCTTGGCATTGCAAGCTTCATTTCCATGGAGATTATATGGCCCACCCCCTCATCATAGTTCATTGACTTTGGAAACTCTTACATAGTTTACAATTTAAAGTTGGTGTTTATGTTAGTTGAATGGGAACTACATATGATAGATAAGTCAATGGTATTTGGTATCACAAAATGAGAGACATAACTCTGTGTCAACAGTTTATGCAAAAAAAGAATAGCAAGGAAGCAGCATTATCATATTTCCTAGCCAGCAAAGCTAGTAAAGTGTATAGTGGTCTTTTATTTGTTTGTCTATCTATCTGCAGTTCCTATCTAGAACGTCTAACGGCTATTCCATTAAAATAGAAATGGGAGTGTAGAAAGGGATTTTCAAACCCCCCCCAGAATCGACATACTTTCTTGGAGTCATTTTGCATACAACCAGAGTAAAAAGATTAATCCTTTACCCTCCCACATCTATTAACTCCGTAAATGGAAAGCCCAAAACCATTGACAGAATTTGCTTGAAACATGAATAAATGGTTAATACCTAATAAATGCTTGCATCTCCTCTGTCGCATTGTTTAAAAAAGGAGATGCTTCGTTTAATACATACCAATAAGAAAGCACATTAGCAGCAATAACTAAAAGTCATTTTGATTGAAACACAGTCTTCATCAATATACAGGTGTTGGGCAACTCAGTGAAAGAATGCATCCAAGAGAAAATTTAACGTCAGTCGGCATGAAGTTAGCATCTTAAATTTGAATTAAAATGTATGAGTGACCTACATCCAGACAATTGGATCAAGATGCTTCAACAGGAAAAAGCCTCCTACCAGAAATTTTCTCTTATTTCATTGTTCATTGCTGAACATCCTGTGGCAGATATTTCATGTATATTCAAGACGAAAACAGATAAAAAGATGTTTTTTTTTCATTGTTCATTGCTGAACGTCCTGTGGTAGATATTTTATGTATATTCAAGACAAGAACAGATATATAACAATAAAAGAAAGATGTTCTGTTAAGGTATTCAGTTAGCACAGAAAAATTTGTATAGGAAACTAAAACATAATGTTCCACAAAAAAGGAACACATATAATGCTGTATTAGCTTAGATAACTGTTTATGATTAAATCTACTAGGAAGTACAGGTGATGATTCCATAAGAAATGATTACTTTGAGCTTTCAAGCATATGGTATACTTTAGTTCTGAGATGGTCTGTTTTATTGTGCAGATTTTACTTAACACACAAATGTAGGGTGAGAATGTCAGAAATCAAGGCAGCATTGGATCAATACAAGGTTGATTGCATGAAAACATCAAGTTATGTACATGTATGATGTCACCTTACGGTAGGTTTTCTTTAGGATCAAAATAGAAAAGTGGTCAATATTTTAAGTGGATACCCATTTGTCGTGTGATACTTTTTCAACCTCCACATTGAAACAACAACTATCCTGGAACTCTCCTATTTTATTAGCTCAACTAGCCTTTTAGGCCATGAGAGCTATTGCAATCACTTTGTGTAGGCTTTTGTTTGTAAACTTAATTTCTTAAAAACTCCTTTCCAGTTTTAACACATCTTCTACAAACAATCTTCATTTGGTACTGATTTGAAGTAAAATTTGGCAAATATTTCTCAGAGGCAATCTAGTTCTGATTAGCCAATTTTCAGAGATTTGTTCCTCTGGTTTATGATTGGGTTTTGCTTGCTTAATGTTAAGTTGCAATTATTTGAAACATATAGGACAAAAACACTTAAATTACATAGTGAAATGTTTTGAAACTTTACAGGATCAAGATTGTTACAAGTAATATAAGGATCGTGATTTAATGCAGATAGTGTGGCAAACACTACGGTATGCCACTAGTGTCATATTTGCCATTCAAACCTGAGTCTGCCTCATATCTTGATTTACATCTAGAAATTGACAATGAGAGTTGGTTGAGAACAAAACTTTATGACAAAAGAGATGGTTTCAGCTTCCCAAATTGTCAATTTCCATTTCTATATAGCAATATTCCAGCCGCACTTGCATATGGAGTATACAACTCCAAAGTTGATTCGATATTCTAGAGCTAGCATTACCTATCATGAATCTTGATAGAGGGTTGCTGCTTACAAGGAAGGTATCATATCAAGAGTTCCAAGAGGTGAAGTTGAAATCATCCCTTCGAAAATTTTAAGGACACCATTACGAATTAGTTATTAGTTATATATTATTATTATTATTATTATTAGTTATTATTAGTTATATATTTCTATATAGCAATTGTACAGTATTGCGCAATAGCAAGAAATATTTACCCGGTAATAGCACAGGATTGTGCAAAAGAAGATACTTCCTATAAATTGCTTATTTCTTGACCAATTTCAATGGGGTTTTATTCTTGATTTCATGGGGTTCTTTGATATGCTGAATCTAACCGTGTATTTAGTTTTTGGATTTTGGGCCCCGTTTTTAAATTGGTCCACATTGAGGTCCGAAGGGTCCAAAAATAAACTTTGTTTGATTTCATAAAAAATTGAATTATTGGGGTTCTTTGATATGCTGAATCTGAACATGTATTTAGATTTTTGATTATGGGCCCAGTTTTCAAGTTGGTCCAAATCGGGGTCCAAAATTAAACTTTGTTGATTTCAACAAAAATTGAATATATGGGGTTCTTTGATATGCTGAATCTAACCATGTATTTAGATTTTTGATTTTTGGGCCCCGTTATCAACTTTGTCCACATTGAGGTCAAAAGGGTCCAAAATTAAACTTTGTTTGATTTCATCAAAAATTGAATTCTTGGGGTTCTTTGATATGCTGAATCTAACCGTGTATTTAGATTCTTAATTTTTGGTTCCGTTTTCAAATTGGTCTACATTAAGGTCCAAAGGGTCCAAAATTAAACTTAGTTTGATTTTAACAAAAATTGAATTCTTAGGGTTCTTTGATATGCTGAATCTAAACATGTATTTAGATTTTTGATTATGGGCCCAGTTTTCAAGTTGGTCCAAATCGGGGTCCAAAATTAAACTTTGTTTGATTTCAACAAAAATTGAATATATGGGGTTCTTTGATATGCTGAATCTAACCATGTATTTGGATTTTTGATTTTTGGGCCCTGTTATCAACTTTGTCCACATTGAGGTCAAAAGGGTCCAAAATTAAACTTTGTTTGATTTCATCAAAAATTGAATTCTTGGGGTTCTTTGATATGCTGAATCTAACCATGAATTTAGATTTTGGATATTGGACCATAATAGGTGAATGTCCAATTTAAAATTTTTAAGTTCTTTGACCACATTCATTCTGTGTAAGAAACCTATGCTGTGTCAAATATTTAATCACAATCCAAATGCAAAGCTGTATCAAGCTTGAATGTTGTGTCCATACTTCCCCCAACTGTTCAGGGTTCGACCTCTGCAGTCGTATCAAGCTGCGCCCTGCGGAGCATTTTATTAACATTAAAATGTTTTTGTTCAACAAAATCCGACAAACATGTTAGATTATACATGGATAATACGGTAGCTGTGACCTATATAGACAAAATGGGAGGTAGAATTCAGTCTCTCAATAACTTAACAAGGGAAATATGGCAGTGGTGTATACAAAGAAACATTTGGTTAAGTGCTTGTCACTTACCGGGAAAAACCAATGTTGAAGCAGACAAATTGTCACGTTCCAACAATACAGAAAAACTGATTTTGGGTGTCTTCAGATTGTCGGGCAAATTGTGCAAAATACAGGACTATCAAAAAAGGCTGCAGAAATTGTCATCTCATCCTGGAGACAAAGTACACAAAAACAGTATTGGACATATCTCAAAAAATGGTGTACATTTTGTTGTGAACGAAAGATTAAAATTTTTACGCCAACTGAGGTGGATGTAGTGGAATTTTTGACAGTTTTATATGAGTCAGGCGTAGGATATAGTGCTATAAACACAGCACGATCTGCGTTATCATCATATTTGACATTGGGGAAAACCCTGCCAATTGGTCAGTGGCCTTTAGTTAAAAGGTTTCTCAGAGGAGTTTATAATAAGCGACCAATGTTTCCTAGATATCAGCAAACATGGGATGATAATGTGGTATTAGAATTTTTGATTTCTTTATCGCCTGTAAAGGTTTTGTCATTGAGATGTTTAACTTTGAAATTAGTTATGTTATTAGCACTAGTTACTGGACAGAAAATACAGACTTTACATTGTGTAGATTTAGATTTTATGAAAATCACAAAAGACAATGTTATAATTGAAATTAATGAGATTTTGAAAACTTCAAAACCAGGAAAACATTTATCACCAATTTGTTTGCCAGCATTTGTTGAAGACTCAAGACTGTGTATTGTAACTGTTTTAAATGCCTATATCGAAAGAACATCTGCAATACGTACATCTCAAAAACTTTTTGTTACATTTGTAAAACCATACCATCATCCTACAAAATCAACAATTAGTAATTATTTTTAAAACACACAGTACTAGGGGAGCTAGTACATCAGCAGCACTTAGAGCTGGAGTGTCAGTAAATTCTAT